ATATATTAAGGTAACTTAGTATCTAATTCCTCTTAAAATAATTTCTTATAAATATAATACTTTAGTAGTATATTCTTAAGTTATTTATTAGATTCCTTTATAATAATTTATTTTATTTATTTAATATCTTAGTTTAATTATTTAAATTAGCCTTTAAGAGTTATAATTATTTACCTAATATATTTAACCTTATCTTTATAGTATTTATATTATATTCCTTTTAAAATAGATAATACTTTATTATATTATTCTTTATTACTCTTATTAATTAAAGTTTAAGATCTTATATTATTATTATTTAAATTATTTTTATTATTTAAAAAGTAATCTTTATAATTTACCTAGCTAATTCTCTAGTTAATTTATATATTATAGTATTATAACTATAAAAATCTAAATACTAAGTTATATTTTTATACTAGGATAATATTAAAGTTAATACCTTAGTTTTTTCTATTAATAAATACCTTAAGGTAATTAATCTCTTTGGTAATTCTTCTATTATTATAACTATAAGTGCCTCCTTCTCTATCCTTTATAATATAAAATTCCTTTTTATTTCTTTATAATAGCCTTAGTTTATTAACTATTTTAAGGGAAATAAAATTTATATTAGCTTTATTATTTATAAGTATATTTAGCTACTTATCCTTAATTCTAACTTTTAATTTTAGGCAGGTTTATTAACTTCCTTTTATAGTTATTCTTAAAGCTTTTTCTAGGAGTTTACTTTCCTTTGCTTTTTTACCTATCTAATACTCTATTATAGATAATATATGCCTTTTCCTTATAGGTAGTCTATATTATATTTACTTTTAATATAATTAATATTATTAAGATATTTATATTAAGTAGCTAGTTATTATTAATAAGCAGCTTTTATCTTTCCTACTTTATAATTTAAGATAATATCTACTTTTTCTTTTTTAATAAGAGGTCTTCCTTTTTCTTATTTAGATTCTTCTAATTATTCTTATAGTTATTATTTATCTAGTTATTAGATAGTATTTTATTTATCTTAGGATACTTCTTTTTCCTATTAGGTAATATTTTTATTAATTTAATTAAGTTTCTAGTTAAGTACTTTATCTTTGGTAATCTTAACTTCTTATTATACCTTTTATCTCTACTATATAATATATTAAGAATTTTAAATATATACTAAAGCTTATTCCTATATTTTAGTATATACTTCTAATTTTACTACCTAAGATCCCCTATATCTCTTAGTAACTTAGTATTTAATAGTATTAATAATTATATAAGGTCTCTATTCCTAATACTTATTAATTTATACTAAGAAGTAATTATTTGCTACTTTATCTTATTAGTATTATAGATAGTAGTATTATATATATAATATCTATAATATCTACTTATAGTTTAAATAATTTAAGTATCTCCTTAGGTTATTTTTAGCTTAAATGTATTTCTTAGGTATTATAGGATCTTCTAGTATTTCCTTTATATATACTTAGATATAAATATTATTATCTTATTCTATAATTATATATTCCCTTACTAACTCTGTATATTTCTAATATTTATTATTCTAGAAATAAATTCTATATTTATTATATTAGGGTATAATTTCTATATTCTAAATTATTTAGTTTTCCTTATATCTAATATATCTAATATCAAATTCTCTTTAGATTTAATAAGATTCTAAGTAATTTAGATTATTAATATATTAGTTTAATTATTTTAAGGTAACTTTAATAGGAATCTTATTTACTATTAAGTAGGGTTCTTAGCTATTCCTTTTAGTATTAAGTTTATTATCTAGGTTAAGGTTAACTTCTTTTCCCTTTTTAATTATAAAAATAATTTTATTATTATTATTATATAACTTATTTATTATTAATACTAGTTTCTATTTAAATTTAATTTTTATATTTTATTTTACCTTTAATCTTTATTATTTTTATTATTTACTTTCTTTTCTTTTAAACTTAGGGTTTTCTTATTTCCTTATATTATATATTCTTTTCTTCTCTTATTTTTTACTTTTACTTTACTTATAGATATCTGCTATAAGAGCTATATATCCTAGGATAGGTTATTATTCTAGGTCTAGATATAGGTAGTATTTCTTAAGGGTTTCTTTCTTACTAAGAAATAAATCTTAAATATTAAGGGGTAAATTAAAGTTTCTAATATATCTTATAGGTTTAATTATATTATAGCTATCTTTACAGGTTATATTAATAGTTCTAATTGCTATTTAGGGTTCTTTGTATTTCTTAATTATATTAATTTTCTTATTTTCTAGGACTAGTTTATACTTCTAGTTAGTCTTAATAGGGTTCTTATATTCTAGATTATAATATCCTTTCTTACTGTAGTTTTAATAAGTAATTTTAGATTTATCTTTCTTAGTTATTCTAATAATTATTAGTCTAGAGTTAATACTATAAGAAGTATTATTATTTTATTTCTTTCCTTAGTTATTATTATAATATAGTTTATTTCCTTATTATCCTTAGTTATTTTAGTTATAATAAATTCTCTATTAAAATTATATATTATTAATTTTAATAGCTCTTCTAAAATAATTAACTAGTATTCTAGGTCTAATTTCCTTATAAAGTTCTACTTAGACTATTTCCTTAAGTCTATTAAAGAAAAGTAATATAAGTAGTTCTTAGTCCTATCCTAGTTTAATAGCTAGTTAAAAGAACTTAGTTTTATACTCTAAGGCTAACTTAGTTTATTAAAGTATTTTAATTTTTCTTTTTACTTAGCTTTTTTTATTAATTAACCTAAATACTTATTATAAGGCGTTTTTAAACTTAGTATAGTTATTATAAATTTAAAAAGTTTAAGGTAGTAATTTATCTTTTAATATAATAGTAATTTCTTCTAGTATAGGTTAAAACTATTAGGCAGTATTACCCTTAAGATATCCTAAAGTATATATAATCCTATTACTATTATTTATAAACTAGTTTAGAAAGTAACTTATATAAGCTTAGTATTAGGTAAGAAAGATAATTAATTTAATAAGGTTTTTATTAAATAGTTTAGATATATTAAGTTTAAGGATTTCTTCTATTTCTTTTCTACTTACTATAATAATAATAAGGTTATATATTTCCTAAATAGTATTTTAATAATTAGCTGCCTATTAGGCCTATAGTCCTACTACTTTAGTAAGAGCTTATCTAAGGTTATTTATTTTAATTATTATATAAGTTATCTGCTAATAGAGTTAGGTAATATTAAAGTAAGTATTACTTTTGGAATTATTATTTATATCCTAGTTATTATTAATAGGTACTAAAATAATATTAAATATAGCATTCTAGGCAGGGTTAATATAAGCAGCTATTATATTTATATTATTTAGTATTATATAATATAATCTAAATAAGAATTATTAATATATAATAGTTAAAGTCTAACTATATTAAACTAAGCTATACTAGGTTTATTATTAGCAGATTATATAAGGCATATAACTAAGCTTATTAAAGTATTATATTTCTTAATAGTAAATTTAATATATATTAGGCTTAATTAATATAAAGAAGTTTTAATTAATAGCTAATAAGCTAAGTTTTATCTAAGTACTAATAAATATATATATATATACTTAAAGTAGCCTTATAGCTTAATAGAGAATATAAGTAATCTAAGGGTTAGATCTACAGGGATTAGTTGTAATCTATGGTGATCCAGTCTTAGAGCGTTGTAATCTAAGTGATCTAATGGAAGAGGATTATTACTAGGAGAAGTAATCCTGCGGTAATTGGTGAAAATTGTAGGGGCCACGTGACGTAGGCGCGGGGGTCGTAACATGAAGGGTGGCAATGAAGCTCTGCACCCATTTGGTTGCCCGGCAGATGACCTTGGGATCCGAGGAGCTGGAGAGCCATACCTCTCGAGCAACATTGAGACGCTTGAAGCGCTCGTCCGAGTCAGCATCGCTGCTCCAGATCCAAGTGGCAAGGTTGTGCTCAGCCACCCCCAAAGGCTGCTCGATGACCTGTCGGATCATCGGGGACCACAACTCAAAGCACTCGCGGGCTTGACGGGCTCGACTGGCAAAGAGATCACGGTCATCGAGCGCCTGTTGCCACACGGATTGGGCCTCCCCGAGATCTGGTGTCCTGACAATACAGGTAGGTCGGTCATTATTCTCACACCGGCGACGTCTCAGTTGACACATCGTGGAAGCTGGGTCCCTGGTTTCGCAACCTCCGTTCTCCTCTCTATCAAGGGACCCTGCTCTCAGTGAAACACCAATCCCGTCATCAGACTTGTCATCGTCTCATCTTGTTGCCACCGCCCTCAGAGGCCCATTCGGCCAGGAACACCACACTCTTATTACAACCGTGAGGTGAACAAGACCGATAGGTGATGATGTTGATGAACAGGCGCACTTCTGCATCTGCACACCGGCTTGCCAGCGTTGTGAATGTATGCGCTGCTTCGATGTGTAAAGTCGTATGTGATCTATTGCCACAGTCCCAACATACATTCTGATTCTGGGCTCCCCAAACAAGCGCAGAACCTCAGATACAGCCAAGGTTCGAGCCAGACGATTTCAGCCCTTCAGCCCCATATCCGAAATTCAAGAGTGGTCACCGAGAGCTTGGTCTCAACCTGCGATTCACCTCTTGGTGATTAGACTACTTCATGGATGCCATTCGCTTTGCAGATGGACCGATCTCAAGCGGCAGTTCTGAGAGCTGTACAATGCTTCCAAGAAGAGGGTCGTCGCCAGTGTGGATATTGGTTCTGACATGCAATGTTTTGGGTGGTAGAGGTGATGTCCCCAGGTGGACATCAACGGTACACAAGGCTTGGGCTGTGCTGGTAGTGTTTTCGGATATGGCTGCATCGAGGTTCCGGCCGATCAAGTGAGTCGGTATGTGTATCCCGCAGAAGGCTCTTTACGGTCTCAAGGCGACTGTAAAACCGCACATTCATCTTTCTGTCACGTCGGCGTGATGGTACAATGTCAGGAAGAATGTGAGCGCTGTGTATGGATCCCTCCGGGGGCTCCTGGCGGAGGGCCTTTCCTCGCTACGCTCGTGTTGGCAACTGAACCAAAATCTGTTGTTGCTCTTTGTTTGAAAGGCTTACCCAATGATACCCCGGATAATCCTTCATCAGACGTAGCTTCAGGCAAGTCTCTTGGCCACCTGTAGGTTGAGGCTCAGATGAGATCGCTTCAGACCCTTCAACGAGCATCACCCTGCGTTGTCCTGTACCTAGCTCACACAACCCTTAAAGCATGTAGGAGTCGCCCATAGATTCGATTGCGACTGTCTTATACGAGTTACTGTCAACCTTTCCGTTCTTGCAATTCCCTCTTCGGAAGCAGGAGGCTGCGAATTGGCCGTTGTTGGCGCAGTGGTATCTCAAATAGACTCCGCGCCATGTCTACTAGAATCAAGAAGACATGGTCTTTGCCCTCGATAGTACCACTGTGCCGCAGTTCTATGATGGCTTATTCACATGCGAAGGGTGCATGTCGATGATGGATATATCGGACCATCAAATCGGCGCTCGCGTTGAAGGTGAGGCGACGACAACAAGGTGGTGAAGATCGTAGCCAACGCGCCGGGGAAACGTCTCGTACTGACGAGGCCGAGCCTCCTCCATTAACATAGACCACCTGGGGAGTCGAAAGGTAGTTGCCATGGGGCTGAGAGGTCTGCAGGTGTCCATGTTCAAGTCGATTGTGTGAGTTCGGTGTACTGTACTTTGAGAGGAAGAGCAGACTGAAACGGCAGAACCTAACCGCAGTTACCATTGGGACATTCGCTAGTGATCGGGAGGAAGTAGACCCCTCATGATGTAGACCTCAATCTTGACCATTTTGGCGGTTTTTACGTCGTCATGATCGGCGGGGCAAAGTCCTTCGGAAACATGAGATTCCTTCTGGGTTCGGGGGCAGCTTCCGCCGTTTGATGTTGTTCCATCTTGAGTTCTTGTAGGGCTTTGAAGCCTTATTTGCTTGCGGCAATCGTGACACTCGGTTTTGATCGGGGTACATCGTGGCTACGCTCGGAAGGAATGTGCAACTATTAGTATACGTCCACTTCAAACGCTTACTCACTCGTCCGTGAAACCTGCTTCAATTACTATACCATTAGGTACATGACGAGGCATTTGATGAGGCCAGGCGCGCCATCAGCCGGATGAGCTCTGACTCCGAAGTTCTCCAGGCATCATTGAGTGGGTATTCAATGCACAGTCAAGCGCAACATTGCAGCTCATGGTAAGCCATCAGCTCCCAACTTGTAGGCTTGCGGTTTGATTCGTTCACCGAAACGGCCGTCTTCTTTTGGGAAGGTCGCGTTTCGTTGCAGTGATTGTAGTATCGGGCAGTTAGTGTTAACGGACGAGACTTTATGTTCGTGGTCCCCCGTTGATTGACGACCTTAATATCTTGAATTGCACTTTCGAGAGGACCGGGGAAAGGTTGATGGGGTTGTCGATACGAATAGAGCTCCCTCTGTCGACTAAGAACCCGAAGTCGGAAGCCATGCACTCTGAAGCTTGGTTACCGGAGATGTGACGTATCGTAGGAAACACGCCACGACTGTTCGCGACTGGCGATGAAGTGCCAACGGGTCGCCCGGCGGTGAATTTCCGCCTGTTCATGGTGAAAAGCCGGTCAATGGGCTGGGACATCTGGGGATGGGATCACTGCAATTTGTAGTGGAAGTAAAGCCCACCGCCACAACGAATCGTCTCTCGAGTTGGGCAGAAATGCAACAGTTTCGAAAGAGATTGGATGATGTCCATATTAATGACAGGATGAGTTGAATGTACCTTCTGAAGAGGCCAAGAGCTTATGGCTTTTGAACGTCCCTGGCTGGTTATAGGGACCTGGTTCGATCGAGTGGCTCCCGGTTGAATGGCCGGCAACAACTGACAAGCACTGCGAGCCTCGTCCCACCATCGAATCTCGCAACAATAACAATCAAAAGTTTGTCAAGATCCAAGATTCAACTTCTTCCTCACACACTCACACTCCCAGTCTTCCGTTTCTGCCTCATCATCATGTCAAGCGACTACGAGAGTGAGGAAAGCGTGACAAGTGTCGACGGGTTTGAGATTCTCGATGGCATCATCGAGAAGTTCTGCACCCTCCCAAGGAGCCGCTCAAATGTCCGTTTTGGTCATTTGACGGTGCCAGCGTATTTCACTACGAAACACAACATCGTGGACCTTCTGAGCTCGTCTATACACGAAGCAACAGAGTCTACACAGATCTTTGTTCTGTCGCGCAAGGAGCATCGACTTTTTTCCTCCTTCCGATTTGAACATCTGCCATTACGATTACATGAGCGCGAACAGACACTCGATCATGCGGAGCTCTGTACCGTTTTGGAAGAATGTCGGTATGATCCTGACAGTCCCGAAGAAACCGATATCTGGTGGGAAGGAAATGAGGACGACTGGATTAGGGAGCAATTCCTGCCCAGAGAAGTATTCATTGCCTTTTCACTGGATCCTTGGATGTCTGCTGCTTGCGCCCTCGCCCTTACCGGACTTGTTCAGTGGGCTTGCGACGTAGCCAAGAGTGATGGTGCGAATATCCGGGTGTTGACGTTCTCAAACTTCTTTGGGAACAGTTTGCTATCGGAGCTCGTCAGCCTTCGCTCTCAACAACCTGTTGAGCACTTTGAGTTGCCTATCCCAACTCGATTCAACCTCATTCCCGACGCAGCTATCGACTTAACACATGAGGATCATGTATACTCAACCATTCAAGCCCGAATGTCACCTCTGAACGCCGAATCGAAGAATGCCGTCCTGGTAGTGCCTCCGATCAACAGAGAAGACTTGTTCCCGGGGTTACGATTAGCGCACAATGTGCGTTACCAGTACCTGTTGATCAAAGACGTCCTTGATAGTGGTGACTCTATGTCTTGGAACCTCACCAACCACGCTCCTGGCTTCGGGAGAACGGTCACCGTCATTCAGGTCGACTTGGAGCACCCAATCCCTGACGTTCTCACTGGCTTCGAACGTGTCCACGTCGTTCTCGTTAAAAGCTGCATGAGGACTGTCTTTGACGAGGACACCAAACAAGTCGTCAAGACTGAACTCTCGATCACTCAGAGTGAGCTTGATGGGCTACAATGGTGGTGCTTCCAATTGAACAATCGATTCCCTCATATCCGTGTCTACGCCGGAAGTGAGGGTCTCAGAGCAAACGAAGATGCCGCTATTTACAGACCTCTTCATATCATGAATGACCATGCTGGTGCTTTTATCAGTGGCGTCTATGGCATGTCTAGCTGGGGTATTGATGTTGACCGAGTCGTGGGGTGCTTCATCAAGTCAAATGCGATCATTTCACAGGTGACGAGCCTTTTGCGAAAGGAGGGTCTCATCCATGGACATCTTCCCAGGCTTGCATTTACGGGCTCTGAGGAGGCTACATACCGAGTTGTACTACGCGCCACTCGCTACGACCATCGCATCGCGCATTTCTATGCATTGCCCTCGTCAGATGCCAAGGTCCGGTTGCTCAAAGCACAGCTGGCAGTTGTCCTGACCGTGTCCAAGGACTGGACTGTGGAGATTGATCCCGAAAACGACTTCGGTGCTGATGTTCCGGTCTTTGGCTGGGGATCGAATCTCTGTAATCTTGGAGATCTCTGGCAAGTTCTTGGAATGTGGAAAGTCATTGCTGTGAACTGGAAAGACTTTGGAAGCATTCCCGTTCGTCAGGAATCGGTGTGGGATGCGACTGGCTATCTGACACTACCCATAGGCGCCGCTCTTCACTTTTACGGCACGAATCGTGACCTAGAAAAGGCTCTGTATGATGCAGATATCTGCATCGGGCTGCCTCACCATCACATCAAGGATGAGACTGAGAGTCTGAACAATGATCACATGCGGGAGGTGTTGCAACATTTGTTGCGCGCTTTCCAGCATCAACTCATTTCCACTCGTCTCGCTGTTGTCGATGGCGAGGAACATCTGAAGCACACTGTTGTTTCAAGTGGGAAAAGTGTTGAACTGAGGAGGAAGAGGGCCGTATCTCCTCTTCCTGACGCAATCTTCACGGACCTGGAGAGAAACGGTGTTATTTATGGCATATGCACAGAGTTCATCAAGGAGGAAGACTCCCTGGTGGCCATGAACTGGACATGTATTCCTCATGATCTGGTCGCGGAGTACATTTGATCGAAGACGATGGACCTGCGTTCGAAGGTGTACCATGCTTTGTAATGGGTTGGTACGATCTAAAACAAGCATCATCGGTTCGCCCACAGCAATCTGATGTTGCACTTCTACTGGGTGTCCAAGTTACCTGGTGAGGAAGCTCTTAGTACGGGTTCAGGCGGAAACTTGCACCCAAGGGGAGTCGTTTGCAAAGCCTGTTCTTCACATACTAATATGATGTAGTCATGTCTCAATTGGCAACGATCTCAGTCCACGACCGACAAGTATAATATAGGAGCCGCGACTCGTCGTGTTTTCAATATTGCTGGTGAAGATTGACGACACAACACTTGGTGGTCTGGCATGACCGATCGACGGTCACTCTATATGGGAGGCGGTTGGGCGAAGGACAATGTGCTGGAGGGACATGCTGCGAATTGGGAGACGGGACTGATGAAATTAGCTGAAAACAAGGGAACTAAATACATGCTTCCACGTTCATTTAGCTCACATGATAATGATACAGTGACTTGCGTAAATCTGGTTATTTGCACACGTAAACAGTACTACACGTGGATGTTGCTCCTAGAGAGCTATTGCTGTGGCATTATTATGGTCGCTCACACATTGTAGTATGAACTCAGTTAAGCTAGTTTAGCTGAGATTGAGATCCCTTCTAAATTAGTAGTTCAGACAATTTCACACCTTTAGGCACTTTTAGATGAGTTTATACGCGGCGAAATAACCGTTAGGTAGCTAATTACACATATCTGCGGCCTATTTAATGGAAATTCTTTATATCTGACTGAGGGAGAGGCGAGATAACATAACTGAAAGTCTTGTGCTTTCGTAGCTCTCGAGTCGATTGAACAAGAATCTTCGATGAACGGAAGATTTGGAACAGAGACTCGCGGGTATTGAATGACTTCAATACCCGACTGATACTGCTGTCATTTAGTTTGGCCAAATCAACTCTAAAGTAACGAATAGATAAGAAGCGGTTTGGAATAGGGGTTAAGATCCTACTTTCTCGTAATACCGCGTTTGGGGATATGACGAATGAGCAGCAGTAATTGTTGGTCCGTGAACTTGGCGTAACGTGTCCGTGCCCGCCCAGTGGAAACGCCTGTTCATCCACAACTGCACGTTAAATGATGATTCGTCGTTCTGTTCTTGAACTTGACTCGACATGACAACCGCACGCTGAACATCTGATTTTCGATATCTCTGAAAGAGCTATCATCAGATGGTCATTGATGTTAAGCATAGGAGGGAGTGACTTGGAGATAAGGGTCTAGAAGGGATGTCAGAGTTACAGAAAGTTAAGCAGCAAATTCTATATGCAAAACTACAGCCAATTTTTGCTCTCAGCTTTGTGTATGAGTATTTAAAGATTTCAAATGTTCAGTGTTGTAGTCAATATACAAACAAAAATGTCAGGGGAACAGACTGTGTTAGATGCGAGTCTGTATATACCGTAATACTTCGAAATATGTTGTCTACTCTATGTAGTGCAATTGTCTAGATTTCCAGAGTTCCTTTATGTAGGCTTCATGAGTCCAGGACCCTCGATAAAGCTTCTGGCCTTGAACATATCGAGTGAAGCTCCTGCTAGCATGCAAAAGGGGAACGCAGCCGATGCATTCCGGAGGCATAATTTGTCTATGAACAGCTTACAGTAACGGCGACCCGAAGAACGTCTACAAAAACAGCAGTATTGATTCTATATTCAGTAAGATAGTCCGTCGTATCTTCCGTGAGGAAACCCTTGGGTATGAAGTCACACATTGGATTGTTTTCAATCCGAAACGTTCTCAGATTGTATCGACTCACGAAAGGTTCAAGGTCGGTATCATCAAGGGTATGTGGTGTAAGCCACATTTGTCGAGCGTGCTGTTCAGAACGATCAGAATACAAAGACTGTGATTATTCGCGTTGACGGGTACGATGAAAAGGAGCTAGCTCGACTTGATGACATATGGTTGGATACTTTAGCTGTGCTGATACCTTCAATGCTGTAAATAACAACACACTGGAGGCCGGAATTAGAACACGATGATCATGCTGTTGCACGTCAAACGTCACGCACCGTGGGTGATGTTAATGCGGCTTCACATCATCCCATATAAAAGGTTAGATTTAAGGTGCCTGTAGTCAGGTTCGATAAATGGATGGTTCAGTACCTACTGGCTGTGAATGCTCATCAAGAAATGCGCCCCAACTCCGATCTCGACAGCATTCGTTCCGAACACCTAAGCTAAGACTACACTCTCGACAGCCATTGAGTTCCACGTTAATTGTATGGTTGCTGTACTCTTTGTGGTTTCTCATCTTGTTTCTCACAGTCATGGTCTCATTGTCTTTTCAGACGGGGCGGTGCCATAATACCTTCGAAGAATGCCCGGTTTTGGACGATGGTCGGACATGGCATCTAATTTCGGGTGCTTATCAGCCCTGAGCCACTTCCAACTCTATGCTCTTTTGGTAGTTACCGTGCCACTCTTGAGAATGACACCGAAGTGTTCCCAACCCTTCGAACCAGCCCATGTTCTCAGGTTCATCCTCGAGGAATCTTTCTGACGGGAAGTGAGGAACGGTAATTTCCAAAGGGTACAGCCGACCATCATCACAGAATATCCAGGCGCGCTGTTCAAATATCTTTTGCTGGAGATCGAGTGTAAATAAGAGCTGTTTCCTAAAGTGCTGGTACATGGGCGCTTCGTCTTTGATACGATGGAGGCTTCGGGATGGCATGCCAACAAAGTCCTTTGTGGTGTGGCGAGTTCCATAAGTCCTCGATGCACTCCAGCGAGGTCTCCTTTGAAGGGTATCACAAAGATCTTAGCCAAGAAACTTGACAAGAAGGCCAAGGCCATTTTTAGAAAACTCCATTAGCAGTAGCACTCTATTGTGAGGAGGTAAACCAAGATCATACAAATAGGAAGCTGGATCGAGGTAGAGAATATCGGGGAATATAAGCCCGGGCCCAAGAGATGAATCAGAACGGATATTTGGAAGCCTGCCATTACAGTACTGGGCGAATTTAACCCCATACAGCGAACAAGCTTAAGCATGAATGCTTCGGTGGCTTCAATGTCGGAAAAGGGACACGGGAGTTTCGGGATAACGGGATAACGGGATAACGGGTCGAGATCTTCCTGGCGCCGCCGTCGGCTTGCGGATTCCTGATGAGGGACCGCCTTGATAGTCTTGCAGCTGAGCTCGTGTAGCAAGAAGGCTTTGAGGAACCTCTTCATTTTCCTATCCGTGAGTTCGTCAATTCGGAATCTCTCCGATATTCTCTGTCCGCGAAAGACCATGTTTTCGCCTCCAGGTGATTAGATCAAAGGCAGAGAGAGACATTCCCTCGGTGGGAACAGAGACGTGGCTTTGGTGAGGTGATATTGCGTCAAGAGCAGAATAGGTCGGTGTAATTTGTCGAGCGTTTTAAATAACCCAGGCTCGTGATGTAGAAGTGGGATGTCTACGGCAAGTCTACTTCACAATGTTGTTGCCCAAGAGATTCTGTTCAATTGATGTAACTCTGTTGTCCGTTTTGTTCTTCCCATCTGAACCTCCATCCCCTGACTAGTAATCATCTGCAGCAGTCTCTCAGTGATGCCCCTCTAGAGTTAAATCCCGCGTACCAGCTTGCCTAGATACAGATGGCCCAACGAGAGAGTGCATGCATTAAGCTTCGCTGTGTTGTGAAGGGGAGTCGCTCTCAGTGCCTGTGACATACCGAGTCAGTTGCTGCTTGAAGACCCGGTTCTCTTCCTGAAGACTTCTGATGAGACTCTCATGCCTCTCAACCTTGCCGTCTGTCTCAGTCAACCGTTTCGACAAGTTCTGAATCTCAGTCTTCTGAGACTCAACGCTGGATTTCAGCTCCTCGATAAAACGATCTTGGGCTCCTACATGAGGGGCGCGATCCCGTTCGTGTTGAATAGAGCCAGGTCCAGCCGACGCAAGCTGCTCCATCAATGTACTTGGATCGCGTTGACTCCTTCGATGAGAGATTTCGGTGGAACGGGAGGAAGTGCTGTACCGGGCAACTTGAGCAGAAGAAGTGGCTTGTCCACGGCGCGGTCTGACCGATCTCTGGGGAGAGGTAGGAGGCGAGTCTCTGTCGGAATGTGATCGGTGGCGGGATCGAATAATCGCATCAGAAATATCAGGAGACGGGGGAGGGCTGCGAGATCGACTAGCCACTCGTTCGGTGTCTCCTGTGGATGGGCCTGATCGGCTGGCTGGCTGCTCTCTGTCTGGGAACTAGTCAGGAGAGAGACTCAGAGTACCGTGGATACCGGGCCTGGCAACGATCCTGAGCATCTGTTTGCATGCTCGAGCATCAAGCTCACGAAGTTGGTCCCTGGTGGGCACTTCGTCCCTCTTCAACAGCCTGAAAGCATCGGCTACGGCTTTCACGGAATAGCTCACGCGCTCATCGGAATAGGCAAACGCGTCGATCGTCTTCTGGATACACTCCACATCTGTTATTCGAAATGGAATGATGTTGTGTCGTAACAGGTCCAGCTCATGCTTCGACGGGAACTTCTCGACGGTGGTGCTTTCACCAATACCGTACATCAAGTCGGAAAAGACACTGGGCTCCTCCCTCTCTTCGATGGCGGCGTTCCTTGCGTCAATGTGGAGCTTGTGTATCGTCTTCGGCAGCTCGTCGTCGTCGAATGACTGCAGTGTTGCACTTAGTGACCGTAGAACTGGGCAAGGCGCGTCAGGAAAGGGAAGCCAGCGAAAGTTGGTCCTGCCGCCAACGCGACAATTGGCGGCATATATCAGAGTATGGACGAATGGGCGGTGGTCCTGCTGCCAGACTGTGTGAACGACGAGGTCTGAAATGGCCTTGCAGCCTTCGTTGGTGAAAAGGTGATATGAAAGGATGCTTCTGTTCCTCTTTGGAACAAACTGTAACCGATTGTACGACGAGAGCAAGATCGGAGGAGCTTGCCTAAAGAACCGGACACAGACACGCCAGAGTTCTCGCAAAGGGTCATCATTGGTTCTCCGCGTACCAACGTGATCAGATGACTTCTTGCGTTCCGACTTTTGCCACTGGTCCTCGATCATATCCTCTGCGGCCTGGTCCCAATCGTCATGGAGAGGCTCTTCGTCTTGCAGGATATCGGTTATTGTGTCGAGGGTGACCGCGCGATGTCGTTGCAGTATCGCCTCGATGATGGGCACAAGACTTTCATCAATCTCGGCCGCCAAAAGTCCTCCTGGCCTCCTGGCCGCCTGTGAGTCGTTGCTTGCTGCATTCATGTTGATGGTGGTATTCTCAAAGCCTAGACAGTTTCTATGAAATGTCAGTTGACGCGAGACACATAACGTTGTTGAGCTTGAACGCTTACTCGAATACAAGTGCAGAGGTTTGGGAGAAGAATGGAGAATGTGAAAGCTCGAGAATTAAGCGAGCTCAGGTGGTCCAAGCGCAGTTTGCTTCTGAGTGACTCAATGCCTCACAAGTCTTGTTCATGAATCACGGAAGGATGTCTGTGTAGCTTTGCTTGACTTAGACAATCGAATTTACAGCTACAGAGTTGAGTAAAGAACAGAAGTATAGGTTCAGTAATATATATAATGAATCCCTTTAGAGTCTAAATCTCATAGGTGGTTACGCGGAGATCAATGCGACGCTTATGAGACACGTATCATGGAAAGAACAGTTACATTCAACCACGGAGGCATTCAAAACAGTATTAAGATACATAAAGGCTCAATACTTTCAACGGAAATGTGTGGTTGAAGAGCACCACTGCTGATTCCGGGCCTCTTCCTGAGATTCGGACGATGCCTCGACACAATCAAAACAAGACTCGGTCACCAGTGAACTTTGAGAGGTTACAGGGGGTGACCAGCATAAGGTCCTGTAGCCCAACAGTTACTCATCAATCGGTCTTCCAGGGATAATAGACAATTTTATGCACAACTTGAACGCAGCGAATTTGAAGCGAGAAAGCATCAGGTCATGATAAATTTGACTCATTGCCTTGAGCCACGGTCAGACCACATCAAAACTATAGTTTCTGTACTCGTATCCTGTCCTCATACTTATAGACTAAATCCTTCAGACCTTCGACATGTCTTGGACGCAAATATCCTCCAGTGATATCAACGTCTAGCTTGGCTTCAACTTGAAGGGCTTAGCTTTCAGCCACCTCGTTACGTTTTGGCACTTTCCGTGCCCATCCCTTAATAACACAGTCGGAGACGTGCCGTGTCGTTGCTCTTTCATCTCATCGGGAATCAGTTGCCTTGACCGTGGTATGATGTTGAAGCTGAGAGCGGCGGTCGCGCTCGGGACAGACGGTTCTGTCACGGGAGGCTGGCGCAGTGTAGAATAATGATTGGGAGCGCATCTGGATTGCTGATGGGAATTGGGAGTATAGAGCCAAGGATAGCGTGGCATAGAGTTGACTGACTTGAGTTTGGCCGTCGATGGACACGGGCCTTGAACGGTTTCAGCCACTCTGTTTCTGAGCCCATGGGCGTCTTGTCGGTGATCCTCGAATTGCTCCTCCGGACACGAAGCCATCCCCAACTTCGGCGAGGAACCTTCTGAAAAGGCTCCACTCTCTTGAGTAACTCTTATCAGAAACCGAGCGATCCGGGTGATTGACTCCTCGGAAACCCTCCACGTTGGTAAGGTCGGGAGGCAAGATGTCGCAATCAGAGATGGATACGGCGGTGGCCTTTTCGAGAAAGTGAATTGATCGAAACACTTGCAAATGAGGCGTCGGGGGCGGAGACGGTTCGAGTAGACGGTGTTGAGATATGGTGGAGTCCTAGAAGCTGAAGTGTTAGCAGAGGTTAAGATATCGCAAGCCCCCGAATGATTCATAGTCTTCACATAAAGGGGCATCATCACTCTTGATTACATGCCAACATTCGTTCCATCATCACCATCACCAGTGTCGTCCGTGGCCTCGTAGACACGATCCCCCTCTTCAAGGCTCCCAATCGATACGGAGGAAAGAATCCAGCGACGAGGTCCGTTCTCTGTACAGATTCGCGTCTCCGGAAATATGAGTTTGGTTCCTGTGGTCTTGGAGCAGCAAGTTAATGGTGTTGTTGAATAGAACTCAGAGTTGGGTGAATCCTCACAGGTCGGACACGGGCGTCGCGTGGCATTTCGTTGCTTGCCTTTAAGCCTCGATCTCGCTCGTGACGCCGCTGAACAAGGTCAGTTTCGTGACGAGGGAGGAACTTCACTCACAAACAGTTGATGGGGCTAGAGATATCCTCTATCAATATTCGTGACTTGCCAATAGGTCACACTGCCTGCGTGTTGATAGGTGTTCTGCTCGTGTCATCTTCCACGGTATCATCCCTGTCAGCTTCTAGTAAAGTATAAATGTTTTGAGTGTAATGGTTCATCGGAGAGACTCTCGGTTGATATCAGGCGCTCGTATTTACTTCGAGTGGGGTGACAAACCAGTCACTTTCAATTGCGATCATCGAGAGTCGTAATAGACCAGCGAGACTGCAAGGTAGCGGCCAACTCGCTCCAATAAACTCAGAAAGTCCTATTAGAGTAGGTTCGTGGAGTGATACACTTGTGATAGCGTTCAAGGATATCCACTTGTAGACTCATTGAGTCTTCTCGTGTATCGGTGAGTCGGCTTGTAATTGTGGTGCGATAGATAGGGACATTCGACTACATTGGCGTCTTTCGTGGCGATGCGCAGAGGCGGTCGTTCAAAGCATGGCGGTATGATGGTTTCTAATAATACTGTCAGCCATGAACTCAACGGTCAAATACGGCCACCTGCTTGGAAAACAAGCGAAACTTGCCTGTTCTGAGTCAGTCCGTCTGAAATGAACCATGACTCCGACAACGTAGACTTTGGCGGGTAGCGTAGGGATGATGCGAGGGAAACAGTCCTCGTTGGCGGACAGACGGTAAATGACTTCGAGACAGTCGAGATAGGAGCGAGGACCAGAAGGTAGGCCGCGATGAAAACCTTGGTCAACCTGGATTGGTCATGGTGAAGAAGCAGAATCCAACGAGGTTGGACCTCAGCGGGTAAACAGACTACCCCGCTCCGATCTGTGTAACACCATGCTCTGGAGAACGCGGAAAACTGCTAGAGGAATTTAGCGAGATTTGTGTAACACTTTTTTAATGAAACTGAAGGTGTTGTCGCGTGTTCTTCGGAGTCACTCCTAAAGTGGCTTGTTGGATGTTCTCGAGGAATGACACCAATATTTTTAGTGAAGTTCACCCTCCTTGTTACATGGGCCTCTCCCCGGATGTGAAAGTTGGTGACTAACAGCAATTCAAGTGAGTTGGCATCTTTCCCAGCATCCGAAACCGTCATAATTGGGTTTAATGTGAGGCGCTGGAGTCTCCAGGGTAGCGCAACATCACCGAGACTTGCAAGGTTCAATTGTGGGTTCTCGACGATTAGCGTTTGGATATTGCCTGATTGAGACGACACATGCTTGATCATTGGTTAGGACCCATGAATGGGGACATCAAGAGCTGGACCATGCTATTAGTGCCTTGGGGGACTACACATAGCTCGTGACACAGTCAACTGAAGCACATTCGCGGACACCCAACCACAGCAACGCCCCCAATGGCAGGCTTCTTATGCTTGTCACGACAAATGAAAAGTGGTGAGACCATGTGAGATTCAACTACAGAATAGTCAACCCGAGAAGGCCGTGGGACAAGACGCCTCAACTTGGCACTCGTCCTGTTTCACTCAGCCGGAACCAGTGATTTCAAGGAGAGATTACAAGACCGACGCGGGAATCCGGCAAATGATTTATGATAATGTGAAATGATGAAACATTTGTGATTTCAGTAAGATGATACTCGTCATTATCTATCTGACTGACTTGAATGTTTGTACGTGATAAAGTTGTATCTTGGGTGGTGAGATGGCACGCCCCGTTTGATGAGCGCTGTTCGACTTGTCCAGGGCGGGATTGAAGCTCGCCGGGTGATCCAATTTGAAGGACCAATCACAGGGCCACCTCCGTTTTTAGGTGACCGGGGTTCGGGCTGTTTTGACGGACCTGCTTTCAGTGGACTTCAGTAGACATCAGTGATTATTAGTGGATTTAGCGCCTGTTGGTGGATTTTGGGTTTTTTGAGCCTAGGTACGTACCATGTTCCGCGCTCCGAATTTTGATCGGCCCTGGCCAGCTAAGTGGAGGTACCTACCGGGCTGCTGTGACGGACGCTTTCAGTGGACTGCAGTGGACTACAGTGATTGTTAGTGGATATACCGTCTGTTTAGGTCGTTCCAGATTTGATTCTTAGGTACGTACCTTTTTCCGCGCTCCCATTTTTTATCAACCCCACCAGCAAAGGCATACACCTCGAGGAAGCATGTCGAAGGCTGATGTGACTGAGAATTTCTGCTACGATTAGTCAATTTAGATATTTCTAGCATAGTATCGACTGATTCAGTTGCCAGCGCTTTTGAAATTGCTCGAGTGCACTCAGAAAGCTCAGTATCTAATACTGGGTTGAGATGGACTGTCTTGGGTCTTTTGATCTTTCTGAGACCGGATGTCTTGCTCACTGTGAAGACTGCCCGACCTTCCATCAAACCCAAGGAGGCTAGCGTCATCCACTGACGCTTGATCCCTCTCGATGTGTGTTGTCCTCGTGTAACCTCGAATACCCCGCTTCTTTTTGCCTGCAGCCCTCCCTCTCACCTCTTGATCAACAGGCCTTCTCTCATTCATCACAAGGCTTCTTCAACAACATTCTCTCTCTTTCTTCCCGCCTGAGCCGCGGGCACAAAGATGGCCTCTCCTCGCCAAATCCTCTGTAACCTCATCATCCGCGAGGTTACTGATGAGGGAACCCCGAAACTGGTTCATCTTCGCTCATCGAGCAACTTCATTATCAGTCTGAACACCAAAGGGATTCGAATTTCGTTCCCTCGCAACCCAGATCGTAGCATCTGGAGTTGGTATTCCGCCGATCTTGCAACCACAGACTCGGCCCTGTATCATATCACCATCGAGCTGCCCCCACGAGGTTTCACTACGACTCACCAGGAACTCACTGTGAGGCAAAACGAACTACTATCAGGCCTCGATGGTGAATTGAGCGAATATCGACTTGTTAATCTGCAGATCTCGCCTCATTTCAACACCACTGTCATTGGCTTTGGCCTTCCATTTCATGGAGCGAACGCGACTGTTGATGATTGGGTGAACAAGCATACTCCAATCGCTGGGGTCGCGCCATTGTCAGAAATCCTGAAGACGCGCAACTTTACTCTCCTCGTAAAGGCCAGCGAAAATGACCTCGACAACATGATCAAGGGTATCAATGATCGGCACCAACGTAGCGAATACGGATACGGTACTGAGTAAGTCTCCATTGTCTCCTCCCTTAGGCTACAGCTAACATGTGCAGTCACAGATGGAACTGGGTGCGATACAACAGACAAATCCCTAAACTCAGAGGCATGCTCTTCCCCGAAACGATGCGCTTCAAAGACCAAAACGAAAGAGACACTGCTTGGACCCAGATCCACGTTCAAGATGTTTGGGACTTTCATCACGACCTGGAACATGTCAACGATGTTGAGATGCCGGCGCTTATCTAGAAGATTGGCAACGAACCCCTCCAACATGCGGCCAGGTTTCTGTGTCTACTGGAACCCTCCCGAGACGAATTCGTGAGTACATCTCCCAGCCTATGGCTCAAGCTAACATGTTAAGGAAAACCGGCATTGGCGTGCTGTCCACCGTGCCTTGAAGGGGTCCTTCACCAAGCTGCAAGTCGAGTTCCTGCCGAACCGGTCCCGACAGCTAGTTACCTGGGACGCGTCGCCAGTGATTTATGGTGACTCGGAACTCCCAAAGGACATTGATTCGTACGATCGAATTCCGCTGGTCTTGCTGCGCCCAGATACAGGCGACGAACACGACTTCTCGCCCATCGCCCACGACAAATACGAACAAGTCAACGAGGAGCTGGAACGGGATCATGTCAAGCTTATCTGCGAGTCGAACGCGTATGGGGAAGAGCTTCGTGTGCAGGCCATCAATCGACTGAGCGACGCCAAGGTATGGCCCACCATGCAGCAAGACACTCTCGCCCTCAACAAGAAGGCCATCTTCAATGAACTGTTGATCGGCAACGGACTCTGGAACCTTCATCATTCCGGCTCAAACATCGACTTGACTCCGTTCGACCTCTTCAAAGATATGCCCGTTGAGATTCGAGACACCTGTCTTGGCTTTGTCTTTGAAGGTGACCGAGGAAAGGTCCAGCAATATTTCAGCAAGCTTCATTTCGGCCTCGGAATTGTTTCCGGACCTGCTGGTACTGGAAAGTCAACCCTTGCCTCGGCCATCACAGTTCTCATGTGCCTTAATCAGACAATCAAGCACGTTTACGTGAGCGCCGCTTCAAACGAAGCAACCGACAATATCCTCGACCGCATCGACACCCTCGCCAAATCTATCATCAAGAAGCTCACCGAAGATGGTATTTCCGCCAACCAGCTGATGGTTGTCCGGGGGTACAGGATCAAAGATGAGCAGGACAAGTGTCTCCGAGCTCTGACTGGGCTGCGATTCAAGCCTGGTCCTCGAAGCTCGTCTGCTTGGAGGTTCAAGAACTCTTTGTGCTGGTGGACACTGCGAGTTCTGGGATCCAGCGCTGTCCCCCAATTGACCCCCAGTGACAACAGCGAGCTTTGGGAGCTTCACCAGAAACTCAAGGAGCTTTTGATCCCTGGGGCCGTGAAGGATCCCAACATTTCCGAGTTTGCAGGACTTTTGAAGCTTGCAGAAGAGGTCGACCCAAAGAAGCGCACAAAGTACTCGACCGGCACTTACCAGAAACCCTTACGCAATCTGATGGGCTTGGTTATCAAATGCTCCAACGTCGTGGCTACAACACCTGCGACATCCAACTCTTTCCTGTACAGATCATATAACTCCGAAGTGGCTCGTGGCGTCATCTTTGATGAGGCTGCCACATTGTTCTGCTCCGACGGCTTGTTGGTTCTCGGCAATACACCTCGACCTATGATCATGTTCGGGGATACCAAGCAGCTCGCACCGGTACTGCCGACGGCGATGGAGTTGCTCCATACTGGAAAGGACAGACGCGACAAAACACCGGAGGAAAAGATGTTTCCGACCAACAGATTTGCCGGCTTCTACCGAATCTCTTGGTTCCATTTGTTCATTCATCTCGGCTGGCCAGTGTTCAATCTCTACCGTCAACACCGAATGGCACAAGGTCTCTTTGACCTCTCTCTGAGGACAGCTTACCGACATCTGCTCCCCCATTTTGAGTACAGCCCGTACTGCCAATTGCAGAACTTTCCAATCGGAACGCAAGTTGAGAACTACCTACGACTTGAGCATCACATTCCGTCAGCCGGTGCGCATCGCATAGACCCCGTCTTCTTCAATTGTCTCAATTGCCCCTGCAGGAACTACCCTCACAAGGCGACGCGATTCAATCCCCGACAAGCCGATCTGATCGCTGAACTTCTGGTTAAGATGATCGAAAAGCTCTCGCTCAACCCCGCCGACATTGCCGTGATCACTTACTACCGAGCAAACCTTGCGGCGATCAGGAAGCGATTCAGAGAGGACGATAGACTCAAAGATGTTACACCTTCAACTGTCAACACGTTCCAAGGCCGGGAAGCTCAGATTGTGGTTCTGGCCCTGTGCGTCACCCGCGAAACCGGGCCATCGTTTGTTGCAGAACAGAGAAGTCTCAACGTCGCACTGACTCGGCAAAAGTCAAGTCTCCTAATCTTCGGAGATATTGACACCACGAACATCAGATTCTCAGATCTGCAAGAAGAAGACAAGGCTGATGATGGGCTTCAGAAGCCTGACTCCACAATGATTGACAATGTCCTTCGCACCATTCGGGCCAGCAGGCGGGTCGTGACTCTACATGGTAACCCAGAGATCGATCCTGACAAGGAGTGGAAGAAGCTGAACAGGCAACCCGAGTTCCTTGGGTAGAAATTCGAGCAGAGGACTGGACGATGTCATTGTGGATGGGGGCGGCAGTTTGTTGATTGCTGGGACGAGCGACAGCGTTTGGTAAATATTGATATGAAGACACTGGCTTCTGTGCATTAAATCTATGATCACTAAGGGACCATAGCTGGTAGTGTAGTAGTTTGTTTCTTCCGGCTGTCTCGGAATAGTTTGTGATATCGCTTTCATATCTCAATTCACCATGATGGACTGGGCACTGACCTGACGATCATGATTCAACATGGACTATTCGTACCGCCAACCTAGCCAAGGCACTGTGGCCATTTCGGCTCATTCAATGAAAAATGGAGATTTTGAGTCGTGAGGAGAAACACCCGACATGATTTATTGAACTACTGTAGAAATGAAGCCACCCAAGACCGCTTGAATCAATCAAGAGCGTAACCACGACATCAACCACACTGACATTAATTGACCCGTCCAGGAAGTGATTACTGATACGATGGACGTATGTTGGCCCTTGTGATGGTCTTACTCTCCTCCGGCTCTACCAAATTCCCATTTCAAGTCTTTCATTCTTGTAATCCACCATATGATTCTTTTAGCAACTAGAGTTCCAACCCTATCATTTACTAACCGTGATTGAGCCCTATGCCTCATCCAAAAGGGATTAGCAATGGTTTGTTCGAGAAGCAGGGTCATGGGTCGGCCGAGCCTTCCTCATCCTGGCAATTGGAGAGAATTCCCCAATTCGGACGCCAAGCCTCCTGCTATTGGACGCGGCAATAGACGCGCGTTTCGCGGTGAAGAACACGTGGTGTTGTACTGAAGTCTCTTCCGACTGGGATTAGATCTGGGAACGAGGAGCGTGGTGAGCCAGCCGAGCTATACCGAACAGGGAGCCGGGGGCGGCGATCTTGGTGGCTGAGACACCATCTCTGCAGTCGAGGCATGCTTATCTTGGGTTCGGGAGAGGCGCAGATTGATTTCCAGCGGCGAAGATGGTGTTGATTGGGGTTGTTGTAACGATTGTCGGGCTTGATCAAAGTTTGCACCTAAGATCGGGCGGCGCGGAAATGTCGAATGCTCCGCCTGAGTTTAAGCAGTCACCGGCAAGCTCTAGCGCTATCTTTGGCTGGATTCCGAATATTACGTGCTCCGCGCGGCTCAAGAAGCGGTCTCGTGTCAGGGGGGGAGTGAGAAGCGGACCAGTCTTCGGTCATTTTCGTAGGGATGTTTGCAGTGGCTTGGAGGAGGCGTCAGCATGAAGAGGGTGGATTCAGGTGCCTCGCGGGAGATATTGTTCGTCACATTGTAGGAAAAACCTGTCACAGTACGGTGATGGTGGAAAAGCGGGATATTAATTGGAGGAAACATATAAGCGCAGCAAACAATTGTTCTCCCTACACCTTTGGTCTTCTTACCGTGATGTAAAACTAATACCGCATACTATTTTTTCAAAGCGTCGAATTTGGTCAAGCTGACATTTCAGTCATGTTTCCCATGTTAATGCTAATAATTGTCTTATTCCATACAGCACGATTGTAATTCCAAATTGCGTCCGTACTCATTCTCTCCCAAACCTCGACTCATCGTTCCGTAACATCCACAGCCGAACACTATCGCCCTCTCAATCACTCTCAAACCCAGACTCAAACTCAGACTCATCGCCAGCCAGCACCTCATTGTCGGAAGGCGTCTCACCAGGAGGATTCGTGACTCCAACCATATCTCTCCACATTGCAACTTTCTGGTAATTGCCAACAAGACATCGACGAACAAAAGTCTTCAGCTCTCGATTGTTTCGAGGGTATTGGTCATCAGACAGCCCCCCTTTGCGCTCAAAAGCTTCAAAGACCTTCCCTGGAGTTTCTGTCCAGTCAACATTGTCCCAGTGGAAATGTGTCACCGCCGTTGTCAGGATCTGTAGATCCTTGGTGGTGACTGGCAATGTTGGATGACCAAGGTAAGTTTGACTGTAATCAGAACTGGGTGACATTCTGGCTATCTGTCCCAGGTAGACAAGAAAATCTGAGAATTCTGACGGAGGAGCTTCCGTTTGAGCCTCCCTGGCCTGTATATGCATCTCGTGGACACTCGCAGTAGCCATAGGCCCATCTTCGTGTTCATAGAACAACTCATCGAGTGCTTTGAGGGCAGGGCACTCGATCAACTCCGCAGCAACTCCAAACGGCCATGGTGTACGGCTGTCAAAACGAACCTTGACAGTGTACTGTATGGCCATGATCAACAGGTACGGGAGACCCTGCCAGCATGGGTGAACAGCCAGTTCTGCAAACAGGCGGCTGAACTTTGGCGTGAAAACCACATGAGACGCCTCCATGCCTGGTGGTGGGGTCGGGCGATAGCGCAGTTTGTTCTCAAAGGACAACATCTCATGCGGTGTGGTCCAGAACACGCGGATGCAGACTCTGCAGACAGTCTTCAAACCCTCTGAGGCGTCTGTGTCCACTGCTGTATTGAAAGCGTCAAAGTCTCGCTTGGTCTGCGAGCCGTTCCAAAGCCTCATACACTCTCGGTCAATAGGTGAAGGCTCGATGCTCCTGTTCGTTCGACGTGGGACCACGAAACGCATCATGTCCTGTGGAGGTGGACCGCGGATATCTAAAGCCAACTGAGCAGCCACAGTTGCTACGGCTATCATGTCGAATTCGTTGTCGTTGGACGCTGAACGGTTAGCTTTCGAAAGCGCTTTATGAAAGTGACGGTAACAATTGCCATACTTACAGGATTGATTGTGACTCATTTTGGTACTGGGACTGTAAATTTAGAGACGACATGTGTTGTTGCTTGTAGAAGGGAGGACAGAATCCAGCACCTGCTGTAGGCACCGGCCGATGACGGCGGGCACGGTTGGGGTTACACAAGTCGTCAATGCACATTAGGTAAGCTGTGAATCAAAGTGAAGTGGGGACGCCTTGGACTCTTCTTCAGTTGCCGCTGAATCTTCTCTTCTTCTCTCTGCCATTTTCAACCCACCTTCACACCAATATCACAAGTAAGTAATCCCATGAGTCCCTTCATACAGATGCTGACATTTATGTTGCAGCTACGTACCCGATCCCAGACACCATGTCCCCGCAGTCCAACTCTGGAGAGCAGCCCATCTCTGCGCAACCTCCCCTCGACATTGTTGAACAAGGCAAGCAGAAACTGGAGTCCCTCCAGTCCGAACTCGAACAAGCCCGCCAGCAACGTCTTATGGCTGAAAAGATGGCGACATACTGGAAGTCATCAAGCGAGAACCTACGACAGGTGTCCATAAAGAGGAACAAATCGTACAAGGACTTGAAGAAGTCGAATGAGGAGCTTATCAAAGCGAATCAAGACCTGAAGAAGGCGTTTGAAGACATGCGCAAGGAAAGAGACAATGTCAAAATGGAGCGCAACCTCGTTCAGAAGGAAAAGGATGGCCTTGAGAAACGCCTCCACGATCTGTTTGCGGGATTCTGAGAGGTGTAACCGGGACGAGTAAGCGACGCGGTGAGATTGCTGCTGTCGCTTGGAGGTTCGGGTCAGTCGTACGGCGACACCTTGAGACAAGTCGCCCATCCATGGGACGAGGTTGCTGGGAGGAAGACACGAAACGGTAAGCTTTATATCAGTTCAAATGAACAGCAACTGATGTACTTTGGTTTACAGGTATTTCCCGGTTTAACGGCATGAGTGGTAGTAGACAGAGAGAGCAAGAGAGAATACTACAATGTCATCATGGTACCTTTCACCTACGTCCCAAGCAGTCTTTATTGGCAACAGATGGACTCTGATATATTTTCTTTTACTGAGATCAATGTTGGGGTGATGAAATGTACAAAGAGCTCCATTTTGCACGGGGAAGCGATGGTGACAAGACTTTTCATGTTGTGGTAGCGTCGGAACTGTTGCCACGATCGCGGAATAGGCACATTCTTGAACATACTCGGGGTTGCTGTCGCACCTTCCAACTGCCGAGCGAGTGCCACGTGTGACCAGGTTATGCTTATTGTTGGACAGCCAATGACCAAAGACGTGATGGCCAAATCAGGAATGTGTCCATCGTGACTGTTGTATATGGAAAGAGCGACCTGCCATTACGTGGTGGGATGGGTGACGCTGTCTGACTCTCCGAAGCTCTTCTCTCAATCAGCCACGTACTGGAGACCTCCTTCAAAGTCGCGTTCTATCCATAGACGACCTACCGAGGCTCGGAATGCTGTGGTGTGATTGCCCGGTGCCCACGAAGCAGCATGGAGCCGGGAGAGGCGAGTGCATACCAGCGTTGTCGTGTATCTCAAACTGCCATTTGAACAGGGCCGCGACACATGAATCGCGATATGACGCTTTGAGGCAAAACTGTGGCTTCCGACGACCTTGGACTTGTTCACTTGGCGTTTGTGAGGGATATACAATAGGTACCGCGACTCTTGTTGTGTGGCAAGGAGGTAGGCGGATGTGTCCATGGATGAGTGGGGGTTCTGAAGCACATACACGAGATCCTTCAAGATTAAGGGACAGATGAGCAGGGCGGTGGATGGATGAAGCTACAATCTGTGTCTCGGGGGTGAACGGGTCTGAAGTGAACGATGCATACGAATGAGTAAGTGGCGAGTATGCTTGCGCGGGTTGCAACTGTGCTTCGTGATAAGTTAGCACAATTGTTTCTCCATCTCCTCATGGGTTAATCGTGGCTCTTCTTCGAGACTGAGCGCGAACACATTGTTAGCCCAGTGACACGCTCACCTTGGTAATACGGAAGGGTTCTAGTTGGGGGAATGTGCTAAGATATCGACGTTGGCTCGTATAGAACTGACGGATCTTTGGCTGTGGCGGTAGGAAAAGGCGATAGAGGCTGATCCCAGCGGCGGCCCCTTTCGTCCAGAATTCTTCGCGTTTGTGATCGGACTGTCTAGCAAGCTTTCTCTAAACACCCAACAACACCCATCTTGCCATCTATGTCTCTGCGCTGTCAGACAAACTTTGGATCGGATTGCGCATTACTTGGTGCCCTTGTCATCGGTGGTAGAGGTGGTGGAAGCCTTGCAACGTTAGATTGGGCATCAGAAGAAAGCAGCCAACGTACTTTGGTAGCATTAGGTCCGTTGGCGGCCCACAGAGACTCAGTGTCCTGGGAGAACTTGTCGGCAAACTCAGAAGCTGGAATCAGGATAGGGCCCATCGTCAGCTTCATGAAGCGACCTTTCTCATTCTCGATCATGGTGATGTCCGATTCGCCTGTCTTGAGGTTGGCAGTAATCAAGCCGCGAAGACTGTCAGTGCCAAGGCTGGCGACTCTTTAGGCATTGCCAACGACGGGATCGGGTTTCTTGGTGGCAGCGATCAGGTTGGATTCAAGGGCCGCGGCCAGGGTCTTCGCCTCCTCGATCGCCATTTCGAGGTATCGGATGCGGTCGACGATAGAACGGAGCTCCTCGTCGCTGAGAAAAGGCATTTTGGTCGCTTTGACAAGTTAGCGGCGAACTATAGAGAGCCTGTGAACTAAACTGAGTGTTCTTGGTAGAAAGGCGAGGATATTTCGAGGTGCGAGACGATTCCAAGAGAATAAGGATCAAAATGATGGAAGATGAAGGATGACATCTGGCGGTGGTCTGAGCCTAGTTTTGTGCAGTATGTTGCCTTTCGTCATAGCATCGGGTCGGCAATGGTCTGGCAGCGGCAGGACAGATGGTCCTGGATGAACCCTAACGTTTGATCCGTTGAGATTATTCCTTACCTACGCCCACTGGAATCCAATTCAGACTGATTCGGTTTGGGCTGAGCTCGAGGAGGAGACAGTATCCGCGAAATACATAAGTTTGCCTAAACGTTCTGAAGGTACAGTCAACAAGACAAGGTCGGTTTCTGAAGCTGTGGCGTAGAATTTGAGTCAAGTGGCCGAATTTCTGGCATCCGTCACGTCACCGACGAGGAACAGTAATGAAGCTGCTTCTGGTTAATACAAGCACCCATCGAATGAACGTTTCACAAGCGACACGAGTCTTTATCAAAGAGCCTTTAGCTACCTGGCTAACCTCACCGCTGCAATTCCCTTCCAGCTTCCGATTTCAGCTTTGGTCCATACCGCCAAGTCTTAGTATGCTTCATCACGTTAGCTAATATCGCATTGAATTGCAGAGAGGTACCTACCGAAAGCTTGCCAGAGTTCATCGAGCTTGGTTTTGCAATTGCACGCGGCGGTACTCAACAAGAAGCTCTCCGTATGCCTGTTTCAGGTCGTTAAGTTCCTTCTCCTGCTCTTCCTTCTCCTTCTTCATGGCTCTGAACACCTTCTGAAGATTATTGAACGAAGTCTCGTAGTATGCGAGCTTTTTGCCGGTAATAATAGCTTCCGACCGGCTTTGGCGAAGCTTGGACAGCGCAGCCTCAAACTGCATTTCGCACTCTCTAATGGTGTCTTCAGCTCGTTGCCCATTTGAACTGGACATTTGGGACTGCTGTCCGACATTGGGAGTCCCGGAGCTTTGCTGCATTGACATGGTGTCTGGTACTTGGGACCTGAAACGTAAATATCAGTGATTGTATAAATATGTCCATCAAGTTACTTGTGATGTTGATGTGAAAGGTGAAGAGCAGAAAGAATGAATAAAGAAAATTTGGGAGAAGGAAGAAACACTTTGATGAGTCGCCATTTTGCTCTGATTCACTGCTTGTCACGTGTAGATTGCACTCAGCATGCCCGGCAGTGTCAAATAGTGCAGGGCGACACCCCTACTAACTACACGATTCAACGGACCCTAGAGCATCGACACGAAACCACGATGCGTTGACTCATGTCGATGCCCTCCCTAGATTATTTCGATTTGTGCCTACCCACATCCCAATCCCAACTTTAAATACTCGACATGACACCTGGCTCTATTCGCTCTAATATAACAGACAGCTCCCCCCAGACTTTCTTCTGTGCTTTGGCACCTGCATCACTATAGACAAAACTCGAGACTCTGTTCATGTTAGTCTTCTGAAACTCACTGGCAGGGAAGATCACTTACTCTCCAATCTCGCAGTCGGAAAGATACTGCCCATGAGTCTCCGGGTCTCCCTCGGCTGCATGAACCAGAGTACGACTCCCAACTTCCGTCTCCCTTGCGATGAACCGTCGACCAAAGGCTGTAAACAGTCCGGACTTTTCTCCGCTGCCCATATTTGCTTTTACCCAGCCGGGATTGGCGACAGAGATAATCACTTGGCCGTCCTTCTTTGACTCGGTCATCTTGGTGGCGAGCTCGCGAACTGCAAGAAGCTCCATCATTTTGGAGACGTTGTATCTAGTTACATTAGCCTTTGCGCCTGTCTCGGGTTTAATACATACCGGTCGGCCATTCTAGCCTTGCCCTCGTCCGCTAGGTCCTCAAAGATGTTGGGAGCGTTGCGCTCTGGGAATTCGGTGACATAGTGTACAAAGGAACCAGTGAAAGATAGCACACCGGGCTTGTTGTACTTGATGGCCGAGGCCCTCAGTGCAGGGAGCACCATGATGCCGAGAAGCATCGTGTTGATAACGTTGACCGTAATCTGGCTCTCATTGCCCTCGACCTTGGTGAATGTCTTGGCCATGATGCCAGCGTTGGCCATAAAGACATCCAGTCGGTCGAGCGTGTCCACTCGGCTGGCGAATTTCTGAACCGACTCAGACTTACACAGGTCCAGCTCCCATACCTCCACGACGCCCTTGTGGCCGGTGGTCTCCTCGATGGAAGCTGCTGCCGCCTCGCCCTTCTTTATGGTTCGGACAGCCAGTATGACCTTGGAAGCATCGAGTCGCACGAAATGGCGAGCCGCTTCGAGGCCGAGCCCGACATTGGATCCCGTCACGATGATGGTTTGTCCCGTAAACTTGGTAGTCTTCTGCATGGAGACAAACCAGACTTCTTCGCTCCTTACTGTCGAGAGCAGTTCTGAAGACAACGTGCAAGACTATCCTGTTCCCGATTATATTCCCGATAACTGTTGTCAATTCTGCGGCAGCTCCTATAAATCAGACCTTATCAATAGAAACGAGACCTACCGACAGCCTATCCCTCGTGGCGCGTGTTGCGAGATCACCCGCGTCGTGGATGCCGACGGTGAATTCCAGACACGATACACCAACACGACCCTCGGTGGTAGTAATGACGGAGAGTGGCACGCGCCGAGCCCTGAGGGAGGCTCCATGGGGGCTCAAATCAGTGGCTCAAATGAACTGCTGGCAGATCGTGTCCGTGAGGATTGGGGATGCAAGAGAATCTTTCACAAGATATTTCCCGACATTCCAGATGAATTCAACCGTGTTTTAATGAATCACACTCAAATGCGACGAACCACCAACGCGGGCAATGATCTGGAGACTGGCGAGCTGGTACTGTGAGTGCGTTGTGCCAGTTTCCAGTATAGGCTTTGCCGTCAACCCCATGACGCCTTCTAGTCACGAATACTTGGGCACTGCTGTTTTCATCAGGTGCCAAGATCGCTGGGATGGAGGCCTGTATCTTTGCGTCAAATCCCTACCAGTCGGAGGCTGATGTTCTTTGCCTCTTCTCTCGAGGTTAGTCATTCGTATTCTTGTCGAACCAACACTGACATCTTCCTACCTACAGAGTCCCTCACCATCAGTACATATTCCCTTTTTGGACGACACGCCGTCTGTCATTGGTCATCGATGTTTAAGCTTAATCGCCATGTGGACTCCCGCCTGTTCAAGGGGACATCAGGAAGGTGCGCCTCCGCGCTGTATGAGGTCAGCGTATGGGTTGACATCGAATTGAATCCAGAGGATACAACTGGAGTACGGAGGTAAGTGCGAAAATGGTCATCTTAAGCTGAAGCGACGCTAATGGCTGACACACAATGCAGGAAACAAGAAGTGAGCAGCCGGTGGTTAACCGAGTCCCTACCGAAGTCTGTCAGAGTACTCTGAGGTCATGTGCTCTACTTTCCTTATTCGTTTTGAGATCATGGAAGAATATCGATGTGTCTTTATGGGGGAACAAGGGGCTACTTCATTAGACGAGCGCGTGGTCTGGGTTGAAAACATGGTGGACTTCTTCATAGAATCAGAGTCCATAGCAGTCCAGAGTTTGTCACAATAATAGCCGCCCATTAATAATACCATACAGGTCATCCTTGACTCGTTTCCTTCTCCAAACATCCTCCTTCAAGCTCACAAGCTGTCTTAGTGAAAGATGTAGTCCTGCTCCTTGAGTTCATCAATCTCCCTATCATTCTGCTCATCCACCTTGCAATCTCCAAACAACAACTGATGACACCAATACATATCCCTCTCGTAAATCGACTCCGTCTTCAAACCCATTAATTTCTCCCCTTCGCGACCAATCTGCTTCTGAGTCTTGTCTAAATACTCAACCTGCTGATGTGTCATGATCCCAAGAGGCGCTTTCGGACCCTTCCAGTCCAGCGCTAGTGGCTTATGACTTCCACCAGCATAGTGAAAGAATGCTAGGAGCGTTTTGCACGAGTGGATGAAGGACTCGCTGACGGAAGAGTTTCCTCTTGTGCCAAATCGGCTCTCCATTCCATACCAGTCGATTATGTACAGAACCTGAGCAAATTGACGCTCCATGTTACTGAGAAGCACGAAAGTGGTCAGATAAATCTCGTACCAATTCTCACGCTTCCTCTCCATGATCTTGGCTTGTAGGCCGGCGAGTATCCTTTGTCGTAGAGGAGTCATGATGTTTTTGATGACAAGATGGTCCATTTGCGTGTCCATGATCGGAGGAATCGGTATCGTACCACTGCGGGGGCATTCGAGATCTTGAACTGGAATCTGACTGAGGGTATGTTCGCCGCAGATCATCCATGGAAGCTCAGTTAGCCGACTTCCAGCCCAAAGCCGAAGACTATCCTTGACAAGGGAGCTCTGATGAGTTTCCGAGAACCGGATCGCCTCTTGGAGCGTCCAAATCATCAGCGGACTCTTCCCTTTGAGAAGTCTCTGAATATACACCTTGTACGATTTCTGGTTGTACTCATCAATGACCCTCTGATGGCTGTCCATGTCGGCAATGTAGTAGTGCGGCAACTCGAGCATTCGTTGATTCCCTGCAGAGTCTCTCCAGGGATATGAAGTTTTGTCACCAGGTAGAGGTTGAAACTTTGACACAGTGACCTCAACCTCACAGTCGAATCCTTGTGTCAGCTTGATTGTATGTCGATCGAGGTCGATGTTTAGGCTTGCGTTCATGACATCCTTGATGGACAGCCATTCGTACAGCTTGTTGTCGCGTGTAGAGCCTGAAGGGTTAGCTTGCTTGGTCAACAACCGGCGCAGACACTTACCCAGTCGGTGCAGTGGAAGCTCGTGAAGATTAACTCTGATGCATGGACGTTTCAGAATCGTCAGTCTTGAGCATCTGAGACATGGTTCATAGGGATTCTCTGGCATTATGCACTACCCAGTCAGTATCGTTCAGCAAATGCCAGTTAACTTACTCGAACTTTCATTCCCCGGCACTTTTCACAAACGCCTCTCTTTCTTGCAATCGCAGTAGCCTTTCGAGCTTCTTCAGTGAACGGACCTCTAACCCTAGTATTCAGTCCGGACACGGTGAATACGCCCTGAAGGTTACCGCCCTGATCGTGTTTGTACTCGGTTTTGGGGGCCTGAAATGTTAGTTAGAACAACAATTATTCGCGTCACTTACAAGATCTGTAGTGAGAACGTCTGATCGATCTGGTTTACGGTCTGATCGCGGCTTGCGTTTCTGACTCGTATTCACTGCCCTTGGAGGACTTTGAGAATGTGCACTTGACCCCGATGGAGTCAGGATGGAGTTGGTGCTCGGCGTGAATCGTATCTCATCCTCTGTGGAGACACTCTGTTGCAGAGTCAAATTTGGAAAGACATGGCCCATCGGAAGATCATGAGGTTCAAATGTCTGAGTGTAACTGCGGGGATAGTTCGTGTAAGTCGGAAGAGTCAACAGTGACGGATCCAAAGTCAACTCTTCGGCAACGGACGCCGAGCTTTCCACGCGTTCCACGGCAACGTTGACATCAACCTTCGGCTCCTCGCGTAAAAGCTCCGACAGCCAGTCGTCACTATCAAACAAACCCTCCCCCAGATTGTCAATCACTTCAAACCAGTCCACTATCGTCGTCAGCAACGTCAACACAGCAAAAGGACCTTACCGTTCTCAATCATTTTGCTTAATTCAGTAATCGGTACAAAGATCCACGCAATAAAGTTGTGGGGTAAGGAGCTAAATATTCAGGGCCTCTACCGATTTCCATATCAGGCATGGATCCCGAGCTGGCGTGACTTGTCAAACGATGTTTCTACCGACTACCATAAAAGGCAAGGATCTGCAGTCTCACCTCCCGATTACTCTTCAGACGGTAAACATTTGATGACAACCACCATTAAAGACGAATCAACCAGCCACAGTGGGAATTACACAACCATGGAGAGAACAATCGACCAAGAACTCCGTATGCGACAAGCTACGATTGATGACTTGGACGGCATTACAAAACTTGCTATTGAAGCATTCCCTGATGATCCAGAACGAGATTACCGATTCCCATATCGACATGAATACCCTGAAGATCAGTGGAAGTGGACCAGAGTCGAGTATGAGGGGTTTTTGAAACAGCCTGAAAGCTATGAAGTTCTTGTCATCGAGGCTGGGCAAAAGCTTGTCGCCCTGGGAATCTGGGATGTTTCTGGTCTCACTGGTGTCAAACCAAGTATGTCAGCCTCAATTCTCACATCCTAGCTAATAACCCAGTCAAACCCGATGTTTTGGGCGACAACGAGCGTCGTGATGCGAACCTCCCTCATATGCGATATTTCGCGTCGCGCGTAGAAGAAGTTTATGGCATGCATTTCAGTCAATTCGGTAGCAGACAGCTTCACCTTGTTAATCTTGCGACGCATCGAGATTATCGAAGAAGAGGTTGCGGGGCTGTTCTTTGTAAGTATGGGATGGAAAAGGCAGAGCGTGAGGGATTCGTTGCTACGGTATTCGGGAGTCCAATGGGAATTAAGCTGTATACGTCTGTTGGGTTCAAAGTTATTGGAGCTGAACCTATGATTATGCCTGGTGATGAGGAGGGATTAACAACGACGGCATTAGTTTGGGGTAATTAGTAATTGAGTTGAGGCTCATCGGGCGTCAAGATTTCTGCAGATGTGAAACAGGTGATTGCTTACCCTCGTCATCATCCTCAGCTGCCTGATGATTCCCTTTTGGGAAATCGGTGAAACTGTTCTGTAGAGACATAATCTCAGTTGTTGCATGGAGTCACCCTGATGAAGTGTCATGAGAGAACAAGATGAGATGAGAACCAAACATATTAATGAGTGGAATGTAAGGCTACGTTACTGGATTGGGAAATCGGCAGACGTTGATGTCAGGAAATGAGCGTCGTGGTGAATTTCATTAAAGTTGGGTCTTTCAGGTGAGATTGGTGATGCATATCGGCGTATTGACCTGTTTGTAAACTCATGTACAAGATTACAACCGAATACGTGAGTATGAGAGTCGCTGAGAGGATGAGAACATACTGACCGTTTAGAACATTATGTCATCAGCAAAAGCACAAGCTGGTTCATTCAGCTCATTTGGAGAAGAGTCTCCCTCAGAGCGCTGTTCAGTCGAGTCGTTCTGCTTAGATCGATATCTGTCAGATTTTCGTGACAGACCAGTCCAAGAGCGTTTACTGGAGAACTCAGACAATGAACCCCAAAACATTTCTATTGAAGACTTGGAATATTTTATAAGTCTCCAGAGTCCCCCAGATCTGGACATCTTGAGATCAAAAGGCCCATTTGAACGATAAGTCTTTTGTTCGAATTCCTGTCTGTCACTGGCTGTTACACTGGCAATCACGTGAATCGGTTAATTGCATCAGCCTGTCGCATTCACCTTTATAAGGCTTCTCCTCACCACCACGAGAATGTGAGGCATGACTCTACATCAGGTCCATTTCATCGCCTTCATTTCACTTTTCGCTTCTCACTCTACATCATGTTCACTTGGTCAAATCTCCGTCAAATGGCGCCCTTTTTTTCACAGAGGCGCACTCTGCCCGATCTCCTCACCGTCGACGCCAAAACCCTCGCCTCTGGATTGACGAATGGACATTTCACGAGTGTTGACTTGGTGGAGAGAAGCCTTGAGATGATCCAGAAGCATGATAAGTATCTTCATGCGATGTTGAGCATGGTTCCGAAAGATCAGCTGCGACAGAGAGCGGAGGCGCTTGATAAGGAGCGAAAGGATGGCAAGGTTCGGGGGAGTCTTCATGGGATCCCGATTGTGATCAAGGTATGACGGTATGACGGCGATGCAGTTGTTGACTGGACTGACATCCCAGGACAATATCGCAACGGTTCCTGAGTTGGGAATGGAGACGACTTGCGGTTCTTGGGCGTTGCATGGCATGACTCCGACTGCGAATGCCGATCTCGTCGACAAGCTCATCCAAGCTGGACTCATCATCATCGGTAAAGCGAATCTGAGTGTGAGTGCTCCAGTCTCTGAGTTTGGCCATGTTAACTGACTACTCATCAGGAATGGGCATATTACCGGTACGTCTTCAGCCATCTCGAATGAAGCGCGACTCACTCCTTTCAGAAGCAACGACCTCCCGAGTGGATGGTCCGGCAAAGGTGGACAATGTCAATCCGCCTACGTCCGCGGCGGTATTGATCCCGAGGACAGTAACAACGGTCACAGCGTGCGTTCCTCGTGGCTCATCACATCCCATACTAACAGTTCAGAACCCATCCGGCTCTTCAACAGGCTCAGCAGTCGCCGTCTCCGCAGGTTACGCCCCCCTCTCCATCGGCACCGAAACAGACGGATCCCTCGTATCTCCCGCATCCCGAGCAGCTTTGTACACGATCAAGCCATCAATCGGACGAGTTTCCCAGTCTGGAATCATTCCAATCAGTCATACCATGGACTCTGCAGGACCCATGGCCAAGACACCACACGATCTCGCCGCTTTATTGGATGTAATCTCAGGGACTGATGAATTCGCGACTCTGAGAGGATCTTGGGATGAGTTGTCGATTGCGACGGTGGACTTCAAGAAATGGTGGCCCGGGGAAGATTACCTCAAACCTGTTGAAAGTGCGACAAAGCAAATGGTGAGTACGCCGCTGCTTTCATGAGCTTACTGACTTTTTAGCACGCCGAGATCCAAGCTGCATACGACAAAATGGAGGAGCTAGCAAAGAAGTATGTCGGGGATGTTCCTCTTTCTCCCCCTTCTGAGTGTTTCATGCTTGATGGGCAGGACAGTGAGGATGTCATTATGAGTTAGTCACCTCTTGAAGGATGATCAGAGTTAACGAAATAGTGGCCGACTTCAAGCACGACCTCAACAAATATCTCGAGTCGGCGGAAAACTCCAAGATCCATTCTCTCAAAGATCTCATCGAGTTCAACAAGACGCATCGCGACCTTGAAATGCCTCCTGGTACGTGTGCCTCTCAACTGATACCCCACTAACATTTCAGGCTACGATGACCAGGGACTCTTGATCGACGCGGAAGAATCGGATCTATCCCCCGAAGACTACGAGAAGAACTTATCTCACCTGCGAAAGGTTACGCGCGACGATGGATTGGATCGTATCTTCAAAGAATACGGTGTTGATGTGATTGTCGGATCAAGTGACACAGCAATCAAGGCGTTTGCAAGTGGAAGCGGTAGGTTTACTGTAAGATTCATGGGCAACACTGACAATATCAGGATACCCCGTTGGCAATGTTCCCCTCGGATACCTAGACTTCAATGGAAGACCTTTCGGACTCGCAGTTCTCGCAGCTAAGAACCAGGAAGCCAAGATTTTGAAGTTCATGAACGCATGGGAGGGTACTTTTGGTCCAAGAAAAGCTCCGCCAATGCTTCAGTGATTGTCGGATGAAGGGAGGTCTCAACTCTGTGTGAGAAAGACAGTGCGCGGATTGCGACTGGCTGTCGGCCTCATTCTATGGTGGTGTTCTGGGCATGGCTCTCATTAGACAGATGCGTGAATAAAGTGGTGTGAGACCCCAACTGAGAACTGCAGGGATGTAGTGGATGGCTCAAGCAGGCTGGCTGCTTACTTGCATGTGCGGGGATGACACGGGTGAGGCTCCTTGGTATCGGACTTGATATAGGGTGTCAAAATAAACTCAGTAAAAGGCATCCTAAGCTACCAGATTACCTTAGTCTTTTTGTCACTTAGGATCGAGGTCCTGAGTTTTCTTGCCTCCCCTAGAGGCTCTCGACTCTGGCGAGTTGTCTTTGACGATAAATTCATCAGAATCTGGTTCAATTTGCAGTGTACTTTACGGTGTAATTGATAAGTTACCATGGCTCAAACAACGTCCAACCTAAACGCGGACACCGGGCCCGAGAAACAGGACTCACTCTCCCTGCCAACTAAAACAGCAACCCTCCAATTCTTCGACGGCTCAGATCCGAAATGGGCGACTGAAAAGCCGTTCTACTCCAACATTCCCTTTACGCAGACCAAGATCGCCAATACGAATGTCATCAATACAAGTGCACGGGTTCAGATCTCTGATGCCAGAGGCCACGAATCCGAGTTCACTTTAGATAAGAATGGCTTCCAGCTGGTCAAATGGAAGCATCGGTTCTCTGATGTCGGGCCTTCTTTTCAAGAAGAAGGGTATCCTGCTGTGGTCAAATTTATGAAGGATGTTCTGGGGAGTCACGTCAAAGTTTGTGTATTTGATCATATTGTATGTTTCTACTGCTTGCTCTGGACAGCGTTAATGAAGCAGGTCCGCCAGAGTCAACCGCGCGGCTCTGCACCTGGAGAGGAGAAAGGCTACATTGGTCGTCCAAGCAAAGTGGCTCATAATGGTACGCCTGATCCTCTCGTTCGCTTCATTAAACTTATGAGACAGATCAAACCTATGAAGGAACAATCGCCAAGATCAAACACGACTTCGGCTCCCAAGCATCATCGATTCTCTCTCAACGCTTCAGGATAATAAAGTGAGTCCCCCTCCAAATACAATCCCCTCTGACAACCCAGTGTTTGGAAACCCCTCAAGCCGATCCGTCAATACCCCCTCACACTTTGCGACTACCGCACATGTGATAAGAAAGACGGCCATCGAAGCGATTTGGTATACCCCCACGTTGTGAGTGAGAATATCCTTTTCTCTTACTCACCAGATCAGAAATGGTATTATGTTAGTGACCAATCTGATGAGGAGGTTTGGCTGATCAAGACGATGGATTCTTTGGCGAGGAGCGAGGATGTTGCCATGTGTAAGTTCCGAACCTCGTTGAGGGATGTACTGATGATTCTAGATACGCCGCATACTTCGTTCTTTGATGAAGATCCTGCTGTCGCGGAGGAGATACGGGAGAGCATCGAGCTTAGAGTTTATGTAATTGGATAGGCATCGCTCATGTAGAATCACTGCCATCGTTAATGGGATCATTTAGCCTTGATCGAATGTGAATACGTGATCAATTGACCGGTTCTCAGTCTTGATAATCACCAAGTGAAGCTGTCCTTGTCTGCACTTCTTAGATATGCCGCAATCTCCGCCTCGAATGGAATGCTGAGTTGCATCTGAAACCTAGATAACCGCTCCCTCAGATATCTCGGGACCGAAGTCTTCAAGTCGCAAATCAGGCTGTGGTCATCTCCAGTTGATTGGCAGATTCTAAACGATCATCATCACAGAGCCTCATGAGAAGCGGGGTAGAAGATGATCATTGGTGCGAAGAGACCCCATGATCAATGCGATGCAGAGACTAGTGCACATGCAACGCGGCTGATTATCTCGGCGTGGGACTCCAGTCTGGTTGGACTAGATCAGCACCCTCACGATGCAATGGGTGGCTCCGCTTCGAGTTGCCAATCAGTTGCTGAACATTTTTCCTGGTTTCTGTGATATCTTCTTCCGATTTGATTGGATCCTCAGATCTTGAGGCTCTGCTTGAATGATAAAAGACCGAGTTGATCGACGTTGAGACCGAATTGTTCACTCAGTTAGCATCACTCAGTCGCAACCACCAAAGAGTAAGACTCAAGTAAACCTCAAGAACTCCCACTGACAACTCACAGACACAATGGAAGCCGAGAGAAGTCGTTCCAGGTCTCGCGGTCGCCCTACCGACGCAGACAAGAAACGCTACGAGGATGACACCATGTCCCGCGAAAGCTCTTTGGACTCTCACGTCATCTGTCCCCAGCCAACCAAGGCTCAGCCCTGGAAGCAGGCCCTCCAAGTTGAGAAAGACTCTGGAACCAACCCCCTTCTGAACTGGGAGCCTAATGCTATGGACTTTGGTGAGAAGCCTTGGCTCAAGATTGACTGGTCCAAGATTGAGGGAACTGGACCTGGAGGTGTTCGTAGCAAGTCTCCTGATCAGATGTGTGGTTATTCTGTTGGAAACCTCAAGCTTGTTTGAGCTTGGGCTTAAAGGTTATGAGTTTGTCAGATTGTGCTGGATACGAGCTACTAAATTGCATTTGTCTGTTGAATCTGTATCCTGATATCCCGTAAATACATCCGCGTTCCGTTGCTTTGCCCGTTTTAAGATCCAGCATTTATCTAATCTTCAGTTGATCCTACACTTTCTTTTCATGGGCTAGAGTTTGTACCTTGTTGTCATTGGCTTCCTAGCAACTATTGTCAGTTACGGTGTAACCAATTCTGCTACTGGGCACTCAAGCTCTTATGTATTAAAGACAAGACTGCTATTGGCTTTTGTTTGTTGATGTAATTGACGTCTTTCAGTCAAATATCTTGATTCACCTGTATGCCTCAGATTGCTGACGCTTTCAAGCGCAAGTCTCGGTTAGTTCTTTAAACAGCAGATGTCAGCAAGCGCCCAACTCTTCCATCCTTATCCGTGTGGGGCAATAAGCCATTTATAGCCTTGTTCAGGGATTATCGACTACAGTAGGTCACAGCCACATGCAGCATCCTTCCAGGCAATCTTACAGCTGCGGGGTTACGAGTTATTTTAAACACGACAATGCACGGTAAACCGACGACTTTTGTTCCTCCAAGCTTCAATTTCGGCTTTGGACGAGTATATTGCCTCGATGAGTCACAATAACTGGGTTGCGTTCACGCTCCCTGCGTATCAAGTAGACCTTTTCAGATTACGCAAGATTTTAGACGGAATTTACCACGGGCACTTCGAAGTATCTGTATGTCATTCACGGAACCTTGTCACTTCGCCAGCTGATTCCGTTGCAGCTGAAAGGTGAAGAGTTCATTATCTGGGCTCCGCGGTATCTGGACCCTGCGGAGAGGGAGCTTGTTGCCGAGGGTAGTCGATACCGGCGTATTCTTGAAGAGAACAAAGCAGTCAAGGCCTCCACTGAGAAGCGAGGGCCTGCTAAGCGACAGCCTATTGCCAAAGCAAGACCAAGAAAACAAAGATCATCCCGGGGCCAGTCTCTGTCCAACCCGTCAACTGAACTGTGTGACTCTCCTGATACAAGTCACATACCGTTGTTCGACTCAGTGACACAGGTGGTTCCTTCGCTGGAGCCCAAGGCGCATGCGACTCCCGATCAAGTCTTGGTCGTCGTTGAAAACGTCACAACGGACCAGGTAGGAAGAACCTTACAAGGCTTGTACGCAACTCCAGTCGCAAACGGCGAGACCTCCAAGGTATTCGGGGTAGAGACTCGCCTATCATTGAACGGGCATCTTTCCGATTCAAAAGATGTCATCCGAAAGGTATGTCTGCCATTGTTGCGAGGCCGCTGTATCTAACAGTATAGTGCGCGGTCAAACGTCTACATGAATCCACGAGTGCTGAGCAGTTCTGGGCCGAATATGAGTCCTTGAAGCGTCTCAAGAGCTTGAATCATCCTCACCTGATAGAGACACTCTCTGTCTTCAGATCCGAGATGGGTACAACACAGCATTTCAACTTCGTGTTCCCACTGGCTCTTTCGAACTTGAAACGTCTCTTCCGGGATTCTTATGTCCCAGTTCCCCTTCGAAACCGAAATCTTGATTCTCTTTGGGGCCAGATTCCTGGACTCTCAAGTGCGGTTGCCTACCTTCACGACTCTGCTCATATGGCACACCGCGACATCAAGCCATCAAATATCCTGATCTATGAAGAGCCTTCCGGTACAGGACTTTCTCTCAAGCTTACAGATTTTGGGTTATCTGTCGACCTATCTAGAGCCAGAACATGGGAGCAAGGTAGCCGCGCTCGTCAATCAGCTTGGCTCTATGACTCTCCAGAAGTTCGGAACGCGTCCCCTATGGGGGTAGCCGAACCTAGCGCAAAAGTCAAGATCCCTTCTTCATCAGATCTGATGGCCAACGACATATGGAAGTTGGGATGCGTATTCACAGAGATGATTGCATTTCTAGTAGGCGGAGGTTCTGCTGGTGTAGCAGAATTTCGCGACCACATAACAACTACAGAGGGCAATGTCTCTTCTGATGTGTTCAACGATACTCGTTTCGACGACGGCGAACAGGTCAAGCCTCAGGTTCTCGAATTTATTGACCGAATGGCGTACAAAGATTATCGAGCAGGGATGTTACAAGCCATGATCAGTGGCATGCTCGCCAAATCGGCGCTGAGGCCTACGATAGCCCACGTCTGTGAGAAGTTGGCAGAGGTTTGTCTCTTTGCATTTGGTGTTTCATAACTCACATTCATAGAACAACTTCCCAAACATCCGCTACAATGACGGAGTAAGGGTGATTCGGTTCATTCCAGAGGGTCGTTTGGCATGCTCACGCTTCGATACCTTGAGACTCAAAATTGAGGAATGGACTGGTCGACCAATAGATTGGGCTCCACTGAATCAACCGCTGCCCAAACTTGACGCCGGTGGCTACATGTCAATTTGGAAGGCAAGTGCCCGATGATCTCTTGAAAGTCGTCTCACAGTTAACACTCCCCAGTGGCACGGAATCGACTTGTCTCTAGCTCTTTCTCAAGATGAGTTTGATCGCTATAAAGCAACATGTTTCCCTGTGACCACAAACGGCATTCCTCTTCTCCCTCTTACACAAGATCTCAAGTCACAGCAGGCTGCTAGGCCAAACTTCCCCATGCAATCTGGCAATCTCAGTCAACCATCTCAGTCCTCTCTCGGCACCAGTGTCTTCGCAGCCAACGTTCCCCCGGCAGTACAAACATCCATAGATACAAAAGACATTTACTGGTGCATTGAGAGGAACTTTACAGAGCCAGCAGAGATATACCTTTCCCCCATTCAGAATGCAGAGACGCTAGACGACGAACAATTGTTTCACCAAGTCAACACGGCTATTGGTAGCACGGAGGGTTGGATTCGCCGACTCTTCTCGTGGAAGCGTTGTACCGCGATCGATTTTGTTCAGGTAAGAAACGCCATTGTATCGCGAACCACGCTAACTTAGTAGTTCCTTGTTATTTGGGAGAACAGAGATCAAGTCAATCCCATTCAGAAAGAACTTCCTCCCCCTGCTACTCCATTCTACAACCATTCCGTTCCTTTGCCTCACGACTTTCACATGAGAGCAGCTGGGTTGCAGATGGTATTTGGACTCCGTGATCCAAAAAAGGGTAGCGGAGAAACAACCATTATCGATATGCTTCCCAAAAAGACAAACCCCCCTCCTTTTCCAAGGAGGATATCGGAACCTGGCTGGGGCTTACATGCCAAGATGGGTTTTTCTCAGCGAAGATTTCTTGCATGGCTGTTTTTCTGCATTGTTTTGGGTGGCATCTTTGTGGTTGTCTGGCTGGTCTTTATAAATCCGACGGACCTACAGAATGCCTTTATTCCGAGTTTTCTTTTTGCGACTCTGCTGACGATTGCGATGGGGTTACTTCAGGTAGCGTAGGAAGGGTATCATCAGCAATTCGAATGGATTACAAGCTGGTTTGGCCATAGCGAAGTCCCTACTTTGCATTCCCCGATAAGTCCGAGGCAGAGGCCACAACCTACAACGATGAAATAGAGTTCATTTAGTCAATCCCGCACTAACTCACGGTGCGGTCGGTGCGGCCGCGATTTACTTGAGGGCCAAATTGGCCGCGCAACGCTAAACCAATCCAGGACGTTCACACTCTCGGCACTTGGTCCACCATGCGATGCGGATATCGCGGCCGCGTACCATGCCCATCACGGTATGCAAGGGTCGCAGCACAGGGTCCATCGTACATTGCGAGCTCAATTGGTGCGGACTTTGCGGAGTATTGACGGGCATGGGTTTACTCTACAGTCGTGCTTGTCTCAATGAGCTGCAGTACTTAAGCATCGCCAATGCCAGCCAAGGTCGTGTCGCAGTGTTGACGTGACAAACCGTTACAAACCTGAAATCCTTCGACAAGAATCAGTTCATCTGCGTCAATATTTTTATCTCCATACCAAGTGTCGTCAATCACCGCACCAAACATGGGCTCCGCAGGAAGCAAAAGCGTCCGGTTCAACCCCGACACCGACATCCCTTCGTTGAAAGACAAAGTCATCCTAGTGACTGGCGGCAACAGCGGTCTTGGAAAGGAGTCGGTTCTTCAGTTTGCCAAGCATGATCCCAAAGAGATCTGGCTTGGAGCCCGCTCCGAAGCAAAGGCCAAAGAAGCCATCAGCGACATCAAGGCGCAGGTTCCCAATGCGCCCATCAAATTCGTCAAGATAGATCTCGCCTCCTTCAAGTCGATTCGCGATGCAGCCAAAGTCTTTACGCAGGAATCTGATCGTCTTGATATCCTCCTGCTCAACGGAGGCATCATGTCTGTGCCGCCTGGAACAACCGATGATGGCTATGAGATACAGTTTGGTACCAATCACATGGGACATGCCCTTCTGACCAAGCTCCTCCTCCCAACACTCCTCCGGACGGCTGATAAGGGCGCCGATGTGCGTGTTACCGTCCTTGCTTCATCTGCCCACCAGTATGCACCCCCCGAGGGGATCAAGTTCGACACGCTCAAGTCCCAGGCTCTGCAAATGGGCACCATTACACGTTATGGACAGAGCAAGCTCGCCAACGCCTTGTTTGCCAAAGAACTTGCCAGACGCTATCCCCAGCTCACGACTGCCTCGCTTCAGCCCGGCCTGGTAACCACCAACTTGGCCAACACCATGAGCGACAACAGCTGGATCATGCGCTTAGCGTGGAAATTGACGACTCTCTTCATCGGTGTAGACGTTCCTACAGGTACGTTGAACCAGCTGTGGGCCTCGACGTCCAAGGATGTCGTCTCGGGCACGTACTATGAGCCCATCGGTCGAACAGGACTTGGTAAGCCGCATACCAACGACAAAGCGCTTGCCGCTAAGTTGTGGGACTGGACGGAGAAGGAGCTCGAGGGAGAGAAGCTCTCTTGAGAGTCAGTTTTGGCAGACCGAAATTAGAACGATGTATATTTTTTCTTTATCTGTAAAGTTTATTAATTGTATGCTGGGACTACTACCTAAGATGAATAAAGGAATATAAGACGGAACATAATGTTCGAATTGTAAGAGATAAATACCACTACTTAAAATAACATAATTCAGGAATTCTCTCCTTATCTTCCACGATTAATCCTGTAGCAGCTTCCCATGGCTTTATATCTAGGAACGCCATGTCCTGGCTCGAAAGTAGTAGCTGGCCATCCTTTTCAATCTTCTCAAGCACCTCAGAAACCTGCTGCATGAGCATTTGCTGCCTCTCAAATTCCTTTGCGCGAAAGGTTCTAGTGCACCTACCGACCGCACCAATGATCCAATCAACAGAAGACGTCGAGGTCGACAAGTCAACTGACTTGGCCTGTAAGAGAGAGCTACATTCGTCCAAGCACTCTTTTACATCCTGTAACTGCGAGTTGACATCGTTGATGTTGGAAATGGTAGCTTCTGCGACACCTTTAAGCGTTGTGATGTCGTTCTCTACCCGGTTAGCCTCTGAGATTTGCTTCTGGTAGAGTTGATGCGTTGATCTACGGGATGAGATATCGCGCTGGTACTGCGAGACTAGGTCTTGCAGGTTGCGCTGCTCCCTCTCGAGGTTGGAGATTGCTTGCTGGTCTTGGGATATCTCGCTATTCAAACTGGACACCTTGGATTGAAGGGCGACAATCTCGTCTTTTAGATCCGATACACGAATTCCCTTGTAACTATAATGAATTAGCCTTCTGTCTGATAATCTGTCAAGTCTCCTCACCCTGCAAATCCGGCGCCAGCTGCTGCCAGTCCTAGTGATGCCCCTGCAGTGAAAGGTGCAGCCATGAGGCCGATGCCGGTCAACATCTATCTCTTGATTAGACAATCTCTAAGACGTGCAAATGTGAGGGCATACCAGTCCTACGCCTGCTGATTCCTTCTTGCTCTCTCGTCGTCTGTGTGTCTCTGCAATTTGGCCGTTCTTCTGCGATATCTCACGATCAAGCTGTGCTTTTCTAGTCCTCTTCTCAGTCGCCTGGCGAGTCTTGGTACGAATTTCCTCTTCCTTGGCGCTGGCCTTGGTTTGTGTCTGCGCCAGAATCTCTTCACTCGAGCTCAGTGATCTCTCCGCCTGGCTAGCGAGTCCTTTTGCTTGCGACTGACATTCGTCTAGCAAGTCATCCTGGGCTTCAACGTCTCTTCCGACATCCATCACGCGATAAGTACAATCCATGGTGGACTGTAGCGCGCTATCCGCTGACGCCTCGGCTTGGGCCAGAGAAGCAGCAATGCCATTGAGAGATCTACCTAGCCAAGAAATCTGAGGGGCAATGTTGATGGTCGTAAACGAGAACTTGCAGAGGTTCCTGAATCCGATTCAAAGTATGTTGGACAAGGGAGACAGCGTTGACAAGATCCGGGAGGGAAGCAAGCAGAATTTACTCAAAAACGCATTTGAACTGCAAGGACGCTTCTCGGCTACTGCAGACGTGGCTAGCATGTATGTCCTTGTGTCCAACAAATACATCCGGCCGGGGATCAATAAAATGGAGGCGCTGGCGGCTATGAATGACGATGACTTTGAGCGCGGAAAGGAGGAGTTCAGGGACTGGTGCGACAGTGCGGCGGAGGATATTGTGCGCATCACTGACGGTGAGCAGTCCAAGATGGCGGAGAATCTGACAAGAAATGTCGAAGTTCTTAGTCAGAGAGCTATAACAAGCGCTTTATAGATAGTAAATGTCTAAGCTTTTGTAATGCGATATCCATAGTTTTGTCAGACTGAGGTTTGGACTTGTAATATGCTCTTTATTACTGCGTTGATAAATACATTTCCAAGACTTTCACATGCCTACGAGTCCCAAGGGTTCAAGAGAGCCTTACAGCTTTATGAACATCTGTTATTAATGCCTGTTGCATAGCTAAACAGGGACTTCGTGTTTTCTGATTTGTGCCCGTTTGTTTCTTTCTAAGGCGCGATAGAGTCACAAGGTTGAGAGAAACGTCATTTTGACACAAGACAGACCTTTTAAGTCTTCCTCCATGATGATCTGAGCTAAGATCAGTGGATTGCAGAGGTCCGCCCATGTGCGGCCGCATTTCCCGCTGGCACTAGTGATCGACGGCCCCAATGCGCCGCATTCAAGGTTCGGGCTTCAACCTTAATCTTCTATAGACCACTGACAGAGAACGCCGCTTCAGCTGGAAATCTTGTGGCCCAAAACGTATTTAAATCAGCTGTTCCTGGCTCTGACAAACACATCTCCAACATCTTAACCTTGATACTATCGACATCACGGTCATATCTACTGCCGAAATGAGTCTAAACTTTGGAATGCGTTGTAGCACAGTGGTGCCTAATAAGCCGCCCCTTACAGAACAGAATCTCCCCGATCAGAAGGGCAAGGTACAGCCTCCCCTGTCATCCCTCCAGCAGACACTGATCAGTACAGGTCTTCCTCGTCACCGGCGCATCAGGCGGGCTAGGCAAGCTCCTCGTTGATATACTGTATCGACACAACGGCAAGGTTTACCTCGCTGCACGCTCTCAATCCAAAACCGAGGAAGTGATCCAAGAGATCAAATCAGCGCATCCCTCCTCAACCGGCAAACTTCACTTCCTTCACCTCGAGCTCGATGACCTGTCAACAATCAAACCGGCTGCCACTCGCTTTTTAGAAAAGGAAAGTCGCCTAGATGTCCTGTGGAACAACGCAGGCGTTATGATCCCACCCGAAGGCTCCAAGACGAAGCAGGGTTACGAACTCCAATATGGTGTAAATAATATTGCACATTTCTTATTTACACTTCTGCTTCGCCCTGCACTTGAAGCTGCTGCTGCATCAGCGCCCAAGAACTCTGTCCGCGTTGTCTGGGTTGCTTCTAGCGCTGCTGACGCTGCACCGAATCCGGCGGTAGATCTGACGAATATGGATTATCACCGCGAGGAGGGCGCTTGGATGAAGTACTCACGTAGTAAAGCCGCCAGTGTGATCCACTCGGCTGAGTTTGCGCGAAGAACCAAGGGTACTGGCATCATCAGTCTTGTAAGTTGGCCACCGCTGATGGAACTCTTCTGACCGTGACCAGGCCCTCAACCCCGGCAATTTTGTTACCAACCTTCAGCAGAATATGTCCAAGATGGAACTCGCCATGTTTGTGCGCTCATCTACCATCACCTGCCGATTCCTGTACTGACTTCGATGACTAGAAACTCATTTCATCGGATCCTATCAATGGCGCCTACACTGAGCTCTTTGCGGGTCTGAGTGATACCATCACTGAAGAAAACAACGGCGGATGGGGTAAGAACCTTCTACCTTTTCGTAATGTCAACTGACTGTCATAGTATCTCCCTTTGGTAAGGTTGAGAAGATTCGAAAGGACTTTGTAGAACCAGAGCTCGGTAGCAAGTTTTGGGATTGGACCGTGGAGCAGGTGAAGCCGTACATGTAGAGTTGCATCAACTCCTCCAAAGTCGATACATTAATTGCTGAATAAAGTTTCGTGCCGCCTCCCGCTTATATCCGTCGGCTTACCGATACCATGCATAACATTCAGCTTAGTTTTGGATCCAACACGTAATTGAATTATGCTGAGGTGGAAGTTCGTTAAAGAACTGTGTCCATTGACTGCTGGGATTCTCTATTAGCCTGATGCCACGCAACCACTGTAGTGGCTAGTCGACAGCGCGCAAGTGAAGTGAACGTCTCTCGTCACCAACATTCTCTCATCATCCACTCGCCTCTAGTATTTCGGTTGCGTAAGCAGGCATTCATCCAGCTCGTCAGTCGTCACGGTTATCGCGTTGGTCGTCGGAGTTCACGCCTGAATAATGTTGATCAAGCTTTGATAAAGCGGAACTCCATACTAATTGATCACACGAATCATTCTGGATGAATCAGGGAAGCCAAGTTTACTTCTTGACACTTTTTTATTGGACACGGAGCTCCCGCTGTCTAATTAGGCTGCAAAAGCTTGCTCGAGGTGAAACTTCTTAGCGGTGGGGTTGCGATCGGTCATTGCGGCCGCATTCTTTGTACGGACTAAAAGTGCGGACTACGTCTAAGCCCAGGGGTATTTCTGAATCCAGTTTCTTTCCGCTTGGTTGTCCGCCCCGACTATCGATGCTACCATCATCAGATTTCCAGCACCTTGCTTAATCACATTATTCCCATCGAATGCTCCAGTTTGATCATTTGTCTGTACCAGCGCCAACACTATCATACAACGACGATATGGCACTCAGAACATTGATTGTCGGTGGGACAAGTGGTATCGGCCTGGCGTTGGCTCACCACATTGCTGCAGCCCCTGAGGCTATTGTCACTGTCTGCGGTCGCACCAAACCCGCCAACCTACCCTCAAACATTGAGTTTTCACCAATCGAAGCTACCTCGATGCGCGGGATCAAGAAATGGACCGGCAACTTCAAAGAAACGCGCGCGGGGAACCGAATCAACTTGCTCATCCTGTCGCAAGGAACTTCCAACTTTACTGGCCGCGATGAGACCAACGAGGGAATCGATCGCAAAATGGCGCTTCACTATTACAGTCGGCAACTCATTGTCCGTGAACTGACCCCAGTTCTCAAAGAGGATGCCAAAGTTCTATTCATCTTGAATGGCAAGGAAGGGTCTCCGGCTCATATCAACTGGAACGACCTCGACCTCAAAAGAAGCTACTCTATGAGCACGGCTGCCCAGCAGTCTGCGACTATGCTCGACATTATGGTCCAACATTACGCCGCCGTGCAGAAGGGAGATGAGAAACGGCATTACGCGCATGTGTATCCTGGCGGAGTGTTGACTGGTCTTACGAGAGCCTGGCCGTGGTACATGAGAGCGGGTGTCAAGGTGGTTGGCCCATTAATCGCTGTGAAGCCTGAAACGTGTGCTCAGCTTCTGTTGGAGAATCTTGACAAGGTCACTAGTGCAAGAGAAAAGGATGGGTATTTCTGGAGCAACATCAATAGCGATGGGAGCGCCATCAAGGACAAGACCGTCTGGAGCAAGAGTCAAAGGGAGTGCCTTGCTGAACATACATGGAGAACCATCGATAGTGCTCTCAGCTAGTGCAGATGATCGGGTTTTTTGTCTCATCTTCAATGGAGTGTTACAAGCTAAGGGCTATCAGTTTCCAGCCTTGCTTAATTGACGGCTTATCTTCTCGCACAAGCGTCTCCTGGATCGCGGAACCTTTGCTTCGTTTGCTCCTGAGTAGCTAGAGGAACTCACACCAATTCCAACCAACTTTGCGTATTCTATAGTATCACTCAACGCACGGTCTACTGTGGACTTGCCGAAGCACCGAAACTCTGTTAAACCTAGCAATGCTGGCATAATGAGGGTGAGATCGCCCTGGATCATGTAGCAGTAGATCACAGTTCCACGCAGCCTGAAGACTCGTGGCCTCTGAGCCAAGTCCGCCCAAAACGCGTCATGATACTTGCTCATCCGCATCCGGAGATAGGGAATATACTACACCGCAGATTCCTGGATCGGATCTCCCGGACATGACCTTCGGCCGCCTTTCCCGCACTCTGCGGTTGCTATACCAGGGAAACTCCCAACATATAAGAGCGCTGGTTACTCATGATAATAGACTAACCATTCCACCATCCACTTCCACAGTCAACCGCCACTAGAATTCCATCATGGTGTCCACCAACCTCACACTCCCTGCCACCATGCGGGCTCTCCTGCTCACAGGTCTATACAACGTTACCGTCCAGGACGTTGCAGTCCCGCAGCTCGTCTCTCCAACTGACGCCATCGTCAAGTTGACCACCGCTGGTATCTGCGGGTCAGATCTTTATGCCTATCGAGGATTCGCCTCAGATCAGGACCCTTACGTTCTTGGACATGAGGGCATTGGCTACGTTGTACAAACTGGTAGTGGCGTATCTAGCGTGTCTGTCGGAGACTATGTTGTCATTCCTGATAACTTTCACCACGGACAGCTGGAGATGCAGCCTATGTTTCCGATATCCTATGGAGGCGGAGTGCAATCTCCTGGGGTATCAGGACTCCAAGGTAGGACAACCATCGCCTCACAGGATCTAGGACAGCGCTGACCCTTGTGGCATCTAGCTGAGTACGCCATCGTCAAGGCAGCCGATGCTAATCTATTCCGCCTCCCCATCCACCGGAATGAGACCAATGAGACCCTCGAGCAGAGTTACCTCATGACAGGAGACATTTTCTCCACCGGATGGACAGCAATCACCTGGTCTGGCTTCGAACCCGGCGATTCAGTTGCCGTCTTTGGCGCAGGTCCTGTTGGTCTGATGGCAACATACAGCGCTCTACTCCGCGGTGCCTCTCGCGTTTACACAGTAGACCACGTCCAAGAACGTCTTGACGTCGCCAAGTCCATCGGAGCCATACCCATCAACTTTGCGGAATCCGACCCCGTCACCCAGATCCAGAAGCTTGAACCGGCTGGCGTGAAGCGAGCGGTAGATTGTGTTGGTCTAGAGGCTCTCAACAGCACCCTCGCGTTTGAGCCGTCCATCATCGTTCGGCAGATGGTGAATGTAACCGGTTTTGAAGGAGGACTAGGCCAAGTTGGCGTCCATGCCTATACACCCGGCACTCAAGCCGCTCTAGACCATCCACAGCTCAGTGCTGACATTACCTTTCCCGCCACGAGCTTCTGGACCAAGTCGCTTCGGCTGCAGGCTGGTATTGTGCAGCCCTATCGGATCGCCCCGCAGCTCATCAACCTGATCTCCAGTGGCGTCGCGAATACGAGTTTCATAACGACGGCGGTGATCAACATTGAGGATGCGCCTGAATATTACGAGCGCTTCAACCGTACGGAAGAGGTGAAGGTTCTGATATCGTTCTCTCGTTGATTCTATCGCTGGGCGGTTACACAGCGGAGTAGCTTTAGTTCACTTGTTCAATACTTGTTTCATAGGCTAGATATGAAACCACCCGTTTGGTCAGTCATTCTGTATTAATATCAAGTATATAAATTATATCTATTTACGCTCTGGAATTATCTAAACTGTGCATGTTCATCAAATCGTAATTTGTCCATCCTCCTTTCGCATCCTCTGCAAAGCCTCATCATCAACTCTCCAAACTCCCTTTGTCTCATGGTCATGAAGCTTCCATTTTGTTCCTTTTGCCAATTGATGAAAGACTTGATGCTCGTCACCTGGCAAACTCCGGAACAATAATGGCTCCCATGATTTTCCATGCAACTTCTCGTCTCTCCTCTTTTGTCGTTGCGCCTCTTCAATTTCATGCTTCGCGTGCGATGCATCCCGATAATTCCCTTGCTCCAGAGCTGATATTACTTCTCCCCATGCCCTTCTTGACTCTCGGGGATCTTGTTCCTCCACTGGATCGATATGCATGTCTGCAGATGTCTCTGGGTCGACAGTATATGTTTCCAACAGCTTTCCTTTGCTGTCGGTTATCTTCCATCCCTCACTCCAGACTCCAGAGAGCTTGTAGCAATGCTTCTTGGGCTCATCTTTGTGATATAACCTCGCCTCGAAGCAATTTCTCTTGCCTCGGAAGATACCAGCGCCAGAAAAGTCAATCTCCGAGACATATCCAGAGCTGGACACGATTGTATATGTGCCGATGATCTCGGGATAAAGACACGCCGACAGAAAGCCCCGTACAGTAACATCCGTCAGAGGTACCAGGTAGTCCTCGTCAAACTTGTCGAGATGTATGATAGCGTGCCCCATTTGCCGAATGTTAATGTTTCCATTAAAGGTCATCTCGACTCGTCCATAACCATCCGCTCTTATTCCATCTGCAGAAATATGCATCGCAGTAATCGGTGGATGATGGCTAACCTGCTCAACTACCAATCTGGTATCACTGTCCCCCTCGCTCCAAGAAGCAAGGAAGAGTTCACCAAGAAAAGCATTGAGAGGTTTCTTGATGCTAACATTTGGGGCACCTGCAACATACAACTGACTTCGGAGGCCTGCCAAGAATAATTGCAGGACCGAAAGACTTCGTTTCGCTGGATCGAGTTCTTTTGTAGGTGCTGTGAAAAGTAGGGGCTTCTTTGCCCAACTTCCGGGATTCTCGACAACTGAAGATGGTGCTAGAAAGAATGGTGGAGCTGTGACATTTGCGAGATCTAAATCGCTTTTTAATGATGATAAAAACTGAATTGTTAGTGGGAATCGTGGCTGTTGATTGGGCCCATACCTTGGCCAGGTCAACAAAGCGTCTGCCCATTGACTTGGAGTCATCGTGAATAGTTCTCTGAGTCTTTGAAATCGGTTCCATTTTGAATTTGCGAATACTCTACTACAGTTTACTGAGAGTCTTCTCTTATATAAATACTCCCAAACTCTCGTCTCATCACATGCTTCAATTGCGTTTCAACACAGCCACGTCTTAGTAGCTCAAACTCGCTACGACGTCAAGTCGGCCGCCAAAGTTTCAATGCCTGTCGCATCAAAACTAGACCAATCAGAGGGCTCCCGGAAGCTGAATTCATCCGAATTTTGAAACGGGAGAATTGGTGGCCGTCGGAAACTCGAACTACCGGCGACCAGCCTCGAATTGTTCTAGCTCATACGTCATCCTTGAATAATCGGGATTGTTTCTAGAATTGACGGCAGATATCGAAGCCAATGACAACTGGAACTTCATATTCAGACCAATTTGAGCATGTGACACTGCTCACGTCCATGCACATGCTGCTGCCGTCAGCTTATGACTTTTATCTGACCGCCGCTGGTGACGAGGGCGGCTCTTGATAGCGCCGTGATAGCACTGATAAACATAGAATTGAATTTCAAGGATATCCCAAGCGCTCCAGGAAAGGAAATTCTTATGCGCACCACAGAATGGCATTTGCTATTGACCTAGATCATGTCCTCGCCGTTCGATTCATATTTCGGCGCCGCAACGATCAAAGATTGAAATGAGCAAGGAGAGGTGAAGCTGGCTGGGATCTCTGGGTTTCAATATATCAATGAGGCAAAGGAAGATCTGTCTTGGCGTGGTATTGAGTATTCCATAAGTATAAGATCCCAGGTTTCGAAATGATGAGAGCTGCCTACCTTGGCCTGAGCATCTTACTGTCAAACTCTACTATCTAGGCCTTATAAATCTGGATTTTAAGGACCAGCGAAACCAGAAATGATATGATTTCGTTGCTTCTGCTAGCAATTATAGCTTGACGATTCGTCTAGAGGTAAACCGTCCAGGCGGAGTCATCCTGTGCGACGTACGAGCGCAGCGAGGAAGAGCCCTCCGCTAGGAGCCCCCGGAGGGACATGACTGATAAGAACAGACAAGACGGTTTGCTAAAGCCATGAGAGCTTGATTGATTTTCTCGAGTACAAGTCACAGCATCAACGTGCAAAAGGTAGTGACCGTTGCTAACGTCAGCATTCGAACCTCGTTATACTTCAGGAACCTACACGTAAATCGTTAGAGAATCGCGCTCTCAGTATTACCTTTATCCTAGCGATCCCTATTCTCCTCAATGTGTAGTGATCTCGTGACAAAAGTCTCAGCTTGGCTGTTTTGTACTGATTGACCTAGAGGTTATAGATAAGCTTCAGCCACAAAACTCAGCCCTCGACGTTGACATCATTCAGCGTCTCAACAGTTTTGAAGCTGTTCGTCATCATCAGAACTGACCTACCGGACTTGAAAATGTCCGCACACATACTATGGTCATCACGCAATCTAGCTGCTAAATTCTGGAGGTTTCGTAAGCAGAGACAGAGCTGTAGATCATCCCCATTACGACGGTCAGCGTGAGTGGCAGACATACGAGCTCGACGGGTCCAACCTTACCGTTTCTCGATTCACGCTTCTCTACCAATTGTATGGAGATAAATGGAGTCTTTGCCAACGTCATTCGTCATCATCAGAGCGGGATGGAACGGCAATCCACAGACAGACTTCCGGGTAGTAATGCCTCCGAAGTCCAACGGCAATTCTAACTCAATCTCAAGTCAAGCTTTCGGCAATGGCGCTCGGCGCGTAGTTATCGATGTCACTACCCTAATTGACTACCGTCAGAGGCGCAACTCAATTAACTTAGTCCATCTACCTATCGAGAGTTTGTAGTAACCAATCGGCTATCCAATCGTATTTCCGAACTCTTATCCGACCTTCGGACAGTAATCCGATCAATCAGGATTGACAATCACTCAACAATGCCTCTTAGTAAAGACCTTTTGTCAGTATTCCTTGGGTTAATCTTTCTGAATCTCACAAATGACACTCCCCAACCTTGTTGGCAGATCACTGGGGTATTCCAGTTCTATCCCCACAGCCAAGCCACGCTGGACCCTCAAATTGCTTCATCCATCAAACAATGAAGATCATGGTTCAGTTGACTACCCGCGGGTACGTTCTTGGCAGGTGCTCCTTCCTCAATGTTTCCCTGATTTAAGCTTAGAACAAGGTTGGCCAATGATCAAGTGGTTACATCCAGATCTGGACATGTTTCCCAATTCAGTAATCCCAGCGTAGCCGTGCTGTGATGCTGGCTCACGCATTGTATCACGTCGAGATCCTGCTTATCGTTACAGATACGCGACTTCACAGCTGCGCCGAGTTTGTGCAATCATACGTCAGCATCAGTGCGGCTTGTAACCGTTCCGTAGATTAGGCTGTAACCTCCACGTAAATCATGCTAACCTCCACAGCGTAGATCTGTAACCAGACATCGTGGATCGGAACTTTTTATACCATGACGTGCGTCGATAACTCAGATAAGCTTAATCATCCCTTTATCAATGTCTCATACGCGTCAATGAGTCAAGCAATTCTCCCACTCAGCCACGATCACTAAAAAGATCGACACTGCTGACTCGTCACAGCGACGACGATCCTGATAAGCACGCCAAGTCTAAGCATTCACATACCATGTCACCAGCCGTTAGTTACTAGTTACACAATTGATAAGGTTGGTTTTACGCTTATTATCCACGAGGACATGAAACTGCAGGAAGCCTCATGTTACCATTTCGGACTCCGATTACGCGGCACGTTGTACATGTAGGTAGCCCAGGATATCCGTTAAACCGCTTGGCGATAATTGCAATTGCCAAGATGCGACAGGATGAGGAGGTTCGAGAGGAGAACTGGAGAAGAGTGTAGATCAAAGTGCCGATCATTCAACCAACCACTCACGGAATGTCATTTTAAGGCTAGATCTAGATAGCTGAAATGTAGATTCCCCTGTGGCGGTCAAGTGCCGTGATCCACACGTGCGGGCGGGAAAGGCTTACTTGGCCAGATGAGCAAATCAAGGAAATGTTTGACACAAAACACGACAACGATTGCACAATGTTTCACGGTCGCTTTGGTCCTTCACATGTGAAAATTTGCAAAAAAGCAATGCATACGCAAGGATAATGATAGTTTAATTACTAGGCTCAACCGAACGGTTGGGTTGTTATCAGGCAGTTATATGACAAGGATCTAAAACCCCAGACTTCGACACACACTTCTCCCCGGGCATCTGCCCTCAAGATTACGGCTCCGGAGTCATGACGGGTGACAAGCCCCGACTTGGCACGGGATGAGGATCCACTCAATAAGCGTGCTCACAGCCTCAATGACCCGTTGTAATATCGCCTCGCCCTTGGCAACAAGCCAACGCCATGTCGCAAACAAGCAAAAAAGATGTCGCAAGCTAAGCTCAGCAGGGAGCACCTTGTAGATAGGTGCCCGATCTCGACTACAACACAAACCAAGATCCAAACGGTCCAATTAGAGACTCCAATCGGCCTCGTGTCTAAGCCCGAATGTTTCCCAACTTCCCCTATTCAGGCCAAGACGGGATCTCACTGACAGAGGCTCAACAAGGGATCGCCGTTCTTGGGATAGCTTGGCAAGGAACACCAAGAAGGGAATTGCGCGTCACATTGAATAGATTCAGAGATAGCGGGTCTGTACTCCATATCACAAAGTCATGGCTTGGAGTGATTCAGGGCTGTGCACAAGTATAAGGATGTCTCCCTCCTCCGGTTTTCATAAGATTTATCATTTCATCTCTACAAACAAGATGGCTTCATTATTTCGACGACAGGACCCGGACCCCGAGCTGTGTGTGAAGTATGCTCACTTCGCTTCTCATATGGTACGATGGCAGTTCGGGATTATCTATTGGACCCTGTTTGTGTCTAATTTACTGGTCTTGTTTATTGCTTCATGGACATATATCCGGTGAGTTTGGGTGACGTTTGAATGATTTGATCTAACAAGAATAGTGGCCAAGCAGCTATGGAGAAGCTTGCTCATAATCCTAAAGCACGAACGAAGCGAATACGGCAGTCGGTCATGATGTGTCTTGGATGTGTCTCTGTCTCAACAGTCATTGTCGTCATGGAAGCGTACTCCATTTTGGCTCTTCAGTTTTGTGATGGTGAAGACCTCATCTCACTCTATTGGTCTACCTGGACCATGATCCAAGTCGGTTCATTGATTGCCATGATTGGTATCATTCTTGCAATGGCACATACCCTTCGTGGAAGACAGCATCCGTAAGTTCTCGTCTATCATGTTACACTCAGTCTTTCTAACTGTTCAGACCATGGGCACTTGCATTAGGTACACCCGTTCTTGTGATTGCCGGATTTCTTCATCTGTTCCATGATTGCACCAAGAAGCGAATTCGAAGCCGTCGCCGAAGAAACGACTACGATGATCCCATGGGGCCTCCAATGAGTCAAGCGTGAGTACTCAGTGCCGTTACTCCGAATGTTTCGACTAACACAAACAGTAACACAATTTCGGTCAACCCCGATGAAGAAGACATCGAATACAAAGCACAAGTAATCGGGCTTACATTCGATGGTGGTCCAATCATTCGATACACAGATGCTGTACCCGAAACCTTACCTGAACATGCTCAACTCTTGGGATACTGCGCACAGAGCAAGCCTATCGTCATGTGTAAGCGTGAGACTGTTCAATTTCTGATGGACTCTCCGGCACGAGTACCACCATCAGCATCACCGGCTTTCCGCAAGGGTAACTGAGACATTCTGTTTCGCACCTTGCAAAGCTGAGGCATCCAACGGCGACAGGGGATGAGATAAGAATCTGAGCGTCAAAGCACGCCAAGACAAGGGAGATGCGCTTTGACTTTATGCGTTGTTGTCGCCTAAACTAGCAGGCATTATTTTTGGGTTTCTTTGCTTGGGTTTGCTTGGGTTTGCTTGGGTTTGCTTGGGAGTTTGCTATAGATACAGGATAATGGCGGTGGACATAAAGAGGAGGAATGGGATGGGCATGGTTTGGTGTCATGGCGGTCGGAAAAGTGGCTTCATGATACTGAAGATAAGATACCCTTGCGATAAGATAATAAATGGTTTTGTGCTTTCATAACCCTTTGCATAAGATGTGCATAGAATGTGTGATCGAGATCAGTGATGTCAGCGATGATATTTGATCTAGACTTTTTGAGTTTGACCGATGACGGAGTTTTTTCTTATCGATAGTGGGGTGAATGCCCCTCATCGCCGGTTCGGCCAATGTTTTGATCGGCTTAGTAAATAGCTTTCAAATCAGAGGCGATCAACGTGAAGATTCAGACCACGACATTTATTCACATACTGCGCGCAAAGCTCATTTAACAACGATTCCTTCATCTGCGACGCATTCTCTACGACTCGTCAGACGCTACATTCATTCACATCTTCACCGCGATGGGCCTTACCAAGGTCAAACACATCATCCTGGTATGTTACACTACGCTCGCTCGCTCACTCGCTTCAAGCTGTTACTCACCAAACAGGTCCTCTCAGGCAAAGGAGGAGTAGGCAAATCTTCAGTCACAACCCAATTAGCATTGTCGCTCGCTTCAGCCGGTCACTCTGTCGGTATTCTCGATGTCGATTTAACCGGCCCTTCAATCCCCCGCATGCTCTCGATCGAAGAGTCAAAAGTCACCCAAGTACCAGGAGGATGGGCGCCCGTGTTAGTACATGAAGGAGACTCATCCAAAGGCCTCGGATCTCTACATGCGATGAGTCTAGGCTTCCTCCTCCCAAAGCGAGGCGACGCAGTTGTTTGGAGAGGACCAAAAAAGACAGCAATGATCCGACAATTCCTCAAAGACGTGCTCTGGGATGAAACCGACTTTCTACTCATCGACACACCACCCGGAACAAGCGACGAACATATATCCCTCGCCGAAACGCTCCAAAAGGACGCACTGCCCGGCCAGGTCGCGGGCGCAGTAGTAGTCACAACACCCCAAGCCGTCGCGACAGCTGACGTACGAAAAGAGCTCAACTTTTGCACCAAGACCAACATACGGGTATTAGGAGTCGTGGAAAACATGAGCGGCTACGTGTGTCCGCATTGTTCCGAGTGCACCGACATATTCGGGTCAGGAGGAGGGAAGAGCATGGCGGAGGAGTTCAAGGTTCCGTTCCTGGGGAGTGTTCCTATGGATGCGCAGTTCATTTCTCTGGTTGAGGAAGGTAGACGACCGACTTACCCGTCTGGTACGACGGTGAATGGGAAGGATATTTCGGGGACGAACGGTGAGGGAGAGGGAGAGGGTTTGGTTGATAAGTACCGGGATTGTTCATTGTTTCATGTTTTTGGAGATATTACAGAAAAGGTCATGACAAACGTGGCTAATTGATCCACTCATGTCTGCGACCAACATCAGGCAATTGGCTGTTGAGTGTTTGTGTCTGTCTTGAATGCCTGCAAGTCTGTCGTCCGAGTGTCTCATCACAAGCAACTTCAACGGCACTGACTCACCCAGGCACATGCATTTACGAATAAACCCATAATTGGCTCACTGCAGACTCACAGCCTCTTCAATGTGCATCTCTTCCAAGAAAGTTACAATGACGAAACTCGTGTGGCCATTACAAGGATCTCCAAGCCCTGCCCCACCAAACCCAACACGCCAACCCAGTAAAAATCACCCTCCTCCCCTCCCAAAAAAGCTCAGCGCGGGTGGAATTTTTCTCTCTCTCGTAAAAAAACCTGCAGTTTTCGGCCCAGAAGCCGGGGACACGCTCTGCTTCCCCGGGTCGTGGCACTGTACTTGTACCTGGGATTGGGCAGGATTTGACGACTCGCACTACGTAGCTCCCACTAAACTGTACCTTACAGCTGTTTGGGTTGGGCTTGGAGAAATAGCACCGCCTTATTGAGACCTTAGCACATTGGATCGGGATGGAAGAGAAATTTACTCTCTGCTCGCAAAAATAAACCCCAACCCCTCCCACTTCTGTCAAGAGACCCAAAATTCTCTCACCGACAGAGTAACATAAACAAACAAGCATCAGTCACTTGTTCTTTGGCTTTCCATCTGTTATCCTCTTGTCTCTTTCTCTTTGTTTTGCCTCGCATCCTCTGTTCGCACTGCTCACGCGACCGCAAATTTGGTTACAAGTTCAATGTCGAATAAACGTGTCTAATCTCTCGAACAATCGACGGTTCTCTCGATACCGTCACTGACCTTTCTTGGTTCCTTTACTGGGCTTCTATGCGGCCGACGGATCTTCTGCGCTTCCTGTTCTCTCGACCTTCCAAGTATGATTCGCTTGACCTCAACTCATCAGAGACCGACTGACCACTGGAGCAGGCCCCGATAGCACCCCTTCAACGCATCTGCCGATTCACACATCTTCCAAGTAACTTCTACTGCCACAATTCCGTCAAAAGAGCTCTACCACTTCATCCGCTCGCGACCTCCCTAACGTCCCCGAGACGTTACCCCCCGATCGATCGATTGCTGCTGGCTCCGCCAGCATCTGAACAAGTCCCCGTACCTGTGGGCCTACTCTCTCAAACAGACGCCGCATAGTCTGTTTGAGCGGCAGCTAGTGCTCCGCGGACTCTGCCACCGGGCAAAGAACACTGACCAACCGCCGCCATGACCTCCGTCCCGTACAACTGCACCTTTTCGCCTGCCTCGGCTACACCTCATCTGACAATCAACCATGATGTAGCCGCCGACCTCGACTCGACCAACGCTTTTGAAGGTCCTGAGAAGCTTCTCGAGGTTTGGTTCGCTCCTAGTCCGACGACTCTGCCTCCTACTGCTCCCGTCAATGGCCTAAAGGCAGTTCCAGCTGATACTTGGGTTCCCATGCTTGATATGGTCAATTGCAAGGTCTTGTCTGTTCTTGAGAGTGAAATGATGGATGCTTATCTTCTCTCCGAGTCGAGCATGTTTGTCTTTCCTCACAAGATCATTCTCAAGACTTGCGGCACCACTACCCTTCTTCTCGGCCTTCAACGAATGCTTCACATCGCCGCCAAACATGGATTCCCATTCCACAATGCCAATTCGGCCGACGACATTCAAGCAGCAGCGACTCCATACCGAGTATTCTACAGTCGCAAAAACTTTCTCTTCCCTGAGAAGCAGCAAGGCCCCCACCGCAGCTGGAAACAAGAGGTCAAGTATCTCGACGACATGTTCGACGGAGGTAGTGCCTATATGGTAGGCAAGATGAACGGCGATCACTGGTATCTGTACCTCACCTCACCCAACCAGCAAGCCCTCACGCCACCTCGTACACCCGGTGAGGTCGAAGGCACCAAGATCCCCGTCGGGACATCCTTCAATGGACTCCCAGGCAGTTACCATGACGAGACGCTCGAAATCCTCATGACGGATCTCGATCCCGAAAACGCCAAGCAGTTCTATCTGTCGCACGCGAGTGCGGTCGCCAGCGACAAGATGGCTGCAGAGGCGAAGGATGCACGCGAGGAAGCCATCAACAGCCTTGGAGGGCTTGCCGAGACTGTTGACGAGGTTGATGTTTTCGCGAACGAAGACGACACCATGCTCGACTCAATTGAGGCTCTGACCACTGAAGGTCACGCATTGGGGACTGTCGTCTCGGAGAGTTGCGGCCTCTCCAGCGTCTACCCAACCAGCAAGTATCCCGATGCGCGAGTCGACGCATACCTGTTCAGTCCCTGCGGCTTCTCGGCCAATGGCGTCGTCCCTCCTGAGGCTGGAAAGGGTGAGCATTACTTTACAGTTCACGTCACCCCCGAGCCTCAGTGTTCCTTCGCTTCATTCGAGACCAACGTCCCTGGTGGTCAGAGTGGACGTACCACGACTGAGATTATTGAACATGTTGTAGACATCTTCAAGCCCGGTCGTTTCAGCGTCACTCTTTTTGAAGCAAAGGGTGCAGCTCAGAACCCATACTGCATGGGCGATGATGATTCCAACAATTGGGCTGCCAAGCGTCTTGTTGACCCTGTTAGAGGATACAGACGCATTGATCGTATTGTTCACGATTTTGAGGATTACGATCTTGTCTTTCGCTTTTACGAACGTGAAGGATGGGCTGGAACTAAGAACGCTCGTGTTGGAGAGCCTGTTAGTCCTACCAAGTGATTCTCACTGACATTTGGACCATCATTTTTGTCATTGTCATTGGACTGTCATTTGTGTCAATTGGAGGATGCGATGGATGCCTGTCATTCCCGAGTGCCTAGCATGTGTCAACTTTGTTGTTTCTTGAGATAGTTTCGCTCTTTGAGATCGCTTTTGAACATGTATTTTGAATTGATCATTTTGCGACAACTTTGCGACAGCCACTGAATGATGCCCTGTAATGATGATCAGAACCTAAAATTAGTGCATGCACACTAAATCAAGCCTGTACCAGGCGTACCCAAGGATGACAAAATCTGAGCAGTAATGTCTGTTGACAGTGCACGCTTGTGTCAATTTTGTCCCCCAAACTCAGTCCCCCACCAGTCATTGCTGATAACGATAAGCCTTGCACGTGATCTCAGCCCCGTCAAAAAATTCTTTGCTCAATCTCTCCAGCAAAGCTTCAGCATCACCAAAACCTCACAGTCAATCACATCAACCGCCAAAATGCATCTCATGTACACCCTCGACGCCCAAGGCAATCGCCTGTACACCCTCAAGAAGGTCGCCCAAGGACAAGTCACCAAGTCCGCCCACCCCGCGCGCTTCTCCCCCGATGACAAGTGGTCGCGCCAGCGCGTTACTCTCAAGCGACGATTTGAGCTTCTCTTGACTCAGCAGAGTATGTCCTCCACTCTCACTCTCGATGATCTGTACTGACTGAATTCTGCAGAGGAACAATAAATCATCACATGACGGGCGTTACGGTTCAGTTTGGGCGTTAGACTAAAGGTCTCAATACAACTACTAGTGCTTCTTCTTCGAGTTTACATTTCGTCCCGCTCCAACACGAATCTTTTGACCGCCACCTGCACGATGCCCTGTTAATAAATCGGGCAGATAATCCTGATCCATGATATCCTTCTTCCTCTGACGTCTCTGTTCCTCTCCCGCCCGCGTAAACTCCTTCTGATCCTCCGCCAGGATGAGATTATTTCCCCAGCCATTCTTGCCGCCCGCGTTCTTTGGAAGACGACCATTCGCAGACCCGTGAACAGGCTTGGGAACACTGTAGACATTTCCACGGTTATTCCACTGAAAGTTCTTCTTGAGATGGATCTTGAAGTTGCCGTGCTCATCGGTCGAGCAGCTTACTCTGTTGAGAGTAGGTTGGCCGCAAGAGGGACAGAATTGCTTGTTCATCTCTTTTGTGATCTTGAAGCAGCCGTGGCAGCGTAGAACCCAGTTCTTGAGATGTGTGATTCGTGCGAGGGATGGTGCGACGAGGTTGAGGTTCATTCGGAGAGCGACGTTTTGCATGGCGTAATCGGATGTGAGGACTGCGGCTTGGAGGGTCTTTTGAACGGGCGCTGAGGGTGTCGCTCCAGTGTCTGCTGCTTGGTGCTTCTTGAGGTTTGAGGGGGTGATCCAGCCGCCTTCATCGTCGGAGGCGTCGCCGTCAGATGCCTCTTCAACGGCTTCGATTGTTTCGTCGGCCTTTTCGCCAGCCTGCGCTGTCTCTTCGGTGACCTCTGTGCCTGACTCTGTGACCTTGGGCTCTGGCTCAGCGACAGTCTCTGCGACAGTGTCCTTTGCCTCTGTAGACTGACTGGACTCTCCGACCGTGGGCTGCTCAATAGGGTTCTCGATTGTGAGATTGTCAACAGCCTTCTCCAGAGTCTCCTCGACCTTCTCCGTCTCAGTCTCAGTCTTGGTCTCACCCTCAGCAGGCTTGTTTGGCTTCCCATTCAAACCCTTCTGACCAGGCGTCTTTCTCAATCTCCATTCACCTCCATTTCGTTCACACTCCAACTCATACCCCAGCGCCAAGACGTCAATATCGGGCTTGCTCAAAACGGCCAAATCTCCTGTTCTTCTCGCAAAGTCCCGGATGACTTTCACACTCTCGGGGTTGGGCGATCGTAGGGTGATGAAAGGTAGAAGCGTCGTCTCTACTCGCGCTCGAGTGGCAGCATCTCGAATTTCGGAAATAATGCAAGGAAGTGTGTAGAGTTGTTCAGCTTTCGCCCGAAGGGTATTCGCGGGAGGGTCGTTCTTGATGAGAGGGCCTGTATCAAGTACAAGGCTGTGAATGGGCTTGTGAGCCGCTGCGTCTGAAGACATGATGATGGTCACCCAGTGTTTGGGGGTTTAGATTGGCGATAATTTCTGTGGTGTTCATCGCGGGGCAAACTTTGGAAATTTTGGGAGAGATAAGAGATAAGATAAGATAAACATTTTGTCATCGCACGTGCAACCTGGCAGCTGATGCTTAAATTCATCAGGCAAGGCTTAAGTTCATCTAGGTCTCACTCGTGCATAACGTGCATTATTAATTGTTGCTATTGAAGTGATGCCGCTTCAATTGATACCGCCATTTAATTATTGCTATTGAACTAACATTCTCATATTGCGCCATACCTATTGTCATAGTCATTGACACGAAGGGCGTTACACCTTGTCCTGACAGTGACTCTTCACAGGGCGTAGTGGACATGACAAGGTGGTGGATTAATAATGGAGAATGCCGTCAAAACTTACCGTGATGGTCTCGGAGGGTCACCCGAGGAAAATAGTCTGCTCTCGCGTAAATCTGTGGCTTTTTTTGCTGTCCGTGACTCGAATTTCAAAGGCGTGCTATTTCTGCCGACTTCGGATTCAGCCGTAAGACGGGGGATAGATGATGATGAATCTGACAAATGTAAGATGAGAAACAAGTGCAAACTCAATGAATGGCAACAACGAGGCTAGACAACAGTAGCAGAGCAGAGCAGAGTAGAGACAGTGAACGAAGCTGTCACAGAAAAAACTTCTCATCACTCGATTTTTACGTACAAGACCCCGCTGTAAATTGTCAGTGGACATCTACTGAACATCTACAGTGGGTCCATCTCCAAATCTCCAATTCTGAGGCCCAAGATGAACATGTCTTCAGACTTATCAATCGGATAAACGGGTGTAAGCACGTCCTCGAAATGACCAAGAATAAGCTTAGCTCTACACGGCTTAAATTTCCGCTTAAAAATGACTACGCCATGATCTATTTCCAGGCCGGGGTCGGATCGGATGTCACCATTTTTTTACATGCGCCCTACAACATGTCAACAGGCTAGGGATGGTATGGATGGATGGATCAGTCAATGGGTCAATCACAACAGGGCGCAGATGGACAGAGACAGAGATATAAATCCTGGGGGTCAGCTGAGTTGGATTTTGGTCAATTCTCATCACTCTGAGCTTCACTTGAATCACTCAAACTTGAACCTCTCATCAGCTACAATGGCAGCCAAGGTTCCATCGTTTGTTGACGTTCAAGTCACAAAACTACCCAACACTCCCCCAGAGTATGAACATCTCGGCATTCATCGAAACGGAGGCATTCATCCTTGGGGCTCAGCACATGCACTGGCCTCAACTCTGAAGGGAAAAATGACAAAGAAACCAGAAGTCCAAATCCTCATCAATGGCCACTTCAACTCCAAGGTGTACACCACCAACTCTGAAGTCTCTGGCGTCGTCAACATCACACCTGCTAGAAACACTCGCTACGATCGACTTGACATTTCTCTTGATGGACTTAGCGAGACGCGAAGGGATGGTCCTGACATGACGCACATGACATCTCATCGATTCCTTCGCCTAGAGATGCCAATCGACGAGTATCCTGCTGAAGTCCTTGAAGCTGGCGTCACTTATACATTTCCCTTCATCTTCAACATCCCAGCCCATCTCTCCTCTAAAGCATGCTCCCACAAGACCAACTCCGAAGACGTCTGGGAGCGACACATGGCATTGCCTCCAACGCTCGGCGGCTGGGAAAAAGACGACATGGCACCTGATATGGCACGAGTAACATATAGCATCAAAGCCTATGTCCTCACGCGAGCCAGGCAGGGATTCAACATTGCTCTCGGCAACTCCCATGCCATCAACGTCATGCCAACGTCTTTCGAGGAGCCTCCTCTGAACATCACCGAGCGAGACGACTTATACAAGATTGAGAGATCCAAGAAGGTCAAGAAGAACATCTTTTCTGCTTCACAGGGTCGAATCTCTGCAGTGGCGGCTCAACCAGCTGCAATTCATCTCACCAAAGAGGGCTACGAAGCTAGCGGATCTTCAATTCCCATCAGTTTCACTTTTGAACCTTCTGCTGCTGATGTGATTCCTCCCCAATTCACATCTGCTTCTCTCAAGATCCAAGCGCATACTTGGTTCCGCGATCAACCAATGATGAACCTACCAACACAAGGATCTTCAGTTGCAAACTTTGGATATCCATTCTCAGTGTCTCTCCCAAAAGCCTCTCCCAAGGTCCAATGGACTCAGAATGTCGACATGACAAGCACCAAGGATTCACCTGTTTTTCACACAGCTACAGTCGAAGTTCCCTTCAAACTGCCTACAGCTGACAAAATGTTTGTCCCAACATTTCACTCCTGCATTATCTCACGAGCATATACCGTCAAGGTCGTTTTGGAGGGAGACGTCAAGATTGACTTGACAGTCCCTGTCCAAGTGGTTATGGGAACACCCGATGTCTAGGAAACTTTCGTTAGTGTTGCTTTGGGCTAGTTTGGCGTTTTCGGGATGCTCCAGTTTGACGAGAGATGAAAAGATATCCAGGCGAGCATTATCCGATAGAGTTAGATTTATTAATAGTAATTGTTTGTCATGCCGTTACCCAGGTTCCCCAGATCCACTGTGTAGCTGAAAGCTTGGAATGTGCCGTGTCCACAGTCTGCATGTCATGCCAAGATAAGATGCCAACCGTTGACCTCAAGTCCGGGGTCAGATTGTCAAAGTACGGATGAGTGAGCGTAGTTAGAGTCTATGATTCCTTGTAAGCATGAGGTGTATGCATGTAACGCGTCGCAATTAACCGTGGATGCGACGCAACCAATTAGATGACACGAAGACCACACAATGGGACAAAGCCAGTCAGACTGTTACCAAAATCTCTTTGGGAAGTCCGGCCGTTGCGTGAATGAGCCGCATTGAAGCCGTCGCTGCCGATAGCGGCCGTTGGATCTTACATCAGCGGGAATAATGACGAAGTTGTTTGATGAATTTAACCCCGGACTTTAGAACGCTTTTAAGCTGGCAGAGATACTGTACAAGGGTTATTGCTGAACCGGAGCTTGTTGTGAAAACGTAGGGTAAGATGGTGAGTTTAATGAAGTCAGCACCAGCGAGACGTCAACGTCACACCTGCTCATAGGCCAATGGTTGTACGTATTTGAGGCCAGCTCAACAGTTGAGAAGACTCGAGTGAGGACTTAATAACACTACAAAGCAATAAGACACGTAAGAATTACCCCATTAACAATAACTACGCAATTGTCCACATCGTAACAAAACCATGACTAGACAGGCTAAACTACCCTACGTCAGAGCCAGGTGATCGGCATTCTCATTACCATTCTAGTCCATCCTGCATAAACTAACTTTTAGCTCAATTTCACCCGTTAACTACCGGCCCTTACGGAATACCCTCTCCTGCAAACTCAAAGCCCCAATCTCTCACGTACAAATAAACCCATCTCCAAGTCTAGAACTGTCTCACGATATTCCTCAGCCTCCGTGCACTCGGGGTCGGCCGTTTACGGATGCCTTGACTCGGGGATTCCATTAGAAATATGAATCACATCACAGATCGCTGGTTTCAGTGGGCCAGCAACTCCACAGCATTACGAGAGAAATACTTTCTCAGCCAATGCGGTCCGACATGACCAATTGGTTCTGTTTCAATGACGGATTTTAATCTGGCCTCTTTGGAGTTATCAAGATAGGCCTGTTAGATAGGCGATGCAATGCATTGATCACTGTAGAACCCCGAATACCGAAGCCAGTGTTTCGCAGGAGATGAAGACATTTGCAGAGACAGTGAATGACTGACTGACAGACTGAGAGCGTGGTGGCCATTGAATAGTCGCCTATTTTAATCAGGCATTACAGCGCGTGTTCATCGTATTAGCGACTAGATCATCCCCCGAGGTCAAGTGATTTAACCGCGCCTCGATCACCAAATACCTCAGTCCCCGAAACCTTAGGCTCAAGCCAGAATATCCCACCTAATATCGTACCATACATTTCCCATGCATTAAACTCCTTCAAATCACATCAACATACGCTATCTCGAGGCCACGAAATAAAAAAGACTCAATGGTCAATGCTTGGCACCCCTGCAAGCCTTTATCATTCCCCATACCCCCAATCGCCACCCCTGACTAGTACACCTTCGAGAACATTTCGACGGGCGGCAGATTTTTTCCCGTCAATTCAGCCAAGCCATTTTTGCAAATTTTTCGGATGCGACATGTATGACACTCGTGCGATAACAGCCACGGATCCGACTTGGCAGAGAAATGCCGGTCACAAGCCCGTACCTATTCCCGTCTCAACCTCAGTCTCTACGGTACTTGACATTCAGTGTCTGCCGACTGCTCCGCATTCTCAACAATTCTCGTACGTAAAGGAACCCATCCTCTCCTCAACTTAATCTCTCCCCTTTGCGGAGTAATCTCTGGGGACACAAACCCCGTCCGTCTATTACCAAATTTTCATCATCGCAGCCAGGACGGAGAGTTTTATTGACTAATGCAAACATGGCTGCAGCCAAGCAAGAGGCTCTGTTGCGATCCACTTTATGTAATCGAAAGGTTTTGGTGATCCACTGTAGGCGCGACACTGCACACGAGCTCGAGCCTCATGACACGGAGTTTCGGCACCGCGAGAAGCTTTTTGAGAAACGAGTCCGTTTGAGGAGTCTGGGGTCTGGGGTATTAGGTTCTGGTGAGGGAATTCAAGATGTAAGAGAAACAAGGTTCGTGGGCTATGGTTCAGATTCGTAGGTCGCCTCCGAAGAATGGTGGGACTATCTCGACCCACTGGTAACTACAAAGATCGGCCTCATTCTCGGTCTCTGCTTATCTGGTCTTTATAATAGACCTGTATTCCCTCTCTGCTCTGGTCCTCTCCTCATACTCTCTATACTCATCTTGGCACTAGATCTCACTTACCTATACACTTACACTACATACACTTATACACATATACTTACATCACTTACACTACATACACATACATACACACATCATGGACCAAATCAACACAGCCCAAACGGCTCCAACAGAAACAAAAAAGAGCCGTCGAGAATCAGTACCAGACATGTTTGACACACGAACCGGCGAAGTCGCCGAGATCAACGACATGGAGAAGCAAAAGGCCGCTGAAGGCAACGCACACTTCCACCGTCTCGGATGGAAGCGATTGACAGTCGTCTTGATCGTCGAGGCCATTGCTCTCGGATGTCTATCTCTCCCTTCTGCCTTTGCCACTCTCGGCATGGTCGCTGGTGTCATTCTCACTGTCGGCCTTGGTTTCGTCGCCATCTACACATCGCACGTCGTTGGACAGGTCAAGCTTGCTTTTCCCGAGGTTTCTCATTATGCCGATGCTGGTAGACTCATGTTTGGCAAGTTTGGTTACGAGGTTAGTCAAGCCCCGATGCCCAATTGATGTATACTAACTTGAACAGTTGGTTGGCGTTATGTTTGCTCTTCAGCTCATCTTCCTCGTCGGATCTCACTGTCTCACTGGAACAATCGCCTTCCTGAACCTTACCAACAATGGAGCATGCTCTGTCGTCTTTGGTGTCGTCTCTGCCATCATCCTCCTCATCGTCGCTATTCCTCCTTCATTCGCAGAGGTTGCTATCCTTGGTTACATCGACTTCGTCTCCATTTCTATCGCTGTCGCCATCACAATCATCGCAACCGGCGTCCAAGCCGGCGACTCAGTAGGCGGCATGTCCTCTGTCGACTGGTCTGCTTGGCCCAAGGACAACCTCAGCTTCACCGACGCTTTCATCGCCATCACCAACATCGTCTTCGCCTACTCGTTTGCTGTGTGCCAGTTCAGCTTCATGGATGAGATGCATACTCCTCGTGACTATGTCAAGTCAATCTGGGCTCTTGGTCTGATCGAGATTGGTATCTATACCCTTACTGGCGCTCTCATTTATGCCTTTGTCGGTTCAGAGGTCAAGTCGCCTGCTCTTCTGTCTGCTGGTTCTACCATCTCCAAGATCGCCTTTGGTGTCGCTCTTCCCGTCATCTTCATCTCTGGATCTATCAACACCACAGTTGTCGCTCGTTACATCCACGGACGTATGTTCAAGAACTCAATCATCCGCTACATCAACACCAAGATGGGCTGGATCACTTGGCTGGTCCTTGTCACTGTCATCACGGTTGTGGCTTTCATCATTGCCGAGGCCATTCCCTTCTTCAATGATCTCTTGTCCATTTCTTCGTCTCTGTTCATTTCGGGCTTCACATTTTACTTCCCCTCTATTATGTGGTTCATGCTCATCCGAAAGGGACCTTGGCACTCAAAGGAGAACCTCCTTCTTTCCATTGCCAATGGACTCATTTTCATTATCGGCATGATTGTTCTCGTTGGTGGAACATATGCTTCAATTGATGACATTGTAAGTTATTCCCCAGTCACTCTCCAGCGACCTCGCTAACATTTCCAGATCCTCAAGTTCCGTCACGGCGAAGTCCGAGGTGTCTTTACTTGTGAACCAATTGCTTAAGCGAAGTTAGCGATAGTATAAATTATGAATAGTACAATATTATGACTCAATGTTATCGGACTGCGGAGTTGCCGGAATTGGATCGTCGTGATCAAATTTTCCTGAAAGTCAGATGTTACGTCACTTGATCTGGATTGTCAATTCCTGCGACGGACCGTGATTGGTGCGCAAATGTAATCGTTCGATTGGCCAATGGACGATAAGATAAGTCTCGGCGAAAGATCCTTGATGCCGAGTCTTGGCGTCATCTATTTAGACTCAGTCACGAGCGAATTGTGATGTCTGATCAAGCCATCTCCATCCGAAGACATCGGAGTAAAGTCAGCAGTTTATCACGATATCAGTTGTGGTGGTAGGTCAGGCACGATTGAAGTCAAACAAACAATTAATTCATGCTATTTAAACACCCCGATCCTGGCAATACTTGTCAACCTCCTTCTTCAACTGAGCCTTTTTGGTAACAACATTATCCATAATCTTCTTGACCAGGATATAATCCTCATGAGTCAAAGATCCTCCACCACTCCAGACTCCCTCCTCCAACACAGCCCAGAGACCAGATCCCTTTGCAACCTCCTCCATCAGATCCATGACAGCAGTGAGCTGGTTAGGAAGCCAAGTAATGATAGGACTTCCACCTGTGGCTGTAGGATGAAGAGTATGCTTGATGATGTACTCGCGGGTAAACATCCAGTGTCGCCATCGGAAGCTTCGAATGTGATCAAGGACGCGAAGGTATAGAACCGCAAGACCGTGATCGCCGGATTTTGCGAGGAAATCACGGACACCGACTTCGGAAGCTGTTTCGCGGACATACTTGAGGAATGCGCGGTGAGGCTTGGGTCGATACTCTCTGAACTCGATGAGGATGTCGGTCAACGGGTTCTTGGGCATGGGGATCTCGCAGATGTGATCCAAGAGAGGAATGATGGCATCGTTGGCACCGGATTCTCCACGGAAGAATTGAGGCTTGTCGCCGTATTGTCCCTCGTAGACAACACCATCAGGGAACATGGACTGCTTGGTGATGCCGTAGATAAAGGTTCGGTAGGTCATGTAGTCCTTGGGCAGGGATTGACTCCACATGCCCTCCATGTTTGTCTCAATGATCTGCATGGCATTGAGGATGAGTTCCAAGCTAGCCTTGGCCTCGGCGATCTTGGCAGTGCTGTTGTCCTTCTCAACAGCGGCCAGCAGATCAACAGCGCCTTCAATCAGGCCGCCAGTCTGAGCGACCATGTGAATGTGAGTGAGGATGAAGCCGGCCTCAGAAGACTTAGGGTCAAGACCCTTTTCGAAAGCGCGGATGAGGCGGATGTTGTCGTAGTCGTCGTGCCCTTGCTCGGGATGAACGAGCCAGTAGTTGTAGAGGGCATAGGAGGCGGCGTAAGACATGAAGGCAGGGATGTCGAGACTAGGGGTCGGGTCAGCGAGGTCAATTGATTCAGTGGTAGACTTACATCTCGGCACACTTGACAAGAGGTCCAGCAATGCACTTGGGAAGTGTCTGACGTCCAAGTCCATAACCGCCATCATCGCTCTTGCTATAAGTCTCCCAACAAGGTTCAAGGAGATAAGAAGAAGCAATGAAGCTATAATCTCTAAAAGCAGCAGTAATAGCAGCCATATCTCTCTTGTCCGTCCCAGGAACGACGAGATTATCAATCTCAGAAGTCAAATCAGGAAGAGCTCCACTGTCAATAAGAGGTCCAAGAGCAAATGTCGCCAACAATCCTGGAGTACCATCTTCCTTGAGGATAGGAATGTCGTTAAGAAGGTTTGAAACAGGATCGAATTGAGAAGGGAGTTTCTTCAAAGGAAGTGAAAAAGGAAGATATCCTGTTCGAGTTGTGATGGTGAAAGGGTCCTCACCCTCTGGTAGCTCAGAGGGATCCTTTCGGAGGTATGGGAAGAGGGTGTTTGCAGCAGACATTTTGTGATGAGTTGAATTGATGATTGATGATGAGTCTGGCAGACATCGCGTCTATATACATTGAGGCCGGAATTACTATCGTGGCCGGAAGACTTCCGGCCTTCGCCCTTTGTGAACAATGACAGGCAACCGATGATACCCTAACCGGTCGTTAGCCCGATGGCTTGATAGCTGCCAATCTAAGAGATAGTATTGATAATGGTCTCGTGGGGATTCCGAACTAACGGTACGCCCGGAGTTGGGCCCGTGTTGAATCCACATACCCCGCGATATCTAGATCCCTTCTAGAACTATTGACCAGGAGTGCTTACGACTCGTACGCCAGGTTCACCGCAACTTTGCTATCTCTTACACAATAATAACCCCAACAAGCCCATGAAAGAATTCCAATAGATCACGAGTTCGGTGCAACATGTTCATATGATCAAAAATAGTTTGTCCCAAAGTCTCGGCAATCAAAGATGGTGGCTGTGTGGAGAACCGCCTTGTCGTGACATCCGCCCTAGATTGACAAGCTAGTCAACGCCTTAATCTGACAAGCTGGGGTAACACGGGAGATAGACGAGTAATTTACGTTTCATTGATAACATTCTGTACAGTGTAGAAGGCCATCAAGGTGCGCCTTAGTTTGACATTTAGATATAAGCGATTTCGAGACTGTGTTTATTGGTCAATTGGGTTGTTATCTTGCACGAGAGATGAGGGACGCCGATGGTTCGGAGGCTTGTTGATATCGGCTTCCGAGATGCCAAAGAATGGTTTGATTGCATCCTTTCCGTAAACGAGATCTTGTGGGTGTCGGTCTCCCTTCAACTCAAGGAGTAACCGAATCTATGCGCAAGCACTGGGATGATTGCTTAACTTTGGCCAGCATCATCTGCATACGCACTTGTTGATGGAAGAAATTGATTGAAAGAAGACGAGGCCGGATTGTAGTGTAATTAAATGAAGCTGACTAAATGGTAAACAATAAAACCGCAATTGACTGCTATAACGCTCAACTGGCATCTCTACGAGGAGCCTCATCAAAGGCCTTTCTCAATCTCTCATCCAACCATTTCACATCCTCCATATTTCCAGGTGGTCCACCAGCCCAGTGCCCCCAAATAGAAGGGTAAACATCTAAACTCGCATTATCCCCCATACACTTGACCTCGTACTCTGAATCCTCAGGCCTAAGCAGTCAGAAATCAACGCCATCCACAGAATGAGGGAGTGACTCACGGAAAGTAGAGATCCGTCTTACTAGGAAGAACCAAGATCCTCGCCTTGATCCCCTTCATCGCCTTCTCAAAATCCCCACCATACGGCTCCTGCTTACTCACATCTCCCGCCTGCCACGTCTGAAGCATAACAAGCAGATTTTCAGGGTCTTTACTAAGAGCCCACTTCTCCCAGAAATTCTTCATAAACTCTTCAAGATCGACAGCACCGTAATGCTTCTTGAACAATTCATGTCGGTAGAACGCCTGAGAGAAACCCCAGCCTGCATATCCTCTCCCAAAAGCTTTCAAACCGACTTCTTTCTCCTTCTTAGTCCATGTCCCGTCTGTTGTTTCAACACGTCCTTGGATACTTCCTGCAGACGTGCATCCCTTTGCTGCGAGGAGCGCTGACTTGACACCCTCGAGAAAGACTTGGTTGTGAAGAGACGTCTTGGCTGATCCGCAGAACGGAACACAAATGTCCATAAAGTCAGGATATTGCGTAGCCCATTGAAATGTCTGCGCCGCACCCATCGACCATCCCAGAACAGCCCGTAGATGCTTCACCCCAAGATGGCCCATCAGCTGATGCTGAGCTCTGACATTGTCGTAGAAAGAAACATCAGGGAACGGACTGATATCCGAGTTTGACGGACTCGTAGACTGTCCATTCCCAAAAAGAGCCGTTATAATAATGTAGTACCTCTCCGGATCAAGAGTCTTGTCTTTCCCAATAAGCCACTCATTATCGGATATCGCACCCGAGAACCAAGAAGGATAGAGAACAGCAGGAAGTTCAGCCTCCCCAAAAGTCTTGTACGCAATCACCGCATTTGGCAAAACCTGGCCATTCTGAAGCTCAAAGTCCCCTAGGGAAAAAGTCTTGACGTCCATGGTTGCTGCTGGACACCCTCATCTGCCGAGGACACCCCCATCTCATATACCAATCTCGATATGGGCTGCGGCGTACAGTGTCCAGACTGTACCAAAGTCATCCTAATCGCGGGGTTTCGCCCTTGGGTGACAATGCAGCCACCTGCTTTATCAGGAATGTCACAAGACGAGCTTATCATTCTTATCTCGTGCGGAGATGCGGAGGCGTGCGGCGAGATAGTCTCTTATCTATCAACAACCGTTACGATATTATAAGAAGAGACAATTTAGACAATTGAATGAATAGTCCTCAAACTTAAACCTCATCAATACAATGCCTGGCAAGATCCGTACAGCTCAATCCGTGTCCTTTGACAAACCCGCCTCTGAACAACCCCATCTCCACAATAGATGGCATCCAGATGGTATGTCCCCTCCAATTGATCCCCCAATTGAGCGGTCGCTAATTTTGTAGTCCCGAGTATTGCAACCGTTGAACCTGGTGAGACAGTCAAGATAGAGTGTCTCGACTGGACAGGCGGTCAAATCGGCAACAATGACAGCGCAGACGATGTTCGCGATGTTGATCTAACTAAAATCCACTATCTAACCGGCCCATTCGACATCAAAGGCAGTCAGCCCGGCGACCTACTCGTCGTCAACATAACCGACGTCCAACCCTTTGAGCATTCACCCTGGGGTTTCACAGGAATCTTCGCCAAGGACAACGGCGGGGGCTTCCTAGATGAACACTACCCCACCGCCGCAAAAGCAATCTGGGACTTTGACGGTGTATACTGTTCAAGCCGTCATATTCCCGGAGTGCGATTCCCCGGCTTAATCCACCCCGGAATTCTAGGCTGTGCCCCGTCTGCCGAGATTCTCGCAGAGTGGAACCGTCGAGAGGCAGAGCTCGTTTCTTCAATGGCTGATTCTACCAAGATTGTAGCTCAACCACCGAATGAGATCAATGCACATGGTGGAAAAGCCACAGGCGATGTTTTGGCAAAGATTGCGAGAGAGGGAGCGAGGACTATACCTGGACGACCAGAACATGGAGGAAATTGTGACATAAACAATATTTCTCGCGGATCTACGACGTATCTTCCCGTTCATGTTGAGGGGGCCAAGTTTTCTGTTGGAGATCTCCATTTTAGTCAGGGTGATGGTGAAATCAGCTTCTGCGGCGCCATTGAAATGGTGAGTCCTGACACATTGACATTGAACACTGTTCTGACAGTTTAGGCTGGCATCATCACGATCAAGTTTGATCTCATCAAAGGCGGCATGAAATCGCGTGGCCTCAAGAGTCCAGTGTACAGACCAGGCGACATGGGCCCTACCTTTAGTCCCTCACGCTACCTGATCTTTGAAGGCTTCTCCGTCGACGAGAATGGAAAGCAGCATTTCATGGATGCAACCGTTGCTTATAGACAATCATGTCTCCGCGCAATCGAATACCTCAAACAATTCGGTAAGTCACCTTCATTACAGTTAAAACTCTGCTGACAATGCAGGCTACTCTGGAGAACAAATCTACCTCTTACTTTCCTGCGCACCCATCCGCGGCGCCATCGCAGGAATAGTCGACATTCCCAACGCCTGCACAACTCTCGGCATACCGATGGACATTTTCGATTTTGACATTTCTATTGAAAGCGAGCCTGTTGCTCGAGATCTGGGTGCTTGTCCTGTATCTAAATAGGAAGTCCAACGTCTCGTTTAAACTCCTGTAGCCACTCTGCGTTGTCAACGGGGGTTTGGTTCCAAGGATCGTCACTATTCTGTTAGTTAATGAACTTTACATATTGGGAAGCGTACTCATCGTATAGAATCCACCGTGCCTGATACTTTAGTTCGTCGTCGCTTGGGATATGGCGGTTGGGATTGTTGGGAGACATTGTCGTCATGACGAATCGTGAGAGTTCCCGCTTCAATCGACGATAGCTGTTGTTGTCGTTGATAAAGAATGGCGTTGCTGTTCGTACTTTATCTCGTATCAATGCTCTTGACTCTGGCGTGCTGTGCATCGAAATCGCTGGTATTTCCGGTACTCCTTCTGGAGACAGAGATCGATTCTCAACCCAAGGCTGCAGCATGTCCAGCTCCATTGAAGCATCCAACGGCACAGCGGTATCTGTTTGACCCCATAGAAAGTAAGAATCATTTACAGACTCATTCGCCAACGCCACAAGAGTCTCAGCCCTCTGTCGGAACGGCTCCAGCCAGACCGTCGAACTCCAAACAAGCCTCATTAGAAAGTCCAGAAACCTCCTTGACGGATGCGATGATGACGTCTCTGTCCGATTCAAAACATTACACGCCTCCTGCTGCAGTTCAGAATCTGTTGGGAAATGTCCCATGGACGTATGAGCAGTCATGTACTGCTGCAGCGCCGCCTCCAGCTCGCAATTCTCAAATATATTTCCCTTTCCGTTGATCTTCAACTGACTCAATCGTCCTTCTGCTAATTGTTTTGTTGGCCGGAGTTTAGCTTGGTTGGCGATCTCAGCAGCTGACATGAAGATGTCCCACAGCCATGACGGGGATAACGACGCTTGGTTGGGGGAGGATATTTCTGCGCCGAGGATCACAGAACATGCTTCAAAGTGAAGCTCAGGATCTGGTGGCATTATATACTGATGACGATTCCGCATGTAGTACTCTAGTTCGAGTTTGATGAGTTCGTATGCACTTGTGGGTGTATCTGCTGGACCTCTTGTAGCTGCGAATGGAAGAGGAGAGTTTCGTTCGTAGTGGATGAGATCTAGGCAGCGTCAGCAACAAATCTCAACCCGATTGTTTGACGTACAAGGAGGCATGGCATTGTCAATCCTCTCAATGACCTTCCCCTCAAACCCCCAGTCACCCTTCCAATGCTCCATTGTACTCCCAGCTTTGAAATGGTCCGCCAGATGATCAACCCTACTAGCCCAGGTCGTAAGATTGATGCCACAGAATCCACATCTCGATTTGACCTCGTGCGTCATGACTTTCCAATCATCCATCGGCCATTTGAGAAACTTGGACATGTGGACTAACCGCAAATGCTGCTGTAGATGATCCTTTCGATGATATGTCCGCTCTTCAATCGGTCGCTCGATGCATGCACTCTGATTGTGTCCGTCAAGATGCGTCTCGTCGGGGTTCTTGACGCCACAAAAGACACAGAGAAGCCCCTCTTCTGGATGTATCGCTGTCGGCCCATTTGGTGAACAGACCCAATTCTCAAGCGATAAATGAAGAGACTTTTCATGACGCTGCCAGTCGTATTTCGTCTTGAACGTTTCTGTACAAAAAGTACACTGATATGTATTCTGCGCTTGCAGGAGATTCGTTCTGACTTCTTTTCTCATCTTTGTTCGTCTTCTTCGACTGTGCCGTTTGAAAATGTCAAACGACGTCGATGATTGTTTCGAATGAGCAGAACTGTACGACCCAGAGTCATGGCTTGACACTGAAGTTCCTCTACTGCTGATTGACGACCCATGACTTCGTGATCTCCCCTGTCGCGTTGAGAAAGCAGCAACAGCTCGTGAGATGTCATCAACAGTCGCAGCCTCATGTTCCGGCGGTGAATTCGCCCATCGCTGCAGCGGATTCATATGTTCGAATGGTGCAGGCGTCGCCCGTCGACGTGGTGTATCAATCGGCGTGTGATGCCCTGAAGAATTCCCCGAATCATCATTCCGAAACATTGGCGATGTCGGCCGTGATAAATGAACCTTTGCTCTCCGCCTCGCATTCGCAAACCAATTCGTAACCTGCTGTCGATTCAGACTCGTCTGCTCTTGGAGATCCTGGACATCTTGAATAGTAGGATACGGATGCCTTTCATGCGCGGCGAACCAATTCCTCAAAATCTTGACAGACTCGGACGAAAAGCGATTACCGATTTTTGGAGGAGCCGTCGATGTGTGCAGAATGCCAGGGGAGATAGTTTCAGCCTCTGCAGCATTTTGAAAGTCTGCAAAGTCGATAAAAAGATCACCGGTTGGATCGGCTTGCTGTGCCATGTTGGTGTTGATGGAATTTGGAGGTCATGGGGTTACGATGAGTTTACGGCGAAGTCTCGGACATGTTCAGAAAGGGCGGATCCACATTTTAGTCTTGATTGATGAGTCAGGATTGGTCGGCCCAGTTAAAGCAAGTGAAAGTTCATGATTTGCGAATTGGGGATAGTGAGACTGGCTGTTGGTCTTGACGCATAGACTAGCTAGTGTTGTATCGGTAAAGACAAAGAGAAACGATAGAAATGATCTGCTGGCAGGGTTCATGATATCGTCCTGCTCAGTCCGTGCGGAGGTGCGGCACATGAACCGGTGGGGTTGTCTCAACCGACTTGAACTTGGAGCAGGCAGAATACGAGAACTATTTCATGTTCAATGGTGAGAGAGTATAGGTTATGGCTTTTATATGTCTTTGCCCACTTGCCGTGTCTATATGCCTCACCCAGTCAGTGCATCCAATTCCGCGGAGTGGATCAGCGATGATGTGCTTTGATCCAAAATCACGTCTACGATAACAACGATATCGGAGATTTAAATAGAAAATCAAAAGTAAATCTTTCACGATCATTTCTCAAGTCAAGCGCGTCAAAATGACCAGAATTAACGCGACAGAGACGACTCCCTTGATACCGGAGATACCTCCCGAGGTCTCGGATGTCGAGAGGAACAGCCCCGACGAGCCGAATACGTATAGCCATGCGTTTATCGCGAGGGTAGTTGTCGCGTTGCTGATTGGTGAGTCTTTCCGACATCGTGATTCCGAGCTAACAATTCAGGTATCTTTACTTCCAATGCCGATGGCTCATTGGTACTGGCGACTCATCCGGTGATTGCGTCCGAGTTTGGCAAGCTTCAGGATTCAAGTTGGCTATTTATCAGCTTCATGTTGGCTAGTGCAGCATCGCAGACGATTGTACGTAAAGTCATTCTGGGGGCGAGTTGGGCTAATTGAGTAGTACGGCAAACTGAGCGATATATTTGGACGAAAGACAATATTGATCTTCTGCTATGGACTGTTTGCTGTTGGATGGTGAGTCCAGACCGCACCCGACACTGGTCTCACTTGAATCTCGAGCTGACAATTTCAGTGCCCTCGTGTAAGTCTATGTCCATCCGCATAGCCTCGTCCTAACAAACTTCAGAGGCGCTGGCCAGTCAATGTGGCAGGTCATCCTAGGTCGCGTAATCTCTGGATCTGGAGGTGCAGGAATGACTACAATGGCATCAGTCATCATAACTGGTACGACGACCCTTATCCTCCGTTCCAAGCTGACCATTAGAACTCGCACCTCTCCGAGAAGTTGCCTCATGGCAAAGCTACATGAATGTCATCGCCACCGTCGGCCGCAGCATTGGTGGTCCGCTTGGAGGCTTCCTCGCTGATACAATCGGCTGGAGATGGTGAGTCTGCCGCTCATTCAACAGCTCATACTGACAGAGTAGGTCATTCCTCGGACAATCGCCAATTTTTGCTGTATCCATGATCATCGCCGCCATCCTCCTCCCCTCTACAACACAGACCGAGGGCGCGACACTGGAGCGCATCAAAAGGATCGACGCACTTGGAGCTCTGCTTTTGGGTGGCTCTGTTCTCGCTTTCATGGTTCCCCTTGAGATTGGCGGCCAGAAGATTCCATGGAGTCATCCCCTCGTGCCAATTCTCGCTGCCGCTGGCGTGATTCTCTCAGTTGCTTTCCTACTCGTAGAGTCACGCTGGGCCAAGGAACCAATCTTCCCTCTTCGCTTGCTTCGAAGTGGCGATGTCACACAGACGTATCTGATTGCGTTTGGTCAGGCGGCTGCACAACTTGGAGTGAGTGCCCCAATACCGTGAACTCCAGAGACTAACCGATCAGATGATGTATACCGTCCCCATCTACTTCCAGGTTACTCAGCGTGTATCGAGCACAGTCGCAGGCGCTCATTTATTCCCCGCAGTCATCGGAAACACAGTCGGAGGCATAGCAACAGGCTTAATCATCAAGAGAACTGGACGATACAGGGCACTCATCATCTTCTCGGCTGTTTCATCAATCACGAGTTACACTCTGATGCTGCTGCGCTGGCACGGACAGACCAATTGGCTGGAGTCACTCTACGTCTTCCCAGGGTACGAGCCCCTATCTTCTGGATTCTTATGCTAACCATTCAGGGGCCTGGGAATGGGCATCGCCCAAAGTGCAGCGTTCATCGCTCTCCAAGCTTCCATCGACCCCAAAGACAAGGCAGCAGCTTCTTCTGGAATCTTCCTCGCTGTGACTTTGGGCTCAGTAGTTGGCATGGCTGGTACGAGCGCAGCTATCCAAGGCCTTCTCAGACACGACATCCAGCAAAGCCTCAGCGATCTCGGAAAGTCTCAACGTGTCATCGACGAGGTGAGTCATTCCACTGCATTCGTGAAGTCTGCTAAGTTTCTAGGTGATTCGAAAAGCCGCAGAGAGTGTCTCGTACATCGATGAAGCTTCCGAGCCTATTCGAAAGGTACTGGTTGAAGGCTATATCAAGGGTATCGAGTATGGTCACGGTAAGTACCTGTCCCCTTATCAGGAGGTGGCTAACAAATCAGGACTCTCCATTCTCTTCTCCGGGATCACGCTCGTCACGGCTCTACTACTCAAGGAGCGTAAACTTTGATGAGAGTTTGATCGCCGTGAGCACAACACCTGCAGCAAAGGTGTGAGGCGCTTAACTGTAATATGAGATGAAAAGTGATAGACGTCATTGGTGCACGTAAGTGGCATGTGAAAGGGGACTATATCACGTTAGGAAACCTTCTGACACGTTTGAGGGTGTTTTCCATCGTAGACTTTGACAAGTGAGAGCTCATTTGTTGTCCCCTTTCAATTCCAAAGTCTACTTCGTAACGGCATATGATTTGATTTGTTGGAAATATAAAGCTAAAAGTCTATCTTTGAACCTCGAATCAAGTGGCCAGGGATGGAACCGAGTGAAACATAAGGTAAAAGTCAGTTCTGCTCTCATGCGGCAAATACAATTGTTGAACGGACTGGTAAAAAGTATCAGCAGAACAACCCCTTGGCTATGTTTCTGTTGAACACTGCACGCTTCTGTCTCATGACACTGAGCCGCTTACTCAAACTCACGAATGAATTGCCATTGTGAACAGAAAGTTAAAGATGTAGGCCTGACTCACCAAGGGGATAGTTCTATCTATAAATAGAGCGCGTCTCCCATGTTCAGCTGGAGTTATTTCTTCCCTCTAAATATCTCCCCAGACACTCCGCACTCTTACTCTTCACTCTGCAGTCGACACTGCTGAATCTTACTCTTTCTCTACACTCTACGCCTTGCCTTAGACCTCAGTCATACCAGCACAGACCAAGGTCGTAGATCTACATCGACTGATTGATCACCAAGACTTGCAATATTACATCGAGATACAACAAGTCAACTGAAGGACCTTCCATCCATCTCTCATCCTCCGATCGACAAGCACAAAGAGATTCTTCTTGCATCTACTATAAACTATCACACACTACACCTCCAGCAAATACGCCTGGACAACTCTTCTCAACGACGACGTCTTCAGTACAAGCACAAGAGTCTCTTCTACTAGCTTGCAAGCCCAGATAACCAGTCTCACACTACTACTCTCGCAAACAAGATGTCTTATGAACAGACTAGTCTCATGGCCTCCAACTCCGAACAGACAAACCAATCACAAACCCCACCACCCCAAGCAAACATGACACCCGAGCAAGAACACAACACTCGCGTCATGGCTTGCGACATCCAACGATTCTACGAATGTGTCCGACGGGATAAGCACGTCTTCAGAAGGTGGATCTCTCACTATGTGATCAACCTCGCAAAGTTTCTCGAACCTCACTGCACCTTGTTCAAGAATGAACGAAACTGGCCAGAGACATGGTTCGAGAATGAGCGCGATCTCATGAATGACCTAGAGACCTTCCGACGCATGGCAAAGCAGCTCTTGCAGCAGTGGACACGAGCTGTAGCTGCTCAAATCCTCAGTGTCCGAAACACTGCCATCAGCAAACTATTCACGGCTGAGGACTTTTCTCTCGCGGTCGAGCTTGAGCCTAGCCCCCCACTGGACGGCAAAGCTGGCCCCCTGGACTGGACACAGAGTGAACTCGCCTTTGATAAGAGTCTGTCCAAGTTCCGGTTCCTGGCAAACGACATGTTGCAGGGGATGAAAGGCGGACCAACCATGGAACGACCTGGTCATCCTTGGACGAGAATGAAGGGGTTTGATGTTTTGAACTTGATGATCAAGGATGCGGAAGATCCTGTTAATGAGGATGATGGGGAAGATATGCGGGATGGTGAGTGGGATGATGAGATTGTCCCATTTCATGGGTTTTACTAGAGGCGAGCAGGGTCTTTGGGTTGCATGGCGCACTGGTATTGTGAATTGTCTTGTTCGGGCTGGTTTGTTTCACCTCGGGGTTTGATGTAGATCTGTTGTCTTTAAAGAGCTGACAGAATAGATACACTGAGTTATACACTGAGTTATACACTGATGATTTTGCTTCTTTCCGCATCATTTGATTCATAAATGAGTTCAAAGAGTCTCATATGGTTGCTAGTAGTATACAAAATGAGACAAGGGAATTTCTGAATCAGTCTGGTGCCTTGAGTGCCATCCCCTTCAACTGAGAAGTCATATTCATCTCAAGATAGCATGCCATCTCATACTAAACCCTGCGCAGTTTGGAGACAATGTTCTGCATTAGAAGCGCTCAGATAGGGTATAGTAACAAGGTGAACCCCTGTCAGCAATCCAACTCATGGCAAATCAGGCAGAATCCCCACATTTCGAGGCTGACACCCACACGTGACTGGCTTGCGGAGTCTGTGAAAGGCTGCCTAAGATGCCTTGCCACAATCGAGATTGGAGTATGTAGCACAAAGAACAAGACTCATAAATATCTCAGCTTTTCTCCATTTCATCATACTTACATACTCAATACTAACAAACTTTACCTTCCTCTATTCAGCCGCACACTGCATCTGACATGTCAGCATCTCCAGAACCCTTTACTCTCTTTCACAAGTTCCCCCCAGAGCTCAAACTCGAGATCCTAAACTTCTGCTCCAGAAACGACCTAGTCTGCCTCTCATTAACTGGCCCTGATATGCGAAATCTCGTCACACCACTCATCCCTAGCAAACCTAATCTCACCTGGGTCGATCAACTTGGTCCAACCCCCGACGTCCCTTCAGAATGCCGAGATCCTTATCACAACAACATTCCCCGCCGGTCAGATTGCGACGGCGCTAGAGAGCAACAAGTTATCTACTTCCCAACCGGCCATCGCTTCAGACGCCATGAATACAGAGGCTGCAAAGTCTGTTACAGATGTCGAATGTACCCAACCGATCACCCAGTCTGCAACGTTTCATACTGCAAGAAACATTGCGCATGCATTTCATGTCCTTTGTTCATGAGATTGCGGGGTTGGATGGGCGATCGAAAGTACTGTGCGGAGTGCAACCAGTTTACAACTCGAACAAAGAGAAACAACGGGAGATGTACGTATCTTATCTCGACTTTAACAATATCTAATTATAGAACAGGCACTCACGGGCGGAAAAAGGTGCGAAAAACACCAAACAATCATTGGAGTCGTAGCAAAGGATTATCCTACGGAAATCGATGGTGGAGAAAATGGGGTACACATGGGATTGACCACGAGGCATACCAGCCCAAAGACACCAGAAGACGAAACGCAAGAGTCGTTTAACCGCGTCATTTCAAGCGAGATCCTATTCTACTCTCTTGATGTATACCAAGACGCTAGGCGGGATGCTACGTGGGCGCATGGGGTAGCCTCCACCATTGAGCGGCGTGCTCGGGACGTTCGGCATAGCCAAGGAAGGATCATGGCACCAGGGGGATCTAATTGGACGGTGACGGTTTTATAATTTCCTGCTTATTGCCATTGCTTGCTGTGGTGCGTTGAAGTGTGCTGACGCCAAGTAGTGAACCGTCACTGTATCAGTTGCCAAGATATGCGGAGATTTGTTCCTGCTGTGGCGATGCAGGAATAATATAATGTGATGAGTTGTTTATATATAAGGGATTTCCCCTGAAATAACTTAGCATTTCGTTTATGTTATTTGTTAAACGTACGACATGAACACTCTACGCCAAATGATCCCCCAGATATGGCCTCAAGGCTACAAACGGGTTGATTCCAGCAGCAGTCTTGAAGATGCTGTCACCCCCGAGAAGAATGGTTCAAGCCTCCAGCTCTTCGCAAAACGCCTTCTTCGTCTCCCCCTCAAGACAATTCTAATCCTCATCGCCGCTCTCCTCATTTTCCCTGGCCTCCTAGCACTCACCTCCCTAAAGGTAAGGCGAGAAAAGAGCCCCCAACGCCAATGCTAATGTAACCAGGGCCGCGCATTCTTGGCCGGAGAGGTTGCGGCTGGCCAGGCCTATGAGACGTACCCTCAGCAGGACATTGCCAAGCTTCCTTCAAAGGATCGACGGCTTAGTATAGTCCTCCCTGCCAATAACCCAGACCACGATTTATGCAAAGTCATCACCAGTGCGTTGGCATTAGGGTATCCAGCTCCAGTTATTGTGAACTGGGGTAAGACGTACGATAAGTCTAAAGGTTGGAAGGGAGGGTCTCACCTTGCAAAGATCACAGGTACTCTGGAGTATCTGGATAGCGTTTCGAAGGCCGACACTTCGGACGAGAATAGACTTGAGGAGAATGATATCGTTGTCCTGACGGATTCGTATGACGTTTGGTTCCAGCTTCCGCCAGGCGTCCTCCTCAAGCGATATCACGAAGCAAACCGTCAAGCTAACCAACGACTGGCGTCACAATGGAACCGTCGAGGCAAACCTCCAATGGAACAGACCATCATCGTTTCAGCCCAGAAGAAATGCTTCCCTCCGCAATCATCAGGCTCCGTCCTCCACTGCGATCAGCTCCCCGAAAGCCCAGCTCGTAAAGACCTCTACGGACCGAATACCGACAAAGACCCCAACTTATTCCATGATGTACGACCGAAATATCTCAATAGCGGGAGCATGATTGGTCCTGTTGGAGATATGAGGAGGTACTTTCGTCGAGTGCATGAGTGGATGCAGAGAGGGTTGGTGAATGGCAAAGACTTGTACAGCGATCAAGGCATATTCGGTGAGATCTTTGCGGAACAAGAAATCTGGCGTCGCTGGCTTCGCAAGAATACCGTGTCTCAAAAGGACAAGAGCTTCGATGTTATGCATAGCGACTTTGAGTATCATGTCGGACTGGACTATATGCAGAATCTGTTCATTCCAACTGTCTTCGAGGAACAAGATGGCGAGATCATTGCGCTGAATAACAAGACTGGTATTGCTGAAAAGTCAGTGTCTCTCGGCATCGAGCCAAGACTAGACGGTGTGCCAGAAGATATGCAATCTTCTACAAACCCACTGAACCAGGTCCTTCAGGATCCAGCAGACTGGGGAGACATGCCTGTGTACGCCGATTTCTACTCCACTGCCATTCCCGTGGTTGTTCACCACAACGCTCACAAGGATGGAGCAAAGAAACGTCGCTATCTCTGGTGGGATAGGATCTGGTTCTTTCCGTACCTTCGCCAACTCATCAAGTCTCAACTGGAGGTCGTCGAAGCGGAGCCATTACTGGAGATTGCCGTCAACGGGGAACGATTGGTGTACTGGGAGTCGCGGTCGAATGTCACTCAGAAGAAGCCGAGAACGTTCATTATCGATTCGGGGGAGGCCAGTATCGTGGAGCGTGAGTTCGGGTACGTTTGTCGTGCAAAGACGGAAAAGGCGGAGGCGGAGAAGCCGTGGTACAATGAGGTGTTTCGGGATGGACAGGGAGAGCTGCAGATATAGACGATGCTCTAGGCAAATGAGCTTTTCGATTATCGCTTTCAGTTATCATTTTGTCTAAGCAAACATAGATGCCGATGTATTCGTTGATTCATGACGCTAAGCGATGATGGTGATGAAGCTGCAACTCCTCATAGCACCGTTACTATGGTGAGTGCCCATAATTAAATGGCCTCGATAATATCAGGAGAAGTGAGACTGGGGGCAAGTCGAGTTAATATAGTCCTCTCGCGAGACACTAGTTTGGACCCAAGATAGTATGGATGGGCGTAAGGTTTGCCGAGACGCCTCACTAGTCATTGTATTACGCTTACATCACGAACTTAAACTACTATTCCTAGCTGAAGGCTTCCCAAGCGTTTAGTAAGAATGAAGACGCCCCAGATTGCTAGTGGCATTCCTGTCTATATTATCTTTACAACCTATCTCCACAGGCGATGTCTAAAGTTTCGCAGACCCCCCTTCATGAGCCTGCACCCAAAGCTTGATCGTGTCGACCAATCCTTCCACTTCCGCAATCGTGTTCCCTGCATGTACACATATCCTAACCCTTTCACTGCCCTTGGGTACTGTCGGCGCCACAATCGGACGAACCGTGAACCCCCGTTCCTGACAAAACTGAGCTAGACTGCGTGGCTGTGATGTAAAAACCGGTATAATTGGTGATTTCGGTGCTTCCTCCGCGCGAATTGATTGGCTGGAAGAGCACGCTTCCGCTAGCAGCTTGTGCGTGTAGCTGACCAGACTCCAAAGATGCCTCAACCTCTCATCAGCCCTTCCACTCTGCAGATACTGATAAGAGATGCCAATACTCGCAAGACAGGAGAATGGCATTGCAGTCGTGTAGATGAGAGTTCGTGCGTAATTTATGAGATACTCTCGCGTCGTGGGTGAGCACAAGACAATAGCTGCATGGTTAGCTTCGTTGGATGAGCGGTTTTAGCTTTACTCACCTCCAAAAGAACTCATTGCTTTGCCAAAGGTATGCAATCGTGCAAATATTTCCTTTTCCAAACCCAGCTCGCATACGAGACCGCGTCCTTGGTGCCCAAAAATGCCTGTAGAATGTGCTTCGTCGACGATGATGTAGCCGTTGGTCGGGAGTCGACTTTTGACGCTTTCGACAATCTCTTTGAGAGGAGCTACATCGCCGTCCATGCTGTAAACACCTTCAACAAGAATAAACACCGATTTCTCGCCCCCAATTCCACGCAAAACATCATCTAGTCCACCCTCCCCATACACACAATTATGCTTAAACGACACCCTCCGTCCCGCCCGACTCAACCTCATCCCATCATGAGCACTCGCATGAATAAGCTCATCGTAGACAACAACATCCCCCGGCTGCGGCAAACAGCTCACAAGACCGACATTTGCATCAAACCCCGAATTAAACAACAGCCCAGCATCAGCGTTATGAAATGCCGCAATATCTCGTTCCAGATTCTCCGCGAGGGTTGAATTGCCGTCCAAGAGCCGCGAACCTCCGGACCCTAACAACGGAGGCGGTGCTGCATGATTCTCCAGAAGGGAGTGATAGGCGCTTCGAATTTCCGGTACCGATGAGAGAGAGAGGTATGCATTGGAAGAAAAGTCGACATTATCGGCTGGAAACGTCGTCAATCGTCGCAATTGAGACCGTTTCTCACGATCTAATAATCGCGCTTTCAACTGCTCCTCCAATTTCGACATTGTTACAAAGTTAAAATTTCACAAGTCAACTCAATTGGTAAAGTACGCGGAATTTGTTGGGTTTAGTACATGTTGAGCTCCAGCCCCGCCCGGAGCTCTTTGCCGTGCCGATCTAGACCCTCCATTATAAACCGCGGCATTCCACCTCAACCCTTTTGTCCATTTCACTCATCACAAAAAATGGCGCCGGTCCCGGCTCTTCTCTGGCGATCGCTGCGAACGCATCAGGTTTACGGTGCGAATACTGATGTTGGAAAGACGATTTTCAGTACGATTCTGTGTAATTCTGCGGTTAAGCGGGGTGATAGGACATGGTTTCTGAAGCCGGTTTCTACTGGGGCTGCGAATGAGGCTGATGGATGGTGTAAGTTTGAGGCCAATTGAGAAGATTTGGCTAATTGGAGTAGAAGTTTGGTGCTTCTGGGAGAATTGTCTAACAAATTAGTCATATTCAACGATATGCTCCGTCGACGAACCATGAGACGCTCTTTCAGTACGATATTCCCTGCAGTCCTCATATCGCTGCGAAGGCATCTGGCAAGGTATGAGGTCAATTGATTGCTGAACGAAGCTTACAGAGTAGCCAATTCCATCCGATGAAGATGTTCTCGCAAAGATCTACGACACCACCTCTCGATATGCCTCTGAGGGTCCAGGATGGCTGTTTCTAGAGACTGCTGGAGGCGTTCACTCACCTGGTCCATCCGGTACGACCCAAGCTGATCTCTACGCGCCATTGCGTGCGCCAGTCGTTCTCGTCGGCGACTCAAAGCTCGGCGGCATCTCACAGACCATTTCTGCATATGAGTCTCTGCGAGTGCGCGGCCATGATATTGAGTCAATTCTTCTGTTCCAGGATATGAAGTACGAAAACTATCAATACCTCCGAGACTACTTTGCAAGGTTAGGCGGCATATCAGTCGATACTGTCCCCGAACCGCCTTCTCGACTGGATAAAGAAAAGGAAGACATCGAGCAGATGAAAGAGTACTACGCTTCCAGCAACGTGGACCACGTCCTCGAGGCTCTCGACAAACGAGGAAAAGAACGCATCTCGCGCCTCGAATCAATGAGCTCCAAAGCAAGCAAATCAATCTGGTACCCCTTCACCCAGCAAAAGCTCGTCACCGCAGATACAATCTCAGCCATCGACTCAGCCCACGGCGACTATTTCCAAGTCCTCAATCCCAAGACACCCAGCCTCCTCCAGCCCGCCTTTGACGGCTCAGCGTCATGGTGGTCCCAAGGTCTAGGCCACGCAAACTCGCGCCTTACCCTCGCAGCAGCCTATGCCGCCGGTCGCTACGGACACGTCATGTTTGCCGAGGCAATCCACGAGCCTGCATTAGCGCTTGCGGAGATGCTGCTAAAGGGGGCGAACAATCCACGATTTTCACGTGTCTTCTACTCTGATAATGGAAGTACGGGCTGTGAAGTCGCTGTCAAGATGGCGCTACGTGCGGCGAGGCTGAGGTATGGCTGGGGACCGAATGATAATGTGCATGTTCTTGGCCTCAAGGGGAGTTATCATGGTGATACGATTGGTGCGATGGATTGTGCAGAGCCTTGTGTGTACAATGAAAAGATTGAGTGGTATGAAGGTAAGGGATACTGGTTTGACTATCCAACCATTCAATGCGTCAAAGGAAAATGGGTTGTTCAGGTCCCTGACGGTCTGAGGGATGAACTGGGACAAGATTCGCATCTCAAATCGATCTCGGAGGTTTTTGATCTTGAATCTCGGCTCAATACCGAGCAGTACCGAAAGTACGAACGCTACATCGAGGGCGTTCTCTCGAAACTCCAAGCATCAGGTCGCAAATTCGGCGCTCTCATGATGGAGCCGATAATTCTCGGCGCAGGAGGCATGATCTTTGTGTAAGTCTTCTCATTCTCCTCTCATTCCATGCTCTAACAATCCAGTGATCCCCTCTTCCAAAGAGCTCTAGTGGATGTCGTCCGTCGATCCCCTCACCTCTTCGGCAATGGATCCAGCCCCAAGGACCCACTCTCGTGGTCTGGGCTCCCCGTAATTTTCGACGAAGTTTTTACCGGGCTATACCGCCTCGGTCGGTTTACAGCGGCGTCGTTCCTCGGCACCGACGCCGACATCTCTGTCAACGCTAAACTACTTACGGGAGGGCTTGTACCGCTCTGCACGACTATGGCATCTGAGAGTATTTTTGATGCGTTTGTTAGTGATGACAAGAGTGACGCTTTGCTGCATGGACATAGTTATACGGCTCATGCTGTTGGATGTCAAGTTGCTGTTGAGTCGGTGCGGGAGATGCAGGATATGGAGAAGAGGGGAGAATGGGAATGGGCGGAGAGTGACTGGGAGACAGATACCCAGGCTTGGTCTGTTTGGTCGAGAGAGTTTGTCAACAATGTCTCGCATAATCAGCAGGTTTTAGGTGTTTGGGCTCTTGGAAGTGTCTTGGCGATCAGTTTGAGGGATGACGATGGTGTTGGGTACAAGAGTTTGGCTGCCAAGAAGCTTCAGACTCATTTGAGAGAGGGAACTGGGACCTGGAATGCTCACAGTCGAGTTTTGGGCAACGTCTTCTATGTCATGGCGAGTCAGAAGACGAGTCGACAGAGCCTTCAAGAGTTGCAGGGGTTGTTATTGGGGGCTTTGAGTAAATAGTCACTACCTCATAAAATGAGTGCTCTGGCTTACGAGAGATGCCTCGAATCTGAGTCTAGCAAGCATGTTTGCTATCCTCAAATACATGTTATATTCAATTGCTTCATACCCCAATGATGCCTTGCAAACGTCCCCCGCCAGTGCAATTGGTGACGTTATGCAATTTCTGGGGCGATCGACAGTCCCCTGCATGATTGACGTGTCGGAGGGGTACGTCAATCCACCACGAAATCTCAGTTTTACTCACCAGCACATCAACCAAACATCAAAAAGATACCGAAATGAGTTCAAAACAGTTGTACGAAAAGACACGAGAGCAGTCAATCTCTGACTTTGAGGCGCAAACCAAGGATCTTCAAAAAGAGCATCCCGATGTCGATTTTAAAGCAGTCGTCATCGAACCAACCATGAATCTCATGTTTGACATCAAGGTACGTTTGCTGATCCTACATAGGGCGCACTAACATTTCCAGGAAAACCTCACCGAAGACGAGCGAAAGAGACACGAGGAATACATCACCCGAATGCTTCAGAATACCGGCAATCCGTCCAAGGCGGAGAAATACCTTTGGCAGGCCAGAGACTACCTCAGACCATACCCTGACGTCCTCAAACAATTTGACGACATCTACATCAACCAAAGACCAATCCCCGTCATGTTATCTCAACTCCACGAAACATTCCACCAAGCAAATAGACATTCATAGACATATTCCAATTCATTAGCCTACTCATAGCCTCAGTTCCCCGCTCACATGACGCCCCATCAATAGGGCGTGATGACAAGGTTTCCCTTTGGTCAGCCAATCAGAAACCAGCAGACAATGCCGCCACTTGATAACCTTTACTGAAGGGATCAGACCTCTCTTCTTCACCTTTACAGTGACTTGCATGCATTGACCCCTACAGTCACCATCCGCCATGAATTCCAACAACCCCAATCTCTTCACAGACGTCGATCTATTGGACGGCTTCATCAGCGATGATTTAACCCCCTACATGTCCGACTCAGCCCCGCCAACAGACCTATCAAATGGAATGGCCAATCTTGCTCCAACTCATCCTGCGCCGCAAAATCCCTTCACTCCCCTGTCGCTGCACGGATACACTCAACAAGCGACACCAGCGCCGCCTGCAAAGGTCGGCGGGAGATTCACGAGGGAGTCGGTGAGGATATTGAAGAATTGGCTCGCGACGCATCAGAACCATCCGTATCCGCGCGAACCTGAGCGACGGATGCTGCAGGAGGAGACGGGGCTTACAAAGACGCAGATATCTAATTGGTTGGCTAATGCGAGACGACGAGGAAAGATTCCGTCGAGTGCTTCTTCGCCGAGACATGGTGATACGCCAGCTATGGATATACCGCCGAGACCTGGGACGCCTGCTGTGAGGAATACGTCTGATATGGATCCTTTGCAGCGATGGGTTGATTCACCGCCTGAGGATGAACCAGCTGCTGTTACTGCGATTGCAAGAGCTGTAGCTTCAGTGCGACCGCAATCAGGTGAGTTTGGCGAAGCGTGAGTGAGTAAGGCTAACAGGATAGGTTCCACGAGTCCATATACAAGACTCTCCCGAACACCATCAGTCAGAAGTGTCGGCACATCAAGATCCAGCTCAATCAGTTCAGTTAATTCTCACACGAGCCGCTCATCACTCGGCCTCAATGAGCTCTTCAGTCGAGGAAGTTCTCGTCGCAGAAGACGTGCATACAAAGAGGAGCGACGATCACTGGCAGCTCCCCGAAAAGCATTCCAATGCACATTCTGCACCGAGACATTCCGAGCAAAGCACGATTGGCAACGGCACGAGAATTCTCTTCATCTGCCTCTGGAACGATGGGTCTGCAGTCCAGAAGGACCCCGTGGCCAAAAAGCCGATAGTCCCGAAATTCGCTGCGTTTTCTGCGGTCATGTCGATCCCGACGATGCACACATCGAAACACACAATTACTCAACGTGCAAGAATCGACCTGTTCAAGAACGCACGTTTAATCGAAAGGACCATCTCAATCAACATCTGAAATTGGTCCACAACGCCAAATTCGCCGAGTGGCCGATGAGACAGTGGAAAGCTCCGCCGCCTGCAATACACTCCCGATGCGGTTTCTGCAATCTCGTTATGGAAACGTGGATAGACCGTGTACATCATCTAGCAGATCATTTCAAAACGGGCAAGACTATGGCTGATTGGAAGGGTGATTGGGGATTTGAACCGCATATTCTTGAGCTTGTCGAGAACTCGATTCCTCCTTGTGAGTTTTGTCGCGGACCTATTAGTTGAGTTACTGACATATTAGACTTTATCGAAACTGAACGTAATAGTCCTTTCCCTTTCGAAGGAAGTCGTGCACTTGTTGAAACACCCCGAACAGCTTATGAGTTACTCAAACTGGAGCTCGCGTATTTTATGCAGAATCACTTTTACAAACATGCGCGAATGCCGACCGGCGATGAAATGCAGCTCGAGGCGTGCCGGATCCTATTTGCCGCCGAACCGTTGTCACATGGCGACTTGGTCTGTCCATCCTGGCTCAGAGATCTGGTATTTTCGAACGTTCAAATCTCACAACAAGCTCAATTCGGACCGATGCGATCAAACGCCGAGAGTCGACTCTCTTCGCTGGAGATCAGTGGAAAGAACAACATCTTTGAAGGATGTCCTTTTGAGACGCAGCTGCAAGAGTTTGTACAAGCGAAGCAGCTCCTTGGACTCAGTATTAGAGATGATGAGTTGCGAGAAGAATGCTGCAGAATTGTCGGTCGATTGGAGGAAGTTTCAGCAACGCCATCTGATTTCATCGCGAATTGGCTCATCAAGATCATTCATTTACCCGGGGATTGGCTGCTGCCGTTCCGACAACGCACAGGAATTGAGCTGATTGGTTTATCCGAGGGAATGAACTTGAACGCCATGATTCAAGATTATACGCGCCTGGAGCAAGAACTTGGGGCTTACCTCGATTTGCAACGCGTCATTGGCATTGAACCACCCGACGATGACCTTCGCCGACAAGCGCGCGTTATCATTCACGGCTCAGATTCAAATCTCAATCATACAGCAGCAGATGACGATTACTGGCTAGCCGCATTCCGACAACGACATTCCACGACGACAGAAACCTCCGAAGCTTGGAACACGCCACTTCGTCCAGATCCCCATCTCCTCGCCGCACGAGGTCTCGTTCTCAAAACAAGTACAGCTTTTCTGAATGATCACAATTACTGGCGATGGTTCACGCAGGAATTACGACGTTGGGTAACTGGGATAATGTCACCCCATAATCCAGCAAGTCGCGTTCCCTCAGACGAAGAGATCCAACATTACGCGCGATGGATCAGCTACAACGAGTACGTGTCCTTTTTAAACTCGATCTGCTGATATTTCAAATTTACTAACAATTTAGTGACGACCCATTTAATCAAACCATCGCAGAGAACAAAGATTGGCTCGAGGCGTTTAAACGAGATGTCGGTATTACAGAGGCGCTGAATAACAGTGGCCAGATATGACGATCAACATGAATGTTACGCTTAATAAACTCTAACAGGAACTCTAACTTTAGAAGTTTAAAATCGGCCGATGAATTTAACCTTTTACTCTTATCTGCTGCCAAGTGAAACTGCCGATGTTTTTGATTCATCCGAAACTCGGGTCAGACTTTGCCGAGACTTTTAACGTGGATAAGCTTTTAGAATCGGCCAATTATAGTGGCCTGTAGAATAGGAGGATCTACGACTGTATTAGAGTGAAAAAGGCAATTCAAGTAATTTGAAGATGTAGATGATGCATTTCCCTCTGATTCTTGCTATCAATCCGCCTAGCAAAGTTCAGCTCGCTCAAACCGGCAATTCAACCTTCATCCCCAGACGTCAGCCGCCAGCTGGTAGGGCTGATCTCAACATGGACGCTTTTTGAATAGCCGAAACGGGATAATGTCAACTGGTTTCAAAGCACGGCTTGTGGGGTTTGGGACCGCGCTACACGTCACCCAGGATCGTCAGCTTTAGCCCCGAGCTCTCCGACAGCTTGGGGGCTACAGATTCTAATCCCGCGATTGGCCAACGATGGGACGGAGTGGACATGGGAAGCCTGCAAGCCAAGGTGTACAGTCTTGGCGAACACTTTATATAACAAGTCCCGCTCGCTGGTAAGATTAATGGACAGCAGTTATTACAATGTCGTTTTCTACCCTGGTACTGGGTGTTTTCTACCTCGCGGGTGTGTCTGCCGCTTCTATTTCGAGGCAGATACAGCTTGGCGATCACGAATACTTTGTTCCTCCGACCGCGGCGTGGAAATTGGATTCTTGGGATGCTTCGGTCGACGCTGACGAGTTTACGCCCTTGACGGTTGTCAAATTGAACCAGACGGCAAATGCTGAGCGTGTTGCCTCTGCGCTTGGGGAGTATGAGAAGGACGATGTCTGGACCAGGGAGTTTGCTCAGGGTATGTTGTGCGAATCGCCTACATGACGCATCTGACTGTCGCAGCTTTGTACATCGAGTCTGATAAAGAATTGACCTTCAATTCTTCCAAGTACAACGTTTCAGCGGTATACACAGGCAAAGAGTCGGTGCCAGCGGGTCCATACTTTGTACATAGCTACACTGGCAATGTCTTCCAAGCATATCGCCTCTATGTCGACACCAACCAAGCTTTCATCCAAGTATGTTCCCCGCTTATGCATTCAGCATCGCTGACAGTAGTAGTCCACATACCAAGACCCCTCTGGAACCCACCATCCCCTTCGCGCCGGCACCCACTCCGCCGGGGGTCTCACAATCGCCGTCCCGTCGCGTTTATACTTCACTCCCACCAAGGAAAAGCCATTGGCCGGTCTTCGTCTCGGTGTCAAGGACTTGTACGATCTCAAGGGAGTCAAGACAAGTGGAGGCAACAGAGCACTGTACGAAATGAGCAATGTCAAGGCCAAGACTGCTCTATGCGTACAGAAACTCATCGATGCCGGCGCCGTAGTCGTAGGAAAGAACAAAATGTCCGAATTTGCGTTTGCTGGCGGATACGTCACAGAACACATCGACTACCTTCTCCCCTTCAATCCGCGAGGGGACGGTTATAACTCGCCTGGTGATAGCTCTGGTGGCTCAGCTGCATCTGTCGCTTCGTATGACTGGCTTGATGCTAGCATGGGAAGTGATACAGGCGGTAGTATCCGTGGCCCTGCGCTCCAGAATGCTGTTCATGGTAATCGCCCTACCCAAGACGCTGTCAATCTCACTGGAGCCCTTCCTCTCTCATCGGCCATGGATACCTCGGGCATCATCGCGAGGGATCCCGTAATTTTGTCCAAGTTCACCCGATCTCTTTACGCCGACACGATTAAAGAGTATCCTGGGCTGCCATCTGAGGTCCTCTTTGACAGTGGTAGTGAACGGTTTCTCCTTAACCTGGAAAAAGACTCCCCTAAAGCGGCAAATGCAGTAGGAGAGTTTTTAAACAGCCTCACAAGTCTTCTCTCAGCCAATGGCAGCGTCTGCTCAATTGATTCGGCGTGGACAAACTCTACACCCAAGGAATTCGGAGACGTAGCGCTGTCAAACATCGTGGGTAATGTCTACTTGAACCTGACAACCTATGAACAGTGGACCGAATTTGGCAAAGATTATGTTGAAGAGTACAAGAGTCTTCACGATGGTGCATTCCCCCATATGGTGCCTGAGATTCGCGACGGATGGATGAACGCCAATGAGACAATGACCGAGTTGACTCACCAAGATGACTTGGCTTCAAAGAAAGGCGTCGAGGAATGGGTAGCGGGCGAGTTCTTGACTGCTGATAACAAAAGTTGCTCAAATGCTGTCTACGTCTATCTATCAGCCAGCTATCCTTCATACAAGCCTGATGTTTCTCAAGAGTAGGTTGCCCCAAGGGATACTTTTCATCGCTAACAGATTAGTGGCTCGAATCCGTATATCCGGGAGCTTCTACAAGCCAGTTCCGAACAGCAGACCCTGATCACCCAGCTCAACACGACCGTCAACTGTAACTCAACCCTTGGATCCGAAGAGGCTTGCGAGGAATCCTTGGAGGCAGAAAAGGCAAACTCCAACAACTCAGGCGCTCAGACCGTCTACGCCGGAAGACTCGCCTCTGTCGCAGGTCTCCCAGACTACGCAGTCTCACTAGGCATGTTTGACCTGGGCTCATTCTCCAACTCAACTCTCCAAAACGAGCGTATTCCTGTAGGAGTAAACATAATGGCAGCGAAAGGCTGTGACTTTGTAATTCTCGACATTATTGAGGCACTCCACAAAGAAGGCGTTATCAAGACTGCCAAGACTGGTAAAACATCATAAGTAGTATAGAGATAGTCAATAATCATCATCCCCAATACATCCCCGCAATTAGGAACCAGTGGACGACACCATCCGGGCGGGGAAGCTGAATCGTGGTAAATTACCGTAAATGGTTTAGTTTACGTGTCATTACATCAGGTCTGATACGCTGATGGCAAGTCGGGGAAGTAATCCGGAAATGGAAGGTTTCTAGGCACGGTTATCATCGCCACAGATATTTAAGTTCAACGGCATTCTGATCTTGGTTTCATCAATCAATCATGTCTCCATCACTTGAATCAACGGGTCTTCGTCAAGAGGTTGTTCTCGTTGCCTTTGCGGCAGTGGGATTATGTGTCTTTGCTGTGTATGGATGGATGCGCAAGGGAAAAACTGCTGGTATGTCCTCTGACTCTTGGAGAGTTTATCTAACAAAACAGTCAAAACGGACGTTGAGTGGAAGACTCCTTCGCCCAAGCCTCTTGTCGATTTTGACTTGGATGCCAAGAAACCCGAGCTTTACCGACCCTGTCGCCATGGGCCTAATCACGTCACAATGGGCATTCGAAAACTAGACTGGAATAATTGGATTGAGATGGACTCCAACTTTCTCTGGTACCACGATCTCAAGGTCTCGGAGCTCGAGAAAGACATCGATGCGCATATTCAATATGTTGACAACGCTGTCACTCGAGATGCCTGTTTTGAGGTTCTGGAGGAACTGACTGCATACTTGACTGTCCGATATCCCAAGATCTTCCAACTCAGCAATGGCATTCTGCGCAACACTTTGACCAAGGAAGAATTCAACTACCCAGCCAGTACGTATCATCCTCAGAGCCAAGACAGAGCTGACCATCAGATACTCCCAAGGATGCAATGGCAACAGCTGCGAAACTTGTCCAGGACGATCTCGTCATCATGGTTGAAGAAGACGGTGAGTTGCCTCATTCCTTGTCTTGCTCGGCTGACATTTTAGACGGCCAATATCATCTTGACGCTGGAGCTGTCTGTCTCCCTGGCTTCTGGCGATTGAGCGAAAAGTTCAGAATGTCTCTCGACACTCTACACATCGAAGCCAAGGTTCCTCACTATCAGTCAAAGCTGCAAAAGTCTATGAACCGCTTCTTCAAGACGATGCAGCCAGACAAGGCGGTGATTCGTAACAACGTGAGTTTTCTTTTCCTGTCCTGGAGTGCATTGCTGATAGTGTAGTTCTTCATCCAACTCGACGATGGTCTTCACTGGTCTCACCGAATGGGCGATCAAGACAGCAACGAAGTAGCTTGTAGGTGAAGCCCTTCCATTCAAAGCCAGTCTAACATTTCAGCCTGGGAAACGGCAAACGACAAGGGTCTGACCATCAACGACCTCTACTTCCGCTCTGAGAGACAGTCACTCCGACGACTTCCCAGATCCAAAGCTCTTCTCTTCACGGTTCGTACATACTTTGAGCCTATCACTACAATTGCACAAGAGCCCCATGTTCCAGGACGCCTGGCTGAAGCTATTGAGAATTGGGATGAGGCGGCTTCAAAGTACAAGGGCAAGCATCACTGGGCGGATATTCTTTTGCCGTATTTGCACGAGCAGGATGAGTTGCAGAAGAGATCGGGAGTGTTGGAGAAGATTCCAGAGGGAAGCTTCCCGTACTAGACAGAACAGGCAGAAACATAAATGATGCTCTGACCCCTCGTTATTTCTCGTTGTTCCATCATGGCCAATGAAGATGCGCGGACTAATATTATTCCCGTGGACCAATGTCACCATGCTTACGCAGTTGGCTCTTCAAAGCGGTAAGGCTTCAACAACTTCATTGCAATCCATAGAGATAAGATCCGAGATACCTTGCAATGGCTCTTACTGAGTTCCATCGCTTCTCTCTACTCCCCCTAGAACTCCGTCGAGAGATCTACCACTTAGCCACGCCACCCCGCTTTGTCCATGTCCAGCGATTTGACGAGCAAGACTACGATGAATTCGCAGAGCATATACGCACAACACCAAACGCTATTCGACTAGACGAATCCCTCATCCACTTCTCCTTCAACTGGCGGCCTCATATTTCCCCTCGGACCACGCAGAGACAGTCTGCACTTGAGCGTTATGGGTTCTCGAGCAACAAGTCGGCGTCTCAGCCGTGGAAAGTGACAAAGCTCGCCCCTCGAATCAGCCTAGATTGGCTAAGCGTGAATCCTGAATATGCGTGGCAGCTTTGCAGGGAGGTTTCCATGTACAGCACTGCTCCAATTCCCGCACTGCTGCATACGTGCCGTGAATCTCGTGACGACTTGATCAGGAGAGGGTATCAGCTTGCCTTTCGCACCCGGTCTCACGGTCCTCGAACATGGTTCAATTTTGATCACGACGTCCTATTTATTTCTCATGGGGATGACTGGGGTACCAAGCATCGGGTACTCAGTGGCTGTGCGTGGGATATTGGTCAATTCCATACCAGTGATATGGAAAGGGTCAAAAGAGTCGCCTTGGAGGAATCCACAGGGTCTCTTTACCTTGCTCATCCTAGATTCAGCGAAGGCAACTACAAGTTTTCCGACGTCTCATCTGTATTGCGGCTTTTCAAGCACCTCGAGGAGTTGCTCTTGGTCGAATGGACAGATTCACATATGGTGGCATTCTGCCCGATGAAAGACTTTTACGCCAGGGCGAAGCAACGACATAGATACGACACCCAGTGTCTTTGGAGCTACCAGCCTGTCAGCGAGGTTGACGTGCTTCCGCAACTGTTTCACCCTGCGAACTCTTGGAGCCCCCTGACTGTAGCATCCATCGGGCCATACGGGGAGCTTCTCAACAATCATCAAGGTCTAGAGAGAAACGGATACATCAGGATGGTTCAGGAGTCACTGCAAGAGAAGCTCGTTAGATACAGAAGCTCTGTAGGTTCACGGCACACGGCTGATGCCGATGTTTGGTGGAATATACCTACCATCACGACTGTTCATGTCATGTCGACTTGGGGACATGAACTTCTTGCCCGCGAACGATGGCGCGCCCTCAGTAGGGTTTATAGACTTCGAAAGCAGTGGCTGGCCCACGAAAAGCGAGTCTCTAACCATCTGCCGCAGAGCGAAGAGTATGACTTTCAAGCAGATGAAGAGGCATACGACCTCACGTTTGAGACTGATGCGCATGAGGCGAAGCGGATTTGGTGGGTCCGGGAAGGGATAATTCCTTTCATTGACGAATAGCAACTCTCAAGAGCTTGGCTGATGATGGGTTATCTAGGGTAGTAAGACTTGAGATACCTGTCCAAGGTATGAAAAGATTTAAGTAAGATTAATATAGGGCTAGCAAATTTTGGACTGGCTATTATTGGCACCTTGTCCCTGGGTCAGAAATTCTCTTGCTCTGGGAACCTTCTTGGCTTCCCTCTCTGCTTCACGGCTGATGCGGCGAGGTTGGTCAATAGGGTGACATGAGTGAGAAGTGACGGCTAGCGAACTATGTGGATTATCTATAGTAAGCGGTGTGGGGGATCAGCAGATAGTGACAAGGATACCTTTTTCCTATCTAGGTTTAGTCAGGTATGCATCACTTTTAGAAGAGGGCGGTATTCTGATCCACAGCTCGATTGCTCGATGAATTTAGAGTCTATAAGTATCGTCTTTTTTGCAGATTGATGAGAAATACTTAGCCTGAATAGGAATCAGGTCTTAAAACCTCTTACCTAGATCAGAAACAGGTAATAGCTTGACTACATTACATTTATGGGTATCTAGAAATACTAGGCTTCAAAAATGGATCGGTGTAAATACAAATAGAAGCGTTGTCGACAACAATTGGGTTTCTAATAATCACTCAACTTTTACATTAACCCTCTATCCCCCATCATGGCAGCCGACAGTCTCTCTCTTGATGGAAAGATAGCCATAGTTACTGGCTCTGGCCGAGAAAACGGCATCGGCGCAGCTATAGCCGTAACATTGGCACGCAGTGGAGCAGCCGTCACCATCCACTACGTGAGCGATTCTGTGACCAAGAGAGCCCATGCCGTCGCCCAAGGTATAAGAGCAGATGGCGGTAAAGCAGCCGTTGTCCAAACCTCGATCGAAACCCCCGAGGGTGCTCAACATCTGGTTAAGGAGACTTTGAGAGCATTCAACACCGACCATGTCGATATTCTGAGTACGTATGGCCACGACAAGTCACCGCCAAACCCTAACTTGTCATCTGTAGTCAACAATGCAGGAGTACCGTTCTTTGGCGAGACATTAGCAGTCCACCCTAAGCAATTGACTGAAGTACTCGACGTCAATATCAAGGGCCCAATTTTCGTCGCCCAGGCCGTTGTACCTCTCATTGCCCCCGGCGGTCGTATTGTGAACATCAGTCCAATCGCGTCCAAGCTTGGCGACGATTACATCCCAGTATACGGTGCTTCCAAGGCTGCTCTGGACAGTCTTACGTGGTCATGGGCCAAGGAGGTAAGTTGATTCTCTGAATCGAATAATCTGCGTGCTTTGTCTAACATAATGATCAGTGGGGACGCAGCAAGGGCATCACGGTCAACGCAGTCGCCCCTGGCCCCGTCTTGACTGATGCAATCCCTGCAGCCATAGCCGATGAATTCCAACGGCCCTCCATCGAGATCACACGAGCCGCTAATAGGGCTGGTACCGCGAAGGATATCGCTGATGCTGTACTTTTGCTGGTTTCTGAGAAGGCGAGATGGATTACGGGACAGTACATCTCTGTTAGTGGTGGAGTCACCAACTGAGATCATACATGTTAGAATGTATCTAGTTTACAACAATAACTCATGTGTGCTGATGAGGTTTGCTGTACTCAACGCAATTGCTTTATTATTGTAGCTGAGATACGAAATTAGTCGATCATGCCTCCAATCGCTCTCTAGCGGGCGGATCAGGAACTGCTTTTAGCTTTAGTGCTGACAGCCAAAATCCCACAGCAGCTACTGTACTCACGGACCACCCCTGATAGAGCGGCTCATTTAAGACGAGGGACTCGCCAAGAAAAACCCATGCATCTCAACTCTCTGCCTCCATTCCACATTTACAATGTCGACGTCCCGAGTCAGCAATTTTCCACCAGCGGTAGAGTTGATGTTTGTCAACATTGCTCGACCGGAGGACATAAAAGACCGCAAGACTCAGAGGAAAATCAACAGTCATGTGATGAAGCCGATTGGCGTCACTCGAAGGCGCGCCCGCCCGGTCGACAAAATAGAAACAACCCTGAATTCTATCAAATCTACATCACAGCACCGAGGCGTATGCAAAAGCTCGCTAGCACAATCCAACACTTCTAGTACTGGCATTAGAACTCCAGAATCATCCTCTTGGGCATTCGAGTATCGACATTCGCTAGATTTAGTCCCATCTCTTTGCCCCTCCCAGAAGCCCAGCAGGTATCCCATGTCCGCCCGAACGAGCAGTATGCTCCATTTCTGTTAGTTGTTCCACGATCCTCTCAAACACTTACCAGTTCTAACAACAGGCAGTAGCTGTAGGCCAGGAGGCGCCAGTCTGCAAGCTCATGCGTGAGCTTTGTTTCGCCCTCGCATTTGCTGATGATAGCGCCATGCACTTGGTTCTTGCTCGCCTTGAGATAGATCCTGAGCGAACTGGGGAACAGGCATCTCGAGAGAGCGCCAGTAGTCTGACACATTACAATGCTTCAATTGAAATCTTGCGAAATCAGCTTGGGGTCGCTCAGCTTATGGCTCACGAAGCCATTATCGGTGTAGTGGTGAACCTGGCGTGCTACGATGTCAGTTCTAGGATACTGGCTTCAGTGCTCATGCTAACTGTCAATAGATGTTTACTAACAACTTAGCACGGTGGAAGACGCACATGTCGGGGCTGCAAAAAATGATTGAATATCGGGGTGGCATAAATACCCTCAGTTCCCAATATCTGCAAGTAACAACGATTTGGTATGTACATCATCCTGAAGCTTCCGTGTAATACGACTGACATCTACAGGATGGACTTGACTGGTTCTATGATCCTAGACCAAGCACCTCATCTCACGCTATATGAAGCCGGCTCTGCTATAGTGCAGTACACACAACCCAACCTTGAGGATGGGGCCATACAAAGCCACAGAGATACCGAGGTGCTTCTGGAGTTGCTACTCAAACTATCCAACCTAGCTGCCGGAAAGTCTGAGCTTGATCTCAGTGAGGATTCTGCTCTGCTCGAAGAACTTCAGGTTGGAGTATACAAAACACTGACTCTGCCGCGCTACAACAGTCCAAATATCCACCAGAACTCCTTGGCACCTTGTCTTCTAACTTACGAGATATTTCGACTAGCAGTGCTTGTGTATCTTTCAGGCCCTGTCACGTTTTTGGCAGGTAATAGGACCTTCAATGTGGTAACTCCCCATCTGAGAGGTAGACTATCGAGGATGTACAGGGAGCATAGACTTGATTGGACGGGTCTAGAACACGTTGAACTATTTACACTAGTCATTGGGGCCTTGACGGAAGTCGGGCAAGACAGACAGAGATTGATGGTTCAGCTTCAGCGCACGATGAGAGTACAGGGCCTAATATGGAATGGTCTGGTCGATAAGCTTCGCTCTATGGCGTGGGTTGATATTGTCTGGTCAGCTGGCCTAGATAGGCTGCATGTGGATTTGGCGTTTACGACTGGTTAGGTGTCCTGGAAAAGCCTCCAAAGCAAAAGGGTTCTTCAAAAATAGTAGCTATAGCCTATTCACAGCACTGCAAGGCCGCTTTGAAAGAGAAATTGGATAGCCTAATATTGGTCAATTTAACCAGTGCAACTTACGCATTATGGCAAGAACCCACTCTATACGTTCACGTCCATGAAGCGAGAAGAACCTGGTCAGAGTATACTGCCACTGCGTTTGGTGCAGGTGAGGAGTCGGCTTCTGCGGTTGACCTCGTACATCAGCCGGACCTCGGCCCGAACCCTTTCTAGTCACAGTCAATACACATGTTCCTCTCAACAGAAGGTCACTTGCCTCCCAGGCGTTGTTTTTATGGCCAATTAGATAGCCATTCCTGCATGGCCATAAGAGTTCCCAAATCCAGCTAGTCTATTACTGTGGATCGAGTCATAATTACATAGTGTCTCCTGCATAATTCCCTAGTACTACATCGTCAACTCCACTTTAGCCTTGGGTCCTGCAAGAGCTAATCTGTTAGCTCGATCATGAAATGGGACATGCACTTACTCCTTTTTCCCCAGGCAAAGTACCAAACTCCACACAGGACCAAGAACCCCACAAAGACTACTGACGCATAGTTCATTGTCTCGGCTGTAACCGGCAATGCAGATGGCATACTGAATAGTACCAATTGGAAGAGGATCCAGCAGACTGAGGTTGCATTGGCCGCTGTACCGATAGCCCCCAGGTGCCACTTTGCCTTGGCTACTTCAGTTCTCCCAAAGGCTAGACTGATGGCGATTGGGATGAGATATGCACAGGCGAGGGCAATGACTCCGACTGAGACAAAGGCGGTAAAGGCACTTGCGCTGCCGAGATTGACGCAGCCAAGACAAATCTCAATGACTGTGACAAGGGCTAGAGCGTAGACAGGTTGGTTGAAGAGTGTCCGAGACCAAATTTGAGAGAACGGCAGCATCCCATCTCTTGACAAGGCCCAGGTGCATCGAGAGGCTGTTGTAGTGATGCTGATGGAACAGAAGAGAGTGACCATCAGTATCATGATCAAGAGCGTCAAACTGAGGGGTTTAGACCCAGTGACAGTGTCGATAATGAAGGGGAGTGCTTGACCATAAGGGGCTGCGAGGATATCCTCCAGTGGAGGCAAGGTGAAACAGATAGGGAGAACAAACACAAGCATCGAGACGCCGCCAATCGGAATACACATGCTGATTGCTCGAGGGACTTCAATTTCTGGCTTTGAGCACTCCTCAGTCATCGACATGACCATACCGATAGCCGAGAGAGCGTACGCAGGAGGCAAGAGTCCAATGAAGAACGAAAACTCGCCCCAGCCAGAGATATTGGTGTCGTAGTGCGTGAGTCCATATGAAGGCGAGTGCCGACCTACTTTGGCAGTAGAACTGAGAGCGATCAGGATTGCGACGGTGGTCACAACACTCCAAATTGCTGCTGCAGTGTCGACCAAAGGCAATGCTTTATCTGCAGCTGCACAGAGGATAAAAATGAATATGCAGATCCCAAAGAATACATATAGAGTCTCGTTCGCTGTGGCGGTCCACTCGGGTCGATACATAGTAACAGTCGCAACGATGAGAGATGCGAATCCAAAGTTGACAGAGAGTGCGATGGTCCAGTTCCCAATAAGCCATACCCATCCGGTAAAGTAGGCCATTGCGTGTTGGTATCTCTTATTCTCGGTGAGTCTGTACGACCAGTAGTACACTCCCGAGGAAGTTGGGTATCGAGAGGCGAGTTCTCCCAGGGATACTGCAACGGCACCTTGAAGAAGAACAACCACCAAGACACCAATGAACATCGAGAGCTGTCCACCGCCGTAGACTGAGGACATCAACGGACCACCAAGTCCATAAGGTACCGCAGTGATGGCGAGAGACATTCCGAGAACTGAAATGAAAGATCGATTCTTTCGTAATTGGGGAGTCGACACATCTTGGAGAACACCAGGAGATGAGCTCTCGGTTCTGTAGATTTGAGAGGAAGTAGAGTCGTGTTTGTGTGACATTTTGGTGACGGTAACAGCAGTTTACAATAAACGAGACAATGGCAACTCATCAAGCTGTTTTATAGAAGTGAAGGATCTGGGTTACTCCATATTTGGTAACTTGATGGTCCACCTGGTCTTGGAATCTGGGGACGACAAGACTATTCCCTTTTGGGCAGGTTTTTAGCCCAATCTAAGGGACCCATCCTGGTGGGACAAGCTTATCTGACATTAGTTTGAGATAGCGGATATAAGATGGCATTAACGAAGGGACTTCAGATCCGGGCTCCGGGGAGATGGACGGGTCACTACGCGCTTATTGTCCTAAATTACTTGCTGAGATGTATAAGTTTCATTGTAAATAAAATGGTATCATGATATACGTGGAAATATTACTTGTCTGATATTAAGCTACTAGTCCTAAATTGAAACTAAACAGTATTTATTATGTTCAACCCGGGTGGATCTGATGGACCAGGTGATAACCCTCCTTGCGATGGTTGCGTGACCATCACAACCACCGCCACTATCCCAATCTATACCACCATTCCCATTCACTACCATGACCACTACTGGGTCGACCGCTGAGACCACAACGCTTCCTGTTTCTTCTGGCTGCAAGTCTTGCACTTGAAGTTCCCCTTGAAACAGATTTATCCCACTCTGCACCAGAGGTGACTCAGGAGGAAAGGACGTGGTATTACCCTCGTCGCTATTCGGTTAGTTACTCAGGCACCTTAATCCTTTCACTAAGACGGCATAACGTTGCCGGCTCAGCCAAGGATCATTGGACTCTTATCTCTCAAAGCACGGTTGGGCGAGTCTTGGTCTTAACCCGGGCTGTATCCTCAGACTATATCATAGCATGTCGAGCTCCCATTATGATCTAAGCTGTTACAGTAGGAGCTACTGGTTCAAGGCCTGGGAAACCGTATGATAGAGCTACAGACTATCGATCTACAGGCCCCGGGATCTTCATTGGGACCCAGGCCTCCAAAGCCCCTCTCGAGCTTCAGGCAATGAAGTGGTTTGAATCTCCACCAGCCTGAACCGCTTTGAGATCTACCGTTCAATCCATTTGAGCCTTCCCCTGCATCGAATTAACGGCTTCAAATTGAGACGGGTGGATCTGGTGACCCTCGTCCAGATTGTGAGCCCCTGGTCAGAAACTGCTGCCACTGTTGTTGCCGCAGGGGCCGACTTGGCTTGTGAAGCAATACACAATGTCCAGGCGGAACTATCCCCGCCATCTCCCTTTAACTTCTCATCTAGAATATTCCTCGCTTACCCATGAACGTCCCTTTTCCTCGGAATACATTGACCCTGGGTTGCAAGGAATGATTTAACTTTTAGATCCTTGGCGCTTCTTTGCCTACTACAGCTCCTGGATATATTAGCCCTTGTTACATCAGAGCTGAACTCTTGCCAACGTCTGTTTGAATATGATGTATCCGGACATCCCGTGTCACAACAAAGCTGGTTTCCCCAACATACGTTGGCTGAGGGCTGCCTAAACCACATACAGTGCGACGTGAGACATGCCTTACTAAGAATCAGTATGACAAAGAATAAGCCCATCGTTACTGGGTCACAAATCTCACATTCCCAAGTGTATGCCGAGTTCAAAATTGTAGGTATGTTTCTTCTGACCCAATTCTTTAAACAGAGATAAATATCCGTCTTCCTTGGTATTATTCTGATACTTTGCCTTTGAAAGTATTCCAGCATCTCTTCTATTTCTTTACACCCAGCACAACTTGAAATCACTCATCATGAAGCTCACAGCGACGATCCTGGCTCTCAACCTCCCCTCTCTGGGTCTGGCCTCGGTCTATAATTACTAGACATTCTTAAAGGCACCGTCGGCTAGACTAAGCAATATTACTTTCCCTATTAGCATAAATAGGGCACCTCGCATAAATAGTTATTACTTTGCCTAGCAGTTTGGCTTTAACAGGGTTAAAGATATTAGATATATTAGCCTTTAGCTATATCCTAATAGCTAATATAAATAGGTTATTTATATAGCCTTTTCCTTATTCTAGAATAAAATAACTACTAAGTATAAGAACTATTATTTAAGTACTAATAGTAGCCTCGGAGTTAGCTATGCTCTTGATACTTTCGGTGATTACTCTTACCTCTATAATATTACTATAAAGAATACCAGCAGCATAACCTAGAGAGGAACTCTTATTAATATAGTCACCAGAAAGTCTGATGTAATCGGCGAGTAGATACTTCTATCTTCTGCAGGCAAGATGCTAAATAAACAAGTCGGCTTTTTTGAGTATTACAACTGGAACGACGGTATAACTAATCACGATTATGCTAAGCAGCCCTTTAGTCAAATCTTCTTCGGCAACCCCACCTCAAAGACAAAAGGAGCTAGTGGTGGCAAAGGCACCCTCATTTACGAGGCCGGCAAATGCGTCAAGCTCAACCTGAAGGCCACTCAGACTGGCAAGGGATATCAGATTCAGGCTGGTTTCAAGTAATCTTTTCCTATTGTAACTCAAAACTGTATAAGAAGGGTTTTTTTAATCGGTTCGTCCGGTTTTCCCGCTTTAGAACAATTTGTTGTCTGGCTTGTACCAAGGTCGAGGAGCTGGGTTCATGTCTGTTATTGAGTATCTTATTTAGCAGTGGTATTCAAGATTAGACCAACTTACTCACTATTTACCTGTGAATTGAAGGATAATGTGTCGGAGATCTCGGCTTCAAAGCCACCAAGACTGGTAAAGGGTATCAGATTAAGGCTGGTTTTGCGTAGTCGTGTTCATCCTAGCTTTTCATCGGCTCCTCCGATTTTCCTCAATTTGTGAGGAGTTCCATGCATGTCAAGTGCCGTTTTATTACATTAAAATTCCACGCTGAGCATTAGCACTCACCGCACTCAACTCTAAATAACACAGCAAATCAATAGTGACACTAAAATGAGGGTCCTTGTTCACAATGGTGAGGCAGGTGGAACCGAGCAAAAGCTTGCAGCGCTGGGTAAGGTGTCGACAAACTGCTACCACTATCCCTACTGGTCTAATAGTTTGGCGCTTGAGTAATATCGTTGAATGATTAACTTTACTCCGGCTTATCTAAACTGGGATATTTTCTAGTAAAACGTTCTAAATACGGCCACTGGATAAATTCTAAGCCCGTCTTAGCGTCGGACCTCCCCGCCGATCATCGGATAACTCGGGATTCTTTCCGCTTCTTGACTGTCCTCGTATGTATACCCTCGCCCATTTCTTCGTACATCTCAGCTGAAAACAAGGGCTGCTGCCGGGCCGAGAACAAACCTTAAAGGTAGACTGAGTACCCAGAACGGTGCTCACTGAGGCAGAGCATCTAGCGCAGAGCTTGTCGTTCTTTGGCAAATCAGGCTATGGCACCTCTCCACACAGGAACTTTCAGTACGAAGGGATTGGCTCACAATACTTGGGCTAACGATACTCTGATACAGTACGCCCTTTGGAAGAGGTCTTTGCGCCTTGGTGGCCCTTGGACTAATGTGCTCGATATTTAAATCGCCAGCGGCGTATGTACTCTGCTGACAACTGTGACATAATGATGACAAGTTCTTATTTGTACCCTATCTGATGTTTAAGTGGCTATGGCAAGTGGTTCCAGGCAGAAAGTTGGCATCGCATGCGAAGAGTGCCGACGCCGCAAAACGAAATGTGACGGTGAACAGCCTTGCGGACTATGTCTGGAGTTTGGAGTGGAATGTGTTTTTGAAGAAAACCGATCTAAACGAGGACCTAAAAAGGGTCAATTAGACGCTTTGAGAGCGCGCATAGGCAAGTGGGCTTTCTAGAACTCTCAAGTTCTGATAGGGTATAATGAGCATGAGCTAATCATATTGCGTGATTCAGCCATGCTGGAGCTACAACTATCCAGCAAGTCACAGACCGAGCATGTTGATGTCATCAACACCGACACTACAGCCGGGCCACCGATAAATGCCACCGATTGGACAATGCATTTCGATATGCCCCAAGCGGACTGGAATGAAACACTAGAAAGTGCATCAGAGACTGTTGACCAAGCTGGGTGGCAGGATAAAGGCATACACTCACAGCTACAACAGACACTCATACAGCCTGAAGAAATCGCTATAGTCTCTCTACAACATGGAAAGGCTACAAATGAGATTCTGGACTCGACAGGACTATCTCATCTGATGAAACTTGACCTGTGAGTCCCCATCAATATTACAACGAGAAGAAGCTCAACGCTGACGGGACGGTGTTCCGATAACGCTACAGGGACCAACTCTATTTTGATAGGGTACATCCACTTATACCTATGGTTCATAGAAGCCATTACCTTGCATGGGCGAAGCTGGATGACGTTTCGTTGCCCCAGAAATGCCTCCGGTGGGCCATTAGGGCACTCGCCGCGTCCATGTCATCTCAGTTCCGTTCTCGCAGTGAGGAGTTCTATAACAAAGCGAGGCAGTTAGCAGAAAGACTCGACGCTGGAGATCTAGTACCACCATGGCTAAACTCCGATACCAGTATAGAACAAGCACAAACATGGCTTCTTCTAGCGCACTATGAGCTTCTAGACCCATCCAAATATTCTCAATCAGCAACGACACGACGAGCTTTCCGGTTGGTGCACCTATCGCGTTTGCATTGTACCGACTGGAAGGATCCAGCTTTCGACTTTCCCTCTTGCACCCCAGGAACGTCCCAATCGGCCCCATTACCATTCGCATCTGTGGAGGAGCGAAGGAGGACTTTCTGGGTGGCTTTCTGCTTGGACCGCTTCCTGGGCGGATATGAGGAGTCGCCCATGACAATCCACGATGAAACAGTGAGTCAACTATTGCGTTGCGTATATGAAAAGTTAATCACATATCGTAGATACACGTTCATCTTCCTTGTCCGGAATGGAACTTCCAAATTTCCAGCGAAGTGAATATGGGTTTTATAAACGATGTGCTTATCGGGGAAACGCCGGTTCCAGCATCATCACCTTTCGCCAAGTTAGTCATTGCAATGGCACTGTTCGGACAATGCATCATACATAAACAAATAACTGCCAAGTGTCCAACTTCTGACCAGGAGAGTTTGACTTTCTGGGTACGGCATGAGTTGCTCGCTGAAGCCATAGACAGGCAGGTTGCCCTTTTATTGAGAGAGACAGACGTGGAATACGAGCCACTTCATTTCATGACGTCCATGGTAGTACATGGCTCAGTATTGAAACTGGAAAACGCTATGAATGTGGCTCACTCAGTTGTTCAGAGCCAACAGCACGTTGCCAATGATTATGCTAAGACAGCGTACAAAGCTGCCATCAGCATGGCAGACTTGTCAGAGTCCATGACTGGCTCAAATTGCTTAAAGGTATAGTAAGAGAGTCTCTGGATATGTCCCTCTTGTTGATCGGACTAGACACATGTATATCTTCCCATGTTGCTAGGCAAGGCTTTCTTGTATCTCGCCGCTCATGCTGAGCCTAGCCAGAGCCAGCATTCCAAGGCAAAGCTGTTGGCATTGCTAGAGAGCTTGAAAGAAATACATGGCCAAGCGAAGCAGTTTATAGATGGCCTTGAATTATGGGACACCGTCGGTAAGATGGAGAGTGGGACGATGAATTTCATAACTGGCCAAACGGAATGAGTTTATAGAAAGGCCAAATCATAGAGGATAAGATAAAGAGGCACTTACCGAGACTTAGATTGCCTGTTTTTTACCCGTTACTATGAGGCTCATAATTACTCTTCTGATTCTCAGCCTTTCCTTTCCCGGTCTAGCTTCCGTCTACTGATAGACTCAATGATATAACCTTCCCAATCAGTATAAAAGGTGCACCTTAAGAGGACAGCTATTACTTCGCTTAGCAATTTAACTTTAATAGAGTTCCTGATGTTAGATACATAGGCTTTTAGCCTTGCTATGATAGTTAATACAGAGAAGTCATCTATGCCGCATTTTCCTCTTTCTAAAACAGCATAATAACTTAGCATAGAAATTATTACTCAGGGGCTAATAGTAGGCCTAGGGTTAGCTATATACTCTAGATCTACAGTAAATACTCTTATCTATATAATATTATCAGAGAGAATATTATTAGAACTACATAGAGAGGAACCCTTGTTAATTTAGTGGCTAGAAAGTTAGATATAATTAGCAAATAGATACTACTATCCTAGGTAAGAAAGATAATTAATAGGAAGCTTAGCTTTATAAAGTATTTTATCTGGAATAATAGATAGCTGTCTTATAACTATATATCTTAACTATTTATATAAGTCTTTTTTTAGAAACCTAACCTCTTAGATACAAGGGGCTTGAGGTAGGAATATTATAGGTATTTAGGAGGATAGTAAATATATAGGTGAACTTGATCTGCAGGCTACGCATAGCTCCAAGGGTTACCAAATCCAGGTTGGATTTAAATAGCATTTTCATGGTAGGAAATTAAAATATATAATACTTACTAGCTCTTTATTATTACTAGTTAAACAGAAGTAGAATATTAAAGATTTAAATAAATATAAAGAGAAGTTATAAAAAGAAGTAAGTAAGTATATTAGGATATCTATATGTAAGAAAAGGACCTAAACTAAGTGGCTTATTATTTACTTTATATACTAAGTTTTATACCCTTATATCTTAATTATTAATATTTAATATTAAAATATTATGATTTAATTATAATATCAAATTTACTTATTCAACTCTTGTATATTTAAGTATAACTATTACACTATTAAGGTTATATATTGTACAGATTTGTAATTAAATAATAGCTGTCAAGGCCTTTTAAACCAGCAACCATGACCTAGTTAGTGGCCAGGCTAAAATACAAGCACCGGAAAGGCCGCTCGAATCGACAGAAGAAACTAACAGTTAAGTGTTGGATGTCCTTTAGTGTAATACTCAAGCACCTGTGTAGGCATGCTAAACCTTTATATAGACGCTCCCGAACCTTATGCCGTAATGGCACAGTTACCAACCATTCTGAAGACAGCCCAGTAGTCCATATTTGGTAAGAACATAATAACCTGGGCCACGCTTCGGGCCAACTTAATACCATTATCGGCCATATACACCAAAGTCTGCAGTATCCAAGCGCGCATTACAGGATCTTGAGTATTTTGTGAAGCTGCATACAATGGAGTCAATACACCTGAGCACTCCAATATCTGCAATGGTGAAAAGGGAAGTGTATTCTGAGACCTGGCACGTGGAAGAATGAATTGAGGCACAGCGGCGCAGATGGCTTGAGCTACTTCTGTGATGGTCTCAGCAACTTCAGAGCTGGGGTCAAACTTCTGAATGATGCTGCAGACATCAAGACGCATGATACGGTATGCGTTGAAGACCTGAGTCGCGTAGTGGCCGGGATACACGTCGTAGTATCGGCCAAAGACAACGGCTTCACTTGTATCTCTCCGCTGTGGCCACCAGGAGCGCGGTATTTTTCCTTCGGCATGAGAGAGCTCCTCATACAAGTCTCGTGCACGCTGCACAATATCGCTCGAATCTAATTTGCCGTTATTCATGTCGGCACGAAGGTTGATAAGACTGATTAAGAGGCCGATAAAGGTCCACTTGGCACTCCGTACGTAGCTGTCTAGATCATTGTAGAGCCCTATCAATGCTTCTGGTATGGGTATTCCTGCAGCACCGCAGCTTAGTGTGAGGGCAATAACGGTCCGGGTGGCGAGTTGTTGAGTCGTCGGATTTGAGAACCCGGCTGTTGGGCGAGACCGGACTATAGAAAGCGCACCCTGGACATGGCTTAACCAAGAGCCTGGGAACTCTGATACTGGGTGAGGCTGATAAGCCATCTTCTCGTAAAGATCTAGGAGGAGTACGGATTGAAGGGTTTCGTCGGTGAGTGATTGGTTGGCTGCATTATTTGCTTGCAGCGAGGACCGCATCACAATTCCAAGGCTTCGTATGGCTGCCAAGTAACGTTGGTTTGCAAGAAGTACCAAGTCTTGACGATTCAGTTGGTATGCCATGAAGGCCAAACTGACAGCGTCAACAGAGACTTGTAGATGCCCATTAGGAGCTGAATCCGTCAGCAGGGACTGCAAGGTGTAGAATCCACATGAGTAGGTGTCGATGTAAAGGGAGAGGAATGCATTCCGAGACGATGTATCGGGACTGAATTGGGGTGTGGAGGGCAGCCAACTGGCCGTTCGACGGGCCAATACCTTTTGCACGGTGTTTCGAGTCTCGTCACGGAAAACCAACTCGTTCGAGCTGCGATACCCGTGACAGGTTAGCTTGGCTCTGCGGCATTGGGAACAGCCGGTAGGAACTAAATCGCACTGCGCAGCTCACGTCAGCATTGTATCATCACAAACTAAGTATACGCAACAGGCTTTTCAGTGAAGCCAGGATCCTTACGCGAATCTTCCTCCTTCTGCAGGGAGCACAATCCCTTGAGGGGCGACCATGGAATACCATAATGCAGGGTTCAGCTGGGCTATGATTCACTAGCCATCAATGTGATTTTTATGCCGATGTGTGTTTGAAACATGGTGATCGAGGGTTTTGCGAGCGCTATGTTCGCCCTAAGCCACTGATCGGCTCTCTCCAGCCAGTGGCTTGCTAATCAAGATGACGATAATCGGCGATATTTTCTCCGGCTTTCACGGAACGCTAACTCTTTAAGGCAAGGTGGCATATCCAACAAGTAGTCCAACTCCGCACATCAAATGTTAATTGACACAACGACAATAAGGTCTCGGCCCAATTCTCATCAAACCAGATCAGAGGACAAGAAGCAACATCTCGGCCTCCGCCTCGTGGACTTTGTAAGTCACGTCTCTTTTCTTATAGCCTAACCTGTTAAAGCAACAGTTCCGTCACAAAAATTAGACCAGTGAGTCGATGCTGGGCAAGGTTCCAGCTTTGTAATCCCTCTACAGCATGCTTCAGCCCGTATCATATATTGCGGACCCAATATAGATGATCGAGATGGAAAGCCACATGTATATATAGTCGCCTTGAGCTCGCTTGATGCGGCGTTGGTCTAGTCAAGAGACTGAATACAGCATCGCACTACAGTGCTGCCTCTTTAATCCTCAATTCCTAAAACGTCCGATAATGAAGCTGATTGTCACTGGCGCAAACGGCTACGTCGGCAGCGAAATTATTCGCCAAAGCCTGAAGCTGCCTCAAGTCACCAGTGTCGTTGCTGTCTCGCGAAAGCTTGTATCCCCTCCAGCTGGTACTATCCCGACGCGTTTCGAGTCTGTTGTGGTGCAAGACTATGGAACCTATCCTGATCACGTAAGAGATGCATTCCGCGGTGCAGATGCTTGCATCTGGTAAGTCATCTTCCACCTTGTCAAGCCTCTCAGCCCGAGATCTCGGCTTAATTATTTTTACAGGACCGTTGGTATAACGCCTATGGTTTATCGGTCGCTGGATCCTGCGCAAGCACGCAAGATTTGCGTTGATGATACATTTGCCGGCCTTCAAAACATGGTCAAGTCCTCGACGAATAAGCCATTCCGCTTCCTGTACATGAGTGGCGCCGATGCGGAGACGGATCAGACCAAGACTCCGCCAGTTATGCCCGAATACTTTCTCATGCGGGTGGGTTCTAGTCTGAACATCAACTGGACTACAACTAATTTAGACACAGGGCGAAGTTGAGAATCAGGTGATGGGCTTTGCAAAGCAGCATCCCGACGAGGTTGTAGCATGTGTAGCGAGACCTGGGTTTATCATTGATCATTCTACGGACGTCCAAGCCTTAAAGTCTCGCATGCAGAAGGATGTCACTGTGATCAGAGTTGAGTCTGTTGCGGCTGCCCTTTTACATCAGGCCCTGAATGGATTCGACAAGGAGATTCTGTGGACTGATGACATGAGGTCATTTGACGAGACTGGTTGATTAGTACCTACCTCTGGCATTTGTAGCCAACAGATCAACAGTACCTGTGCTATAGAATGTCTGTTGCTTTTGTTATTAAACAGTTGTGGCAACAGAATTACGTTATGCAGCCTGAAGTGTTCATCTCATAAGTGTTGCTTCGCCCTTACCTCGCAACAGAGATGCAGACTAAGTAGCTTAGCAAATATTGCAGAGGGTCATCCTGTTATAATGCTCTTTCTTTCGGGTGATCTGCAGAAAATTGATTGTGGTTTCTCTTCAATGACTTCTCAAGGTATAATTGCCAATACCCGAGTAACAACTGCGGTCAAAGCTTTAGCCATCTGAGTCAATGATTCAAATTTAATTAATACCCAGGTCGCTATTGTAATCTCTTAGTAACCATGATTAAGTATTCAAAATCTTAAAAGTCTCGGGATAACTAATGTAATATTAATAAACTGATTTCTGGTAAGGGCATGGCAGCAAATCTAAGGTTACTGTTGGTATAGTTTATACTTCTTCAAAAAGATTACTAGATTGGGAGACTTGTGATACTATAAAACATGGCATTATATGCTGCCTAACTTGCTGCCAGGGCCTGAGTAAGTTTCATACCCTTCCACCGACCTTTCCAAGCAACTAACGATCAACACTTGAAATCTCTTTCGGTTCATCAGGAGGAACGAGAAATAATCCCAGTCTGTTAAGCTATGGATATTCGCTTGCTTCTGTGGCTGCTCCTTGCTGCGGGGCTTCTAACCTATGCTTAGACAGACCGTAGTGATGTATGTGAGAAGTCGGATGTCTTTTTGAGGCTTTGTTTTGCATCAAGGACAACTCGGCCGATGAAAAGATTATAAGTATTGTGGAATGGGTAGCCAAGAGAAAGGTTGTCAGTATGGCGCAAGTGGCGAAGGCCTAGGCTCGCTCTAAGGGAACAATTCCCATATTCGGCACCGAGATAACTGAAAGAATCGACCACGTAATCCAAGATTTGTTTGCAAATCTTGCTGAGGCAGACATTCACGAGCTTGGAGTTACATCTATCCCAAGAGAAATTAATGGATATTGGTGACGTCTCCTTTCCAAGATGATTCTTTTTCTCTTCTTTGAATTCGAAAAATGATCATATATACTTTGTTTTCGTCTGCTAAAGATTATGATAACATAAAGCTTCCATGATGCAAGAAAGTTCAGCAACTTATCGTCCTGTCGCCGCTGTGAGGATGAAAGAGTCTGACCACCAATACGAGGCTAATATCAAATCAACGCTGCGCCTCGCCCACCATGCGATCTTCCGAATCGTCCTAAACCATTGTGAGCGGGTTGGGAATTGCCGATGCGGGCTGGTCCTGGGAGTTAGATAAGGATTGTTAGCATACAGTAGAGTAAGCGACAACCGGCTAATGCACTAAGCTTTCTCCACCTATAATCCGGCACCTGTCCCCGCATCCAGCATAAAAATAAGGCCTACTGCAACTGGCTTACGCACCAAGTTTGCTCTATTACAGTCTGGCATCTGTACCTATCCAGTATCCCGCCCAGGCCGACTGCAGCTGGCTTACGCACTAAGCTGTCCGTCACCTGGCCTGCATGCGGCATAATATTCAGTCCGACTGCAACTGGCTGATGCACAAGTTTTCTCAACTCCTATAACTCATAGAAGTTTAGCATATATAGCTACACCCAGAAGTAGCATTTTCCATTTGTTCTTACCCGTATCCCACTACCCAAGTTGTATTCTCTTTGCCTTCCAATTGACCTTTCACACCGACGCGAAAATGACCGACTTTTACAAATCAGTCCATGAAAATCCCAAAGGCCCTGGCGACGCCCGACCTACAGCTGTCCAAATTATTCAAGATGAGAAACTTGAGGGGAAACTTTCCAGCCAAGTCGTCTTTATCACAGGATGCTCCTCTGGCATCGGTGTCGAAACAGCAAAAGCGTTGTATCTTACAGAAGCGCAACTTTACCTTACTGCCCGAAACTTGGCGAAAGCTAAGAAAGCCCTTGGGTATTTGATAGATGATCCCCGCGTTCATCTGTCGGAATTAGACCTGGAATCGCTAGATAGTGTACGTGCCTGCGCTGCCACGTTCTTATCTCGCAGTAGTTCTCTCAACGTCCTGATCTGCAGCGCCGGTGTGATGACACCACCGGAGGGCCGCACTCAGGATGGATTCGAGATACAATTCGGAACAAATCACCTTGCCCATTTCCTTCTGTTCAGTCTACTTCGCCCAGCATTACTGGCCGGCACAACACCCGAGAGGGCTTCACGGGTAGTTATCGTTGCCTCCGTCGCGCATCGCTTTGGGGCAGTTCATTTTGATAACATCAACTTTGAAGGATGTTATGATGCCATGGCAGCATATGCACAAAGCAAGACTGCCAATATCTGGATGGCCAATGAAATCGAGCGCCGCTATGGTGAACAAGGCATCCATGCATGGAGCCTCCAACCTGGCTCCGTCTTGACTGATTTGACGAGGCACTTCTCTGATGATCAAAGAGATGGGATTATGTCGGATCCATATCTCAAGTCAATCAACAAGTTTCCAGACCAAGGTGCAGCCACTAGTGTCTGGGCCGCCACAGCTGCCGCTCTAGAGGGCGAAGGCGGTCGATACCTGGAGGATTGCCAAATCATTGGCCCGTGGAGTCCGTCGTTACCACTGTGGGGACCTGGCTACGGTACCCATGCTTACGATGTTGAGCAAGCACAAATGTTGTGGGAAAAGTCTCGCCAATGGGTGGGATTGTGAATGTCAAGCACGTATGCATCAGGGACTAGTTAGGATGGACAGAGTTGTATACCAGCTTCTGGAATATGAAACTTTCATTAGTCAACAACGTGCCTCGAAGATAAGGTGCTGGAACTAGGTTCGACTTCAGTGATGTATGTGTATAGCGGCGCGTCACGACCGCATCACGAAGAAATTTGAACCGAGCTGCAGCATCATTTTATCTGCTTCAATTACCCTTGGTGGTGTCTGCCAATGCCAGCCAGCATGGGCATACCAGATTGACACGCTTGGTTCTTTGCCTCAATATTCAGTTGCTTTCGATCTCTCACCCTTACTAGAATCTTAACCTCTCCCTCTTCGTTCTTTGCATATGCACCACTGTCAACTTTCTCCCCGATGAGACTTTCATTTAGTAGATGAGAAGTATTGATCACGTTCAGTTTCCTGTAGTCTAACAAAACCTTTTCTTAAAGGCATAACTAGATCTTCTTTATTGTAGTATGAATGTGATCGATTCACGATTGTACTTGCTTATACTTAGAAGTCTGCACTCTGGGCCATTTCCCTCACCCCTGCCAAGTTCTCTTCCAGCGACTCGATCTTGCCTTGAACTGTTTCCAGAGCTCCAGACCCTAAGGGCAGTCTCAAGAACTCATTAGACCCTTTGGCTGATCCTTCGCCCAACGCGTAATCAACAATTATTGTGGCAGCCTTGATTGGGTCTCCTGGTCGGTCTCCATGGGAATCTTTAAGGTGATTCAATGTGGTTTCAGTGCTCGTGCCTTTGTAAAACGAGCTCATCGGACGGATGACGGCCGCATTTCCACCCAAGAAATTGGTTCGAAAAGGGCCAGGTTCAACCAGAACAATTTTAACGTTGAAGTCGCGGTATTCGTGCCAAACGGCCTCAGTGAGGCCTTCCAGGGCATGTTTTGACTATGCGTATAGGCTGACACCAGGTAAAGATCTCAGACCGCCCGTTGATCCAATGTTGATCACAATACCGGACTGCCGCTCGCGCATCCCAGGTAACACGGCCTTCATCATCTTGAAAACCCCAAAGACGTTGGTCTCATACTGGGCCCGGAGGTCGTCCTCGCTGAGAATACATTAATAATTGTCATCAGCCGCTCGAAGATGCCCTACCTTAGATCCTCGAATCCTCCACTGAGACTAAATCCAGCATTGTTGACAAGTATGTCAATTGTTCCATATAGTGCCTTGGCTTTGTCAACCACGCTCGACAAATCGGGCGCTGTCACATCCAAGGCAATCCATCGACCGCCCTTTGACTCAATCTCTTGAACGAGATCTTCGTTCTTCTTGGGATTCCGGGAGGTCGCAATAACTCGGTGTCCCTTTGTGAGGGCTCTGCGGGCTATCTCTAGCCCGAACCCTGAAGAGCATCCGGTGATCAGCCAAACGGGGCAAGACATTTTGACTCAACGTGGGGCTGCGAACTGGGAAGCAAGCTATAGCAGGACATTCGTTTAATATTTAGATGACGAAGTCGACTCGGCCGAAGGTTACATCTATACTTGGATAGCTGTGATGATGTAATTGATGTCCACCTGTTGCTATCAGTGCAGTTGGGCACGCTGCGCCAGAATGTTGCATTCTGGCCAGACTTTCCGTTAGTCGCGTATAAGCGCCGTGTCCCACTGGCTTCTAGTGGCCCTCTGATGAACTTTGTTCTGTAATTGGCTCGCGTAGATGCCGGACCTGGAACTCCACAGACCGTTCATCTTCAGAAGCCTCATTTGAACTTCTTCGCCGTTCTACCCGAATCCGCCATGTCTCGCTAGCTTCTTGATCCATGGAAAAGCTAAACTAGTGCGTAAGCCGGTTGCATCTGGCCGGATGCCGGATCTCGAGTGAGTGGCATGCGGAGTATCATGAGTGGGGTCGAGTGGGAGGTATCCTACTTTTCAAACTTTCAAGTGCAAGGTCCATCCGGACTTGTTATCAAACTGCTAGTGAAGCCAAGGGTTCAGCTAACTTTGTCATCGCCATTCGCACGTATGCCGGAGAGTCGAATACAGCTTTGGCGCACCACCCCACTCTCTGAGCTATTATCGTCTTACACAAGAACCTTAGATAGGGGTAATCCTTGGGAGCTGTTTGAGTTGATTGGATCAGGGGTGCAATTGTCGGTTTCACGGGGAAAGAGATGAATCGGTACAGCTTGACAATCCCCTCACTAATCACGTATTGTACGACAAAATTGAAAATCCATAAAATTGCTAGACACATTGATAAAAGCGTCAACCTGGACTTTTCAATTAAAGCCTTGAAGTTTCAGGCGGGCCCAAGCTTGTCTCTGGTAGCCTGCCCTGAGTAGCTAAGACGATTTTCTCCAGATACACCTCTGGAGAGTTGACTTGCCATCGCAAAATGTGTTTACCTGGGCTGAGGCTGCCTAGCTGTAGCGTCCGCGTCCAGACACCGTTCGCAACCTCGGCATTCCACTCAGGTAGAGTATCACCAGCTTTTTCTGGCGTCCCAAGGATCTTGAAGAAGTCATTTGCGGGTTTGCTCTCATTTTGAAGACTGAGAGAGCATAGCATGGGCTTATCGGCACGGGTGTCGAGCGCGCCATTGATGTATATGGTGGCATTGACGGCAGGCCGCGTGGCATTTCCCAGAATAAAGATGTCATACTCCAACCAAGAAGCTTTTGAATCGCTTTCGGACTCTATAGCGGCTTGGTAGGGTCTTAGAGCAACGGATCCAGATTCGGAGCGGCTGGCCAGTCTTGGCATAACCCTGAATCCAATGTTTCGACCAGTATCCTGCGTTAGGGACGACCGTTGATAATGGGGCGCCTCGATTGAGATGATGCCATCCACTTCAGGAAAACCTGCAAAATCCTTCGGAGCCCGTATGTTGATGACAGGCAAGTGGACGTCGTCGAAGTGGGCAGGAGGCCCATAAAACACTCGTAGCTGGACCGTTTGATTATACGTAGCCGGGACCAATTCCCAATTTATACTGATATGAACTCGTTCTTCGGGCTTCGAGCCTGAGACCTCCCCTGATACCTGGGAAACATTGATCCAAGGTTCTGGCACGCTGATGGACCATCTTATGGGTCTCCGGTGGTCGCCACGGTGGAACAAATCTATCCATCGGAAAGCAGGGCCATGAGGCTCCATAGGCCGCATCACGGGCGACAAACCATCCTTGGTAGGTTTTGAAGGGTTGATGGAAGCGCAGATACGGCCTTGAAGATACGGAGCTCGCGACTGCTCGACGTAGATGCCTAAATTACCGAAAGCGTAGTCAAAATCTTGACGAAGCTGTACAAAGGACAGGTTTGCCATGACATCTCTGGAAGATGGCCGCCAGTCGGCGGTGCTCATATCGAACTTTGGAGTGGACATGATGCCTCTCCATTTGCCGTCGGCAATGGCGTCATATTCAATAGTGAGGTCATGGTCATACTCGAAGCGCTCGATGAGATCATACGCAATTGCATTAGCAGAATTCCGCCGCTCAAAGCTATATTGACGGTTTTTGCCCTGCCCGATGAGAATAGCGTGATAATTGTAGCCAGCGACGGCGGCATATGTTGACGAATGGAAGAATGCATCGCGATGTGTTTGTGGCAAGCTGGCCTCAATCGCTCTGACTCTGTCACCTAGAGCTTTCCACGCTCCAAGAATGCGGTCAGCTTCCTCATAATTGGTTATCGAATACGTAGTTGGCTCAAGCATCTCGAATTTCCGCATGCCGACCAGGTGACTATATGCCAGCCAGGCAGAAGCAATAACTTCGGAATGCTCGAGACTAAAGTCACGGGCAGCTAGGGACTGAAGATAATCGGGCAAAGAATCCAGATCAAAGCGGGTGGCGTTCCACGCAAGATCCATGGCCATATTCAGTGGGAGTTCGACTGGCTTTATATCACCAACATTGAAGACCCAGACGCGATTCGCCCCTGCCTGCGCGGCTTGGAAGAGTTCCTTGTATATCTTGGGCTGTAGTCCTCTTCAGTTAACCGGAATATAAAATTGCGGATCAGCGCTTATACTCACTAGATTGTTGCAGTTCTGCCACTTCCAGCTCTTTGGACGGCCAACATATTCGAAATGGTAGTACATCTAGGATAGAATATAAGAGTCAGATGAAACATGTTAATGAGGCGACCGAACAGACTTAAAAAGGGGGGAGACGTACTCCGATACCACCCGATCTGTCAAGTTCCTTGGCGTTTGGAAGCTTCTGAACATTACCCCAGTTATCGTCCGTGAACATCAGTGTGACGTCTTCAGGTGGCTCAAGACCAGCTGCGTAATAAGTTGCAACCTCCTTGTAGATAGTCCAGATTTCTGCGAGGCGCCGATGTCAGTACGGACTTTACCCAAGGAAATCGGGAAGGACGGCATACGTCGAGCAGCCGTTTCGTTTCCGTAGAAGCTGGCGAGAATATTTCGTTGGACAGTAAAGACTTCTCTCAAAACAGCTATGGGATCATCGGCCTGGATAGGCCCATCGTTCTCTCCACGCATGCCGAGGGTGAAGTATGTGTCGTTCCCGCCTGCTCTTCGAACACCTTCGCGCATAAATTCGACGACATTGCCCTTATTAGCGACCCAGTCCCAAGCCCCATTCTTACTTTGCTTCCATTCATTCGATGCTCTTTGCATGGGTTCATGGTGGCTTGTTGAGACGACGATACCATAATCGTTTGCCAAAGCCATGTTTCCAGGATCGTCTGTAAAGAAGATGCGGCCAGGAGCTGGAACAAAACTTCCCCACATAGCCGGCCAAATGAGATTGGCTCTTAGGCGCAGCAGGAGGTCAAAGACGCGCTCGTAAAACTCGGAATCCAAGGTGTAGTCTTCTCGGCGTGATCGTTGAGCCCACCAACTCGTCAAGGCTGGCGCCTCGTCATTAATAAAGATACCTCTATATTTGACGGTGGGCTCGCCAAACGTGAGCGTCTTGTTGATGGCGTAGATTTTATCATGCTTTTTCGCAGGCACATCATTCCACCAGTATAGACTATCGCGTAAATTAGTAAGTTATAGCCAAAGGGGCGCTATCAGTCCAGTTAGTTCCAGATGCTTACGGTGATTGGCCACTCTGTTCAGACAAGGTGAAGATGCCGAAGAACACAGCTCGCATGTCGCTTCCTGCAATTACCAGGGCGTTTTGGACGCCTGGCAATGGTTGCGCCACAAGAGTCGTTTCAAACGTTTCCCATTTGCCCCGGATGCTGCTCAAGTTCAGTTTCCTTGAACTCTCCAACTGTCGCATCAGCGGGGAATCAACCGTCGCGGCAATGATAGCTGATTCTGACGCAACTTTTACCTCACTAGTCGTGCTGTTATCGCCTGCCCAGGCCCTCACTGACGGTCGTGTCCCAGTGATCTGCTCAAAGTCATCTGCTAGGCTGCCAACGGCAATGGCGATGCCAAAGGGATCGGAATCGTCGCGCAAAATGACGGCATCCTGAATCTCTATTGCACCAATTGAAGGTTCAAATGCGACAAGAGTCTCCTCGAATCCGGCGAGGGCCCCTGGAAAAGACTGATAGCACTGAAAAAGCAGTAGCGTAGTTAGGAAATTCTGGAAGTAGGCCATTTCGAATAATCCTCAGTCGGAATGACGTTCGTGATTGAATGATACATGTATCTCCCTACCAGTGGTTCGGCTGCCAGGAAGGCTAGCAGGAAGTATTGATATATTTTACAGATCCTTGGCAATGATGATTACCATAAAGGGTCGGTACGATGGTGCGGGATAGATGAACATAAAAGTAATCAGGCGAGAAGCCGATTCGGAGAGGCCTCGCGACTTATTAGGCCGAGCCACCTTAAAGAAGCCTTGGGGGCGATTAGTGTCCTGTGGGGGCTCACTGCAAGAAGGTGATAGTGAAGCGAATCCTAGTTTACAGATGGCCACTTGTACAACCCTGCATAGTCTCTGCCATCACCACTGTGGCTGATAGACTGGCGATTCTGCCTCGGTCCTTTGCACTATGACAAACTGCCCCTGACGGTCAGTTCGCCGATAAAGAGGCTTTGCAATGGTGTTGCGGAAACTCATCACAGCAGAACATTTTCTACCAATGTACATACCTTCTTAGACTATCACTTTACGGATCAGCTTTGGTAATCGAAGACAGCAATGGAGAGTTTTAAGTGCTCAAATATATACCAGGTATACCCATGCGCACGTCTAGCTAGGTGCTGCATCCTCCACCCAAGGTGAGCACCACAAATAAGACCATAAGATAGGATGTCGCTGCCCTCGCGCTCACTCATCCCTGGTTGCGAATTCACCGTTCTCGAGCCTCTCACTCAAGATGAAATTTGGCTTGAAGAAGCAGGAAAGGTCTTTGCGCCGTCCTAGTAAAAGATCTACTACTAAGCGGCATCGCGTTCTTGTACGGTTGGCCTTATACCAAAAGCATTAGTATATTGGCTTAGTAAATTGCAATAGGGTTGTACTGGTGAGGCTGACTATGATAGATGCTGTAATGATATCAACAATGATTAATCTGTAACTAATACAATAATAAAATTCAAGAAAGGTAACTATTAATAGGTTGGTCAACTATTGAATTAACCTTTTGCAGAGTTTACCAGTTCTGATCTGATAATCCATTATACCTGGCTTTCTTCCTTTTGTCCGCCCCGGCCTAGGGAAATTCGATAGGTGCTCGGCATATCATTATGCCAATGGTAATGGATTAGAGATGATGCCTACTTTCTGAGCCATTTTTACTTTGGGGGCAGTGCAAGGTTTTACTGTAGAGCTACGAAGGGCTTGAGGCGTTTTGTATGGCCACACTGGGATCCCCGCACTTTGAGATGTGGGGGATCATCGGACCTGCAGATACCGCTGGCGATCAATCAGTGCTACACGAATGTGCAAAAGCTAATTGCACTACATCTACTTTTGATATCCACGATGTTTTGTACGCTGGCATTAGCGGGACGATTCAGTCTAGTTATATTGCTGAGTTCCAATGCAGCGGATCGCAGAACGGCTGTGATGTATCAGCATGGACAACATTGAATTGACGAATAGTGCGGTTAATCCACCTGTAGAAGCTTCCAAGTACAAATGCAGCAATGTAAATGATCCTGTGGATTTTAAATGTATTTAATAATGGTGGGGTGTCCTAGGCCTGATCACGAACTTGTGTATCTCAAGGGCTGTGATAGCGATATTGTCTGATAACCCGATACGCTTAACTCAATTATTCGCCACGATGCAGGTTCCTCCTACAAGAAATGTTCTTATATAAAATATATCAACCGCCTAGCTTGCTGTGGGTGAGCAATGGTTTAGGTATCAAGTGGCTAGCCTTGCCATCCCGTTATTGAAACGAGAGGGCAGCAAGACAAGGCGCAGTAAGGCGAGTCTGTTAAGTGTTCATATATTGGCTTAGAAGTCATAACTGTTTCTACACCTGTTTCCATGGTGCATAGTAACGGTCTGTCTCATTTTAAGAATCTGACATCTAGTCATAGTATGGCAATAATGTAACGTTTATAGGTAGCACACTGAATGCTTCTCAACACACAATTGCAGTCTATTCAAATACTGCAGCTCACTCAATACAGCATACGGGCCCCAAGGGCTCCCTCTCCAGCATGGTCAAACTGCAAATCTCGATACACTTAACCAGCACACTGACTATACAATGACACCGATTCTGAGGTCGACTCGGCCAACAACCATCATTCCACCTGCTTTGCAATTGCCGCAATGAGTCCAGAGAAGCGCAATTCCAGATCCTCATTCAAGCCTTTCTGATACTCTTCCGGCAGTGGACTCCCCTTTGAGCTCCAAATGAAGCGGGTCTTGTTCGGCCCAATGAATTCCAGCGCGGTTGTTCCGAATGCGATCATGTCAGGGTAATCAGGTCTTCGAACTCGGAATGTCATGGAGTAATTCGGAGCGTCGACTTCAGTCAGCTCTTCGGAGAACTCGTAGCGCTGCCCCTTCTGTGGCCCAGCAGGATACTCGTAGCTGAACCTGCGGACGCTACCTATGCCGAAGCCCTCGAGACTGAGCTTGATGCATCCCGGATACCAGGCCTTCTCAGCCCCGAAGCCTCCCAGGATACCCCAGACTTCGCCGATTGGGGCGTAGATGTCGCGGGTGACAGTATGGTACGGGACGAGCTCTTGGTTTTGGGACATGGTTGCAATGTAGGAGAGATAGAGGATGGTAGAATATGTGCAGAATATGATGGTTGTAGTGGTTCTTGATGAAGTGTGACTGTTGATGCTGACGGTATCGGGTGACGCTTATATAGATGTTCCTTGAACAAAACCTTTTCCTTCGGTGCCCACTTAATGGCTTCCTCATAACTATCGTGTTAAGTCCCCATGACCAATGTCATTATACTAATGGAAGCCTCCAGAACCAGATGAAACCGTTCACTGCGTACCAAGATACACAAGGTTTGCGCGGTGAGTTAATTTCAGCCGAGTTACAAAGAATGGACCGAGTACCACGCCCCTTACAACGATATCGGAGCTATGACGCGGAAAAGAGTAGATTTCACTGCAAGTAACAGGCAAGGCCATGACTAAGGGTTCTATTGTCCGACCCAAACCAGCTAGCGTTCCGTTTGCTGTAGATCCGGGGAGACCCGGACGAATGAAATGCCACGATTGATTCAGAGTTTCCAGATCTTTCATTTGTCAGCTTCTCAGATCGTGCCTTTTCTTGACGGAACGCTAGCTCGTTTCGACATCGGATATGCGGCTGTCAATGCTTGAGATCGTACTTCGGATGTTAAGCCTCGATGTTGTAGCTGCCTGAAGAATAATAATTAAAGTCGAGATGACAACGCATACACGCTGTGCATCTATAAAAGATGGCCTATGAATGAAATAACAGTTGGTTTGCTACCATCGTATTATATCTCGTCCAATATATTGCTGTCACAACTATTCTCCTTCATCAACCATTCAACTTCTCACTATGCTTGTCCTTGTCACTGGTGTCACTGGCAATCTTGGCCTGCATCTAATCGACAGCCTCTCCTCCCGTGGGCACAAGGTCCGAGGTCTTGGTCGATCTCCTGATAAACTCACGGAGGAGCAGCGGTCGAAGCTTGAGAGTTTTGTCAAGATCAAGAATTATTATGATGTCGATGCTCTGGATCAAGCCTGTAAAGGGGTTGATGCTGTCATCTGTGCCTATGCAGGAACTCCTGTGATGCACCTCGATGCCCAGCTCCTCCTCCTACGCGCCGCTGAGCGAGCTGGCGTTACTCGCTTTCTTGCTGCGAGCTGGAATTGCGACTGGAGACAGCTTCAGCTTGGCATGCATCAGAGTTATGATGCTTGCATCGCCTTTTATCAGCAGGCCAAGCTGACCTCAACCATCAAGCCCATCTGGCTCTTGACTGGTGGCCTGACCGAGGTCTATTTTTCTGTTCCTGGTCACGGAAACTTCTCTCCTGCCTACAACGGTCCATGGGACCCAGAGAACAAAACTGTAGATATCTGGGGAACTGGCCACGAGAAGTGGGACTTGACCACGGAGAAGGACGCTGCCGAATTCTCCGCCGCCGTTGTTGAGCGTGACGACGCCGCTGAGGGAGGATTTTGGGAATTACACTCTGGTGCCTATTCGCCCCGCGAACTTGCAAAGATCTACAAAGAAGTCAGAGGTATTGAAATCACCTTCAAGGAGCGGGGTTCTCTTGATGATCTCAGGAAACTTGCCTACAGCATGAGAGAGCAAAAGCCATATAACGACTACTATGGCTTCATCGGCCTTTTCTACCAGCTATTCCAACTGGATGGCACTTATTCGCTCAAGAACCTTGACAACAAGAAACTGAATGTCAAGACTACTTCAATGGAAGAGTTCCTCCGACAGAATCCCGACATTTAGATCTCGACTATCAATCAAAGAGTTAGTAGATAAGGTTTCTGAAAGAAGTATTTTAGTCATATAGAAGAATAGAATGAGGTTCTGTTAAGGACTAGTTTACCTAAATGGAGTTGTCATTAGATACCTGCCCTGGTCTAGAGAACCTCGCCCTACTATTACCAGTTCAACTCGTGGTATGGTGATAGAAGTAAATATCCCTTGTTAATGTTTAGATTCTTAGTATTCTATTTATATTATATGAGGATTTATAATTAATAAACATAAGTATATATATATAATACTAGAAATTTCTTAATTTAGGCTATAAATCTACTATATAAGCCTTGTAATCTTCTAGTTATTGATACCTTTCAGTTACAGTTAGCATCTTAATATCCAGTGCAGTATATACCTAATACCTTAAAATAAGAAATAAGAGAAACATAGGCATTTAAGCCCAAGTCGCAGTAATGATTTAACCAAGTCTGATCTACAGGCATATTTCAACAGCAGAAACAGCCTATTTGGGATGCAACCAACATGTCCCAGCTTTCTTCAGTTTTGATACTTAAGGCTTAGCTTGACTAGAAATAGGCCATCACTATCGGCCATGTCCACCTTGGCCCTCAACCATGCCAATTGCACCGTCTCTGGGCTTACATCCCGTCTAGATGATACATTAATGTACGATGTATCAGACTCTTCCCAGTTGATCTGGTATCCTGTATGGTCTGTACCCGTTCCAATGTTCCTGTGTACTAGCGAACACCATGGATGTCGATACCACCAGCGTAGCGAGGGCACATATATAAGCTTTACACCCAGTACTAATGAGACAGACCTCATTTCAGCTGTCTTTGGGTCGATGTGAATAAATCCCTCTACTCTCGAAGACTCTTGCCTTTCCGAATCCACGTAGGGATCGTCATCGTCGACTGAAGGAATAGTACGGTGCCTGGAATCTAAACCCCTATCATTGACATGTTGCCCTAAGGTGTCTGTGTAATATCGCAACTGCAATATTCTGTCGGTATCATACCAACGGCCTGCTGGAAATCCTGAAATTGAGAATCGACGATGGTCGAAGCGAAACCTAAAACCCAAAGGAATGGGATACTGCGGACAGTAAGGCACTGAGATCGTTTGTAGAAACCACGGCTCGGAGTCTTGCCAGTATGTCTTCCATAAAAGAGTGCACGTGCCTGTAACAAGTCAGAAACAGTTTATATGAGTAGGAAGCTCGTAGTTTGAGGGATTTTCGACGTACTGATGAAACTTTTATGCCACGTTTCTGAAGGAGAAGAGCCTCCGTATAAGGCATTATAAGCATAGCCAGTCATGGGACTATCCTTGACCGAGACCCTGCCGATAAAATGGGGATTAATTCTTGCAAGTGTAGTATCACCCTGTCCATCTTGTGGGCTTAACTGCATCATATCGATGCACGCCCAAGAATCAGAGGAATAACCAGACTCGCCTGGAGCACGCATCTGACAATCCAGAACCGCCGAATAGAAAGGCTTACGAGAGTTCACAGCTTCGTCTTTGAAACCCGTGCCCGGCTGGAACGAGAAACTCCAATATCGCTCGGAAGATCTTGATTCTCGCAGAAGGACTCTGACCTCCAACCTTCTGTTGATTATCTTGATAACTTGCGTTCTTCGATGGATGGGTGTAAACAAGGATACCAGCTTCCCGGTCTCCTTAAACGCGAGAGGAGAGGGCGCGAGTAGCCCATACAGTCCCCTTCGCTCTGCTTCCCCATTAGGGATTGTCCAGGCGAAGATGGATTGGTCGCCAGTCTGGGTGATGATCTGCTCTTGAAGACGAATGAATGCTTCATCTCCCTCACCATACAGCAGGGGCATATTGACCGAGAAGATACCCATCAAGCAATAGGCCATATCTTCTTTCCGTGTGGTCTTACGTTTTGAAGCCCAGGACATTTTGCGTGCCACAGACAAAAGGTCAAGGTTACCTCCTGCGAGAATGGTCTCTTCAATGCCTGTAATGCTGGAGATTAAAGGTCGTAGTGTAACCTTGGTGCCAAGAGGGTTCCAGTCGCGAGAAAAGAAGATGACGCTTTTTGGGGCGATGAGTTCCTGAAGTGTCCAGCCCCGATGGAACCATTCACTTCCTCTAAATTCGTACTCGTCAAAATCACATAGGTTGCGTTTCGGGAACGGATCGGTGTCCAATCCTAGTATAGTGGATGCAGGGGGCGAATACTGACAAACGGATTAGTGGCTGGCTAGAATGTCGCTCGTCACCTTACCTCGGGTCGATATTGGACGTCTTTTAGGTATGCATAACACACGGCAGCCTTCTTGTACCATGAATACATGGAGTTGATTGCTTCCGAGAGTTCTGAGCTGCTTGACTTGTTGATGCAGCATGTATCAATCCAGATATACTCGTAATTATCGGACTGGGCCAGGGAACAGGCACCCCTGATTTTGGCAAAGCCATGTATTGTGAGTGGGTTTCGCAGATCTCGGATCTCCTCAAAGGTAGCCTCCCGATCATCCCACCTGTGTGATAGAATGGCATAAGGGGGAACTTCCTCGTTGAAGTGCTCAGAAAGACGATATGACTTAGTATGAAGGAGTCTCATTTTACCAATCGTGAAATTGGTGATCATTCAAAGTGCTACCTTGTTGATTAAAGAGGGGTAGAAAACACAGTTCAACTTGGCGGCTATACAGCGTCAGTGACTAGACGGTTTAGGTATCTTGGCTCCAAAGCCTCTTCCTTGCATGCATAAGCAAAATTCTCCACCGGGCCCAAGCAGATCAGATCATGTACTATGTGATGGATTACTTAGTAGAACGATTGGGTAATAGTGTAAGCTTATATTAAAGCTATACTACAATGTCTAAGGCCGAGGGAAGTTTGCAAGTTTTAGCCCTGTGATTTCCTCTTGGGCTGTATGTATCAAGGGCTCAATAAGCCCCTTGAGGCGACAGTTATGCCTAACAAGAGTCGCAGGCTGTTCTTCGCTCTCGACCACTGTGGGTTTGGGTACAGCACTGGAGCTAGCATTGCTACCAAACAAACTACTTCTCTCCCGAGGAGTGCTACTACTCTGAGACAAAGGGGTCCCAAAGAGACCACCGGGAGGTTGAGGAGGGCCACTGAGCTTGTGAGTGTCTTGAGGAGTAGTAGTGCTCTGAGGCGCAGGACTGAAAAGACCTCCAGCCACGAAGCTCGCGGATGTATTATCAAGATTCCATCTACCAGAGTAGTTGAAGAGAGGCCCTTGGTTCTCCGGTCCAAAAAAGGCTGGCGACTGCACGATTGCCAACGATGCGAGAACCGCGCCGGGGGATAGCTTAGGGAATGGCGATGACGGGCGGGGGTAGATGCCTGAGTTCTTCATCCCTTGCAACAGACTTCCAAGTAGCATGGCTCGGCATGCTTCATTGCAACCCACTTTGCCTGCAAGGATCTTGGTCTGTAGATTCTCCAACCCATCAAGAAGACGCTGCAAAATGTCGATTCTGGTGCTTTGGATTTTATCTGACACTGTCAGTTGAGGTAACCTTCTTTCACTATCCAACTTACCAGAAACATCTGCCCGGATTGGCAATTCATATGTCGATATGACATCAATGTTGTGTCTTATAGCCATTTTGGTGTAGGTCTCGAAAAGCGACGCGTGTTCGAAGACGAACGATGCTAGGATCAGCTGAGCCAATGGCTTGTCCCGCAACTCTTCAGTTCTGAGCAATCCAACGGGCCACCCAAAGAGCCAGTCCGTGCTGAAAAACGCCACAGCCTCGTGGCACTCTAGATCGTCGACGATCGTCGCAATGTCGGCCAATAGATCCAGCTTGACATTGCGGGGGACATCACGTGTTTTGCCGTGAACGATCTTCAAGACGAGCTCAAACGCCTCAGCGTTAAAGATGTCTTCAAACCTCCAGTGGTAAAGGTCGTCTGACTGGACTGAAGCCTCTCTAAATTGACTGGAGAAGAGCTTTGCTGCCCGACGAGAGGCAAGCGTTAGATGCTTCTTGGAGCAAAGGTAGTGCTTCTCAGCAGGAGAGTCCGGGGTATCAGATCGAGTAGAAGCAGGCTTGACTGGAAGAATGATGAGAGCATCACCCTCAGGGTCGATTTCAACACGCGTGATTCCCATGTTGAATATACGATTACCGTGAAGATTTGTTCGAGTCGAGTTGTTGTCTCAGCTTCTGATCCCCGCTTCACGTTGCTTATGCAAGGTTGACTCGCCAACCAGACAAGGGCTGACGCAGATAAGCCAAATCGACCAGGGGTCTAATTAAGAGGCTTCAGCCCCAATACAAGTTGGCACATTTGGGTAATATAATCTTTGACATGGCTGGTGCCTAAAGACATATCTGGGGACTTGGACGCCAGACGTTCTCATGACGGGGTCCAATTTAATTATTATTACAGTTTTCATCCGTCGTAAGCTACATATTCGTATACTGAACAGTCGTAGTACGTGTCTGCAGTATCCCGTCCTCGCTATCATTGTCCCCCGTTGCGTTATTCTCCAAGGACTCATCCGACCGTCCACTATAAATATTCACATCCGTCTTACCCATGCCTTCGGGTCGCAGGCTTGCTCTGTTGAAGTGAGTATCATGCTCCAGCTCCACGAGCGTGTCAAACTTGCGTCGTGGGCCATTTGAACCACCAAAGGTATGGAGACCAAAGTTGGCGCTTCCGCTTTGCTCTTCGCTGCCTTTTCGTGTGCTTTTGTCGCCGAGAACTCGAGGGGCGACATTCTTGAGAAAGACACGAAGTGTTGGGAGGGAACCGCACATGATAAGAAGGTTGGCTTCGATGATCCTGTATGTGTCAGTGAGGTCATGCAGAAAAGGACTGAGGACTTACACCCAGAGGCATCCTTCTGCCAATGACCAACTTTGGTCGGGGTTTGACAAACTCGGCAGCAGGAGGACCAGTCGGACAATGGACGTGATGAGAGTGATGGAACCGATGGCGAATAGTCCGACGAGACCAAGCTTCTGCCGAGTGGACATTTGTAGACCGATGACAGTTGGAATGGGCAACACCAGCAGCATCACATCAGTGATGCAACCAAAGGCAGCCTGGGTGATGTAGATGGGAGGACGATTGATACAAGTAGCCCCAACCGACATCCTAACATCCCATCCCGCAGCGATAGGCTTGCAAGCAAACAGAACACTGAACCAGATGCCGACGAGACTAGCACTGCAGAGGAAGCCTGTGAAGTAGACCGAGTATTGATACCATAGAGACGGCGAGAGGCGGTAGTAGAAGAAGCAGAGCGTCAGCTTGGAGAGGATTGTCGTCGGGATGTACGTAAGCGTTGTGCACATGACGAGTAGGTTAGCCTTGGTGTTGCTGTCGATTGGCATCTCCCATGCATGGACGCCGAGTAGTTTGAGGCTGTATGCATTGAGCAGACATGATTGAGCCGCAATAGAAAGGACCTAAATGGTTAGTCAGTGTCATTGAAGCGGACTGGTTCTCGTACCCAAGCGAAAAGAATTAAATCTGCAAGCAATTAGTACGAGCCCACGCACGTAAAGCACAACTTACAATCGTCAATCAAGAACTTTCGCAAAATCACTGCATTCGTATACATCCGCTGCCCCAAAAACGCCGTCGCTATAGCAAACTCCAGTCCAAAAATCCAATACGCATTCCTCACCATCGACGCATCAGTCTCCGGGTTCTCAAAGTCAACTCTGTACCCCGATGGAGGTGGCACTGCAACCTCAACACCATTGACGACAGGAAACGACATTGTAGCAAACTTTCAATCGGCCGAGAGTTTATTCTCGCGTAGTTTAACTCAGAACGACATGACGGGATGAAATGCAAAATAATGAGACGCAAAATCGTTAGGTGTCAACTTGGGCATCAAATCGTGTAAATCTCTACAGTCACATCCTCTACTGATATACATCTGAACGTGATTTGGTGATCACTACGCAAAGGGGCACAGCATCCGTGTGTGAGAAAAGAGACGACAAAGACGTTACTGGGGTTGAACCTTAATTATTGGGGAAACGTCAGGCGAGATTAGAGGGAAAAAATAAAACGTCAAACTTGACGGGCCGTCCGGGTAGAGAGGATTAGTTTTGCCGGCCTTCCATAACGAGTCTAGACTTGAAGAAAACACAGTTTTTAGCTGGTCTGTTCTCACGGTAATACCGCGCTGTAACGGGCTGTGAACAAGGGTCATGACTCGAGATCAGAGATCGTCATGAATCCCCGCCTTTTACGGTTGACTGCGAACCGTCAGCCCCAACTGCCGATGTAACGCTCGGATAATATCCCCTGATGGTTGCAGAATGCAAAGTCGTTCGCATGTGCCGCTGATTGAGGGAACAATGGTTCCCCTGAAAACTTTCGTCTTGGGTACACCGAGATTTGGGTCGTATCTATTTAGAGTCTCGTTAATCCATTGTCAACGCAGACATCGAGCTAGCTTTTAGGGTCAGAAGCATGACATCGATTGATCTTAAGCTTGATTTAGCACTGACATCTCGTCAATCTAAGTCATGATGGAAGTAAACTGGTGCCCCGATTGTGAAGCTGTCAGAGCATTGTCGATCAGATAACCTACACCAACTGATGTTCTCCGTATCACACATCGGACTTCATACTGTCTGCCTGGATGCTTACCGTCTTTACCTTGGGCCTTGCCTGCTCACCCGTGTAATGAACCATGTTAATCCCGGGGGCATGGCCGAAAACGATCAAGATCATCTATGCAGGATCAACCAACATGCATAATCGAGTAATGCCATGAATTCCTTACCAAATCCAACCTCCAGCCCATCTGACGAACCAATCGCATCCCCCCCTCCCCCCAAGCATTCGACTCCATCTGCGTGATTTTCCCCCAAGAACCAGGGACGCACGAACCCGCCAATTCCTCAGCCGCTTCTGCACAAGACGATCTTGCCCATCAACAAAAAGTACCCAAGTTCCCGCACAGACTTGTGTTCTCAGAGCTTCTCTCCCCCCAAGGTGACATCCCATAATCCCGTTTCATCGCAATCATGAAGACGAGTGCCTCAGTCTTGGCTTGGGCATCAGCCCTCCTTGCTGCTTCACCTGCTGTAGCCATGGAGACCTGCGTAAGCCTATTTCTGTCGCATCCAGGAGAAAATGTCACTGACTTTTCGCGTTTCAGTGTGCCTCACTTGAAGCAAAGGGTCTGAAGCACGTTTACTACCCCAATAGTAACGGCTACAAGACCCGCACTGAGTCGTACTTTTCCGTGTCGTCACAGCTGGAGCCTTACTGTATCGTTCAGCCCGAAAGTGCCAAGGATGTATCTACGATTATCAAGACCTTGACATCTGATACAAAGTGTAATTTCGCGATTCGAAGCGGTGGACACACCGTTTGGGCGGCGAATAACAGTGAGTTGGATGCCCGCTTGATTGAGTTTGTCTAATTGCTTGCAGTTAACGATGGTGTCACTATTGACATGGGTGAGTTGTCTTTGCGATTGGTTCAACATGAAACAACTAACATGCACAGGATTGATGAACAAGACTACGTATGTCAAGAATACGAAGGTCGCTCAGATCCAGGCTGGTTCTATTTGGCGAGATGTCTATGGGGCTCTTGAACCATATGGTGCTACTGCTGCAGGTGGCCGCACTTCGACTGTCGGTGTCGCTGGCTTCTTGACTGGCGGTGGCAATACCTTTTATACTGCCCGTCGGGGTTTTGGTTGTGACCAGGTCGTCAACTTTGAGGTTGTCCTCGGTGATGGGTATGTACACACACGCCATAGCGACGTCCACTAATGTTTCATCAGACGCATCGTCAATGCCAACAAGGACAACAACGCCGACCTATGGAAGGCCCTCAAAGGCGGCTCAGCCAACTTTGGTATCGTCACCCGCTTCGACGTTCAGGCCTTCGATGCTCCTCTCCTCTGGGGCGGCCTAGTCACCTACTCGGCCGAAGAAACCACCGATGCGCACGTCCAAGCATACAAAGACTGGACCGATAATATCGTGAACTACCAGGATGGATCTGTTATTCCTTTCTGGAGTTACACTCCTCAGGCTGGAAAGATTGGCATCACTGTTTCGTACGAGGATACAACTGGTGCTGTTGCTCCAAAGGCCTTGGACGAGTTCTGGAAGATTCCTTACGAGACGTCCAACCTGCGCAAGGATACTCATCGCAACATGACGATTGAGCTTGAGCTTGTTGCTGGATACCGGTAAGTACCATTACCTCTTCTGTCTGACATCGATACTAATGTTGTTAGCAACGTCTGGTTCGCCATCACCTTCAAGAACAAGCTCGGCTTGTACAAGAAGGCTCTGGAGCTGCACAAGCAGTTCGTCAGCGACTGGAAGGCTCAATCCCCCGACGGCGACTTTATCTGCCACGCCATCTTCCAGGCCATCCCCACCATCTTCTCCAAGCACTCCCTCGAGCGAGGCGGCAACGTCGTTGGTCTTGACCGCGAGAAGGACAACGCCGTCATGTTCCAGGTACAGCTGATGATCAACGGCGTCGAGCAAGAGAAGATTGCTCGTGAGCGTATGGTTCGCTTCCGCAAAACGATGAAGCAGTACAGTATCGACCAGGGTGCTGCTGTTGACTGGGAGTATCTTAACTACGCCGACTTTACCCAGGATCCTCTCTCTACTTATGGCCCTAAGAATGTTGAGTTCATTCGCAAGGTTGCCAAGAAGTATGATCCCAAGGGAGTGTTCCAGACTAGACTACCTGGTGGATTCAAGATCTCCAAGGTTGCTTAAAGTACAGTAGTAGTCTTCAATAGGAATGTGAATGCGAACATTATACGCCTCATTCGTTTTAATTGACTTGTGAGCCGCATAATTGCTGTGCCGTCGGTATGCGCCTCACGTCGGCTCTGCGTCACTCTCCTAACAGGGGTCCTTGCACCAATCGTGACAGCGCAATACAGGGTAAGACAATACTTTATAGATGGTTGATTACCCACTACGCCGAGTCGAAGATAAGAGCGTAGTGTTAAAACGTAGTAATAGTCATTCTTTGGAAAACTTGCGTTCTCACTCTGGCAGAGCTTTTTTTGCTTCAAGTATGCAGTGTCGGTATATTAATGCATGCCCTTGACAATGTTTGTTGGGGCAGAATGCAAGCAGCGTATTAGGCATTACTGAAACGTACAACTTAAATTGCCCTATCGCCACTCCATAGATCTATGCACTACGTGCAACTTCAATGCTCTAGGGATATCTGTAGTGCGTGTAATAAGCATGTTTTTAACGTTATCTAGAGTTCTTATTCCCGTTATGAGCTGTTTTGTCACCTTCGTCATTACTTTCCGGAGCTGGGCTATGATTGGTCCCCTGGGACATGGGTGGCATTTTTGATTGGTGATATCGTATAGGCAAATCCACTTCCAAAACGGGACAAAAGAGCGAGTTGCTGACATGAGATTTCTTGGTCGATGATGATCACTCGCATTCTGTACTTCTGAGACTCGCATTCGGGAACCGCGGACAATGGACGGAGCCAAGAGATTTCCCGCGGCCACCATCATTGAGGCCATGGACAGCTCGCGGATTCATCCCGATGCATCATGAATCGATGAACAAGATGACACTTCTGAGTATATATAGATAGCGGCCGAATCTTTAAGCAAACTCAATTCAACAGAAACAAGAATACTATCACAATGATTCCTTCTTCCTTTGTTGACGTTATTGTTATCGGCGCCGGTCTCAGTGGCCTCCAAGCAGCTGTAGACCTCGACAAAGCCGGCCTCTCATACATCGTCCTCGAAGCCAATGATCGGGTCGGCGGCAAAACTCTCTCTGTCCCAAGTTCTTCGAAAAGCGATGGAATAGTCGATCTAGGTGCTGCATGGATAAATGACAGCAGCCAAAAAGAGATGTACGCCTTGGCCCAGGAATTCGGCTTTGATCTTATCGTCCAACGAACCGAGGGACTGTCACTCGATCAGTCGAATGGAACTACGCATGCCATTCCCTACGGTCAATTTGGAGATGTAAGTTTGTTTGAGTATTGATGTACTTGACTGACTTTCAAGTTTACGGATGAGCAACTCGCTGAAATTGTCGTGATCTTGACGAAACTGCAAGAATATGTTGATCGATCTAATCTTGAACACCCTCACCTCGGACCCGATGCTGAGAAGCTTGACTCCATGACAGCTCTGGAGTTTGCTAGCAAAGAATTTGGTCAAGGCATTGCTAAGGTTCTTGTGGCGATTTTGACCCGGGATCTCCTTGGCGTCGAATCGAATGAGCTTAGTGCTTTGTTTCTCATTAATTACATCAAGAGCGGAACTGGTCTTGCAAACATATCCTCCGACAGAAAGGATGGAGGCCAGTACTTGCGTAATCGCCAGGGTGAGTCCCTTACATCCGATTTGAACTTGAGCTAATAGACCAGGTAATGAGAGGTTTGCAATTAAGCTAGCTGCTAAGCTCTCCAAGAAGAACATCAAACTCAACTCTCCCGTGGTCAAAATTACCCAAGATAAGAAGGGATGTACCGTTAAGACGAAGAGCGGTCATAAATACCACTCTAAGAAGGTCATACTTTCGGTTCCGACATCTCTATATCCCAAAATCGACTTCGAGCCTCACCTATCACCAGCCAAGAAAGAGCTTGGTGACTCAACAGAACTCGGCTACTACTCAAAGTCCATCTTGGTGTTTGACGAACCCTGGTGGCGCAATACCAATCTCTCTGGTGTATTGACATCTATGGATGGTCCTATTTCATTTACTCGAGATTCCTGTGTTCCTGAAGACAAGCAGTACAGCATTACTTGTTTTCACGTCGGTCAGCCCGGGCGAAAGTGGTCTAAGCTGCCTGAACAGGAGCGCAAGGACGCAGTGGTGAAGCAGTTCAAAGACGCCTTCGGTACAGTTATCGACAAAGTCCCTGAGCCTATTGACATCATGGAGAAGGACTGGCTGAAGGATCCTTGGTTTTTGGGTGGACCTAGCCCAGTGATGAAGCCTGGACTGCTGACTGGTGCTGGAACGTCTATTCGTGATCCCTTCAAGAGCATTCACTTCATCGGCACTGAGACTTCTGTTGTTTGGAAGGGGTATATGGAGGGGGCTATTAGATCTGGCATTCGAGGTGCTCGTGATGTTATTGAGGCACTTGACTGATTGGCTTATCTATGAGTATCATTGAGAACGATTGGACGAAAGACGACATAGGTGGCAGCTAGAACTATTGCGTGGCTTCTCCTGTGCATAATGAGAACGTCTGCTTTCTTCACCTCGCCTTGCTCACATTGTAACCTCGTAAAAACATAAGTTAGTATTTCTTCTACTAGCGACTTCCTCTGACATCTTCTTCTACCGACCATTTCTGCATTATGTGGCGGCTTACGTGCATTAGTGCTGACTGTGAGGGTTCACTCAACGTTGGGACGCAAGTCCCCAACTTGCGCTGGGGCTCTTATCTAGGACTCCTAGGACTCATGTCCCCGCGGGAAGATCGAACAGTATTCCGACAATACGGCATCCACAGCTGTGGGTTTCCACCCGAGTTGAGACTTTGGCCTACATGCTTTTCACGTCCCAGTAAGACAACTGGTCCAACCTCTCAGTCGTCATTTCATCAGACAAGAGATCTTTCCAGCAGCAGGTATCCATGTATCTTCAGGCAAAATGTCCGACATTCGCGAGATCGACGAAGTAATCCGAGACACGAGAAGAGCTCTAGATCAGATGCCACGGGAACACCATGACAGGGCTGCCTATCTAGATGATCTTGGGGTCGCACTTGGAGACCGATTCTCCATAACAAGAAACCCAGCCGATCTCGAAGAAGCCATCCAAATTAGTAGAGAAGCTGTCAACATGACACCAGTGGATTCCCCAGACAGGGCTGGGCGCCTGAGCAACTGCGGAATCCGACTCGCAGAGAGATATTCCGTGATAGAAGAAATTAGTGATCTGAAAGATGCTATTATAATCATGCGGGAAGTGTTAGAGGTCACTCCCAGCGATGATCCTGATAGAGCTATGTACATGAACAATCTTGGTACTGCGCTCGCCGACCAATACGCCCAGACTCGCAAAATGGCGGATCTCAACGAATCTATCTACATTACTCAGCAAGCCATTGATGCAGCTGTAGAAGATTATTCGGACCGGCCCATGTACCTGAACAGTCTTGCGCTTCGTCTTGGGGATAGATATACGAGAACAGGAGACGGTGCCGACCTGGATAATGCTCTGGGTATCATACGAGATGCCATCTACCTAACACCAGACGACTCCCCGGATCGGGATCTATACTTGAATACTCTAGTCATCCAGCTGGGACGGCGATACTCAAGAACAGGGAGAGTGGATGATCTCCAAGAGTCCATCCGAGTTGCTCAGGATATAGTCGATACAACGCCATCCGACGATCCCGACCTGCCAATGTATTTAAGCAATCTAGGACTGGCACTTGGGGATCTATACTCCATAACTGGTGCAGATTCGGATATTGAAAATGCGATTTTTGCCTTCAGGGAAGCCTTTGATCTGATCCCGGAAGACTCGAAAAAGCGGGCGATTTACATGCACGACCTTGGTAATCAATTTGGACGCAAGTACTCCAAAACAGGAGCAACAACTGATCTCAAAGAGTGTCTCCGGCTTATCAGACAAGCGATCGATTTGGTAACGACGGATCACCCAGACCGAGCCAGTTGGCTTAGCAACCTTGGTGTTCGTCTCGGCGAGGGTTATTTGAGGGAAGACACCAGCGCAGACATTGAAGAAGCCATTCGAGTCACCCAGGAAGCAATCGAAACAACGAAAGTAACGGCAGACAAGGTCACATATCTATGTAACTTGGGGAATCGACTTGGGGAGAGATATTCGATGACCGGAGACGCCACGGATATTGAGAACGCCATCGAAGCTACAAAGGAAGCAATCAGCCTATCACCGGCCGATCCCGTCACGAACGCTATGTGCTTGCTCAGCCTTGGCAACCGATTCGGAGACAGGTACGACGTAGAGGGAACCAAAGCCTATCTGGATGAGTCTATTCGCATTCTGCAACAAGCGGTTGATACAATGCCAGAGAACCACCTAGGCAAGGCTCTGCTCTTGAATAGCCTCGGTGTTCGACTGGCAGCCAGATATACCTCTGTCAACGCGACAGACGACCTTGAAAGCGCCATCGAGATGACAAGGCGAGCGGTTGAGATGACTCCAAAGATCAGTCTGAGTAGAGCGCTGTTTCTGCATAATCTTGGAGCATCCCTTGGCGATAGGTACACCAGGATGAACAAGACAGCCGATCTGGAGGAAGCGATTCGAGTCGCGCGGGAAGCAGTCAACATGACTCCAAGCGGCCACCCTAATAGGGCAATGTATCTGAAGGGCCTTGCAATACGACTAGGAGATAGATACTCTAGAGAGGGCGCAGGCTCGATGTCTGATCTCGACGATATTATCGAAGCGGCCAGTGGAGCAGTTAATGCAACACCAAGTGTCCACACAAAAAGGCCTGTGTATCTGAATAGCCTCGGTATCTGGCTCATGGAAAGATACAAAAGAGTAAAAGCGACGACAGACCTTGACGAGGCTATTCGAGTTTTGCAAGAAGCAGCCAACGCGACGCCAAAGAGCCATCCTGAAAGGGCTAGGTATCTCGTCAACCTCGGCACCGGCCTTGACCACAGGTATGCGAGAACACGCGATTCTGCTGACCACGAAGGAGCTCTCTCTCAGTTCCAAACAGCCCTCCGCGACCCAAGCTCTCCTACCATCGATCGCATAGCAGGTGGTATAGCAATTCTTCAGATCTGCAGCACCACTTCGGACTGGGAACAAGTATGCGACGCTCTAGAAGTTGCAGTCAGTCTCATACCAAAACTGACAGCGCGGTCTCTCGAAAACCCAGACAAGCAGCATCTGCTTGGCCAGGTCGTTGGCCTAGCCTCCAATGCCGCAGCGGCGGCTTTGAATGCTGGAAGAGGTCCGACTGCTGCACTGAAGTTCCTCGAGCAGGGTCGCGGGGTGCTTGCGACGGCGCTGGAGGAGATGCGGACGGATGTCATAGAGCTGCAGGCCAGGTATCCCGAACTTGCAAAGCGATTTGTCAGCCTTCGAGACGAGCTGGACCCTCCAGTCGCGCGTGATACCTTTAATCAGGATGACCACGGCGGGTTTAACGATCAAGCTAGAGCGACTCGGCGCTACGACGCGGGCAATAAACTCGATGAGGTGATTGCTGAGATTCAGAAACAGCCTGGATTTGAGGACTTCTTGGCTGCCCCAAGCGAAGCAGAGTTGAAGGCTTCTGCGAGCTGCGGTCCCATAGTCGTTATAAATACCAGTGAGTACCGTTGCGATGCCATACTCGTGGAGCAGCACCAGATACGATCCGTGCAGTTGCCCAAGGATATGGAGAAAGAAGCGCGGAATCGTGACCCTGGGAAGATTGAGACCCTGGAATGGCTTTGGGACACGGTCGCCCACCAGATTCTCGATGCCTTGGGCTTTACTCAGCGTCACGATCCGTCGCTCGAGAAATGGCCGCGCATATGGTGGGTTGCCACAGGTATCATGACCAAGTTCCCACTTCATGCCGCTGGCCGCCACGACAGTGAATCAGCCAGCGTGCTGGACAGGGTCATGTCATCATACAGCTCCTCTATCAAGACAATCATACAGAGTCGACGACGTGGTCATGAAGCAGCTGCATCAGCCCCGGCCCAGGCTCTTCTCGTCGCTATGAAGCACACGCCAGAGCAGACCAGCCTTCCTTTCGCAGCCAGAGAGATAGAGGTGATCCACGACTTGGTCAAAACGATGCAACTGGAACCTATCGAGCCAGGACAGCACAAGCATGACATCATGGCACACTTGCCGCAATGCAAGGTGTTTCATTTCGCTGGTCATGGCCATACAGACGGTCACGATCCAATGAGAAGCCGTCTACTTCTGGAAGATGGAAAGGAAAACCCTCTTACAGTCGCGAATCTTCTTGAGATAAACCTCCGTAAGCATTTGCCCTTTCTTGCTTACCTCTCCGCATGCGGGACGGGCCAGATTAAGGATAGGAGATTCGTCGACGAGAGCATCCATTTAGTCAGCGCTTGTCAGTTGGCGGGCTTTCGGCATGTTATTGGTACTTTGTGGGAGGTTAATGATGAGCTGTGTGTGGATATGGCGAGGATAACGTATGAAGGTATGAGGGATGGAGCCATGGCGGATGAATCGGTGTGCGAAGGGCTGCACAACGCAACTCGGCAGCTACGAGATCGTTGGCGCAACATGCCGATGAACTCGGTAGCCAGGAGTGCAACTGATGGTGATCGAAGGCCAAGAGATATTATTGCGTGTGATGACGACGAGACCAGGCCATTACATTGGGTTCCTTATGTTCATTTTGGCGTGTGATTTACTTCTGCTTCAGATGCTGGTGTTGAATGCTTAACACCAATATCCGTTGCTACATTGAACTGCATGCTATTGCCCTTGATCGGACCACCCATCAGGGTTGTACGTAGCTAGATTCTGAAACCCAGATTGTTCCCTCTGGAGTGCACTCAACTTCTCCTTCAAGTACTCCCTCTGGTTCTGATGAATCCTATCAAAGCTCAAAAGAAACGTGACAAGGAACAAAAAGTCCTCAACTCTCGCTTCGGCATCCTGTTCTTCGCCTGGTCCAATCGGTAGTGCCAACACGTCGGCCACAGTACTCGTAATCTCGAACAGCTTCTGCAGAATCCCAGATCCATGCAGACCTATACTCTCAACCCTCTCTAATCGAAGGACCACATTGCGGAGCTGAGTCGATAGTCGCTGTGCGGGGAAATGCATCGAGAAGCCCTCATGAGAGTTCTGCGGTGGTGCAGACTGCAAGAGGCCTTGAGATAATGCCAGCTGCCAGACGAGAATTCTCATCCATAACCGCGTGATGAACAGATCCACATGCTGAAGCTCCGTTAAACCCCAGCCACTCGATACCAACGCGTTATCCGTCTCTGCAGCATCAATCTCATCCTGGTCAAGTTGAGCTTGTTTATGCTCAATCCATGCAGCAGTCATTTCCGGAGCTGTGGCCTGTGGATCCTGTTGAGCTCTCCAGTGGGCCAGAAACGTATCATCCAGGACGTGAAATAACTCAATCAGCCGGTTGAAGCCTTCGTTCACGTGGGGAGGAAGTTCATGGTCTGTTGCCGGGACACTCGGGCTGAGCGGAGGAAGAATGGCTGGATGACCAGCTACTATTGTGAGGAACCGTTCGTGGATGGAGATCTCGCAGTACAGACGTTGTCGGGTAGCTAATTCGTGGTCGGTTAGTGAAGCATCCTTGTATCGATCTAGGTCGAGCATCTGAATCATTGCAATGGCTTCTCGGAGAATGACAAAACTGCGGTCGAATCGCTTGAACGCCATGAGACAAATCTCCAAGAATACGCACGTAACAATGCGTTTCACGGTCACTGGTAATCTCCCAAGAATACCAACTCCCATCTCAGATTGTCTATGCGCTTTGAAGCTCAGGTTCATGAGTTCTGTGATCCTAACTGGTGCTTCGCCTTCCGAATCCCAAGACGTTTGTGTCAGGTTGATAGTGACAGCAGCATAAGCGTACACAAGCGCCGCATCCTCAAAGCTTTGATCCATCCCCTCAATTGCAGCCACGATCTCCGAAGGGAGAACAATTGGATTGACGGGGAAAACAACGCGTTCATAGTCGAGCAGCAGATTGAGAAAAAAGTCTGAAGAATACGCCGATCCAATACTCGTCGGTATCGCATTATAAGCGACAGGCGAAGGATCATCAGTCTGCGGAGAAGCCGAATTGGACCTTGCATCATCAGGCCTTGTCCCCTCTCGAATCTGCGCTACCAATCGCCCTCGCACAGTTGGTCTTCGCTTGGAGGTTGCAGCGGAGTAGACGCATGCCAGGTTGAGATGGCCACATTGCGAACACGGGACTGAGCCGTTGCATTTGACCTTGCGAACGCGACATGGATCGCAAGCTTTTGAGATTCTTCCGCTCATTGTTTGTTGATTGAAGAATGAAGTGATCGAGACGAGATGCGGAGTCGAGAGGCACGAGATTTATCACGCTAATGAAGTCTGTTGGTATAACCCCACATCGCCACATGCAAGCGAGCTGAGGTCTAGAGCCAAGCCTCAACTGGAGTATTTACTTGGGGTAGTTCCGGCATTTGATACGTCACAGAGTATGGAACGTTTTTGGGTAGATGCTTATATTGTGAAAAAGAATACCCTGTCCTGGTTATCTGAGTTGGCAGCCTAAAGTTTCACCTTTTGGCTAGTAATCACCTACGCAGATACTTCACAGAACATGATAGAGGGCATGCTGAACAATAATTTATCTCTTCTCGTGCTAGTAAACTATGAACCACTAACACTAACATTCCATTGAAAATTCTCATTCTAAACCACCTAAGAAGCACTGCTGTTCACCTTTTCAACGTACACAGCACTAGCCTTTTCCTTTCCAGTCTGGAACTCGGCATCGAGACGCTCAACCTGGGTAGTCTTGAACTGGCGAGCAGGAACTCCACGCTCAAAGAGAACATCGAGCTCACCATAGGTTCGGCCCTTGGGCTCAGGAAGACGGAAATAAGTCCAGACAGCACAGAGGAAGCAAGTTCCGGCCCAGAAGAAGCCAGCCTTGGCACCCCAGTTCCAAGCAGAAGGGTTCAACATGCGAGGAGTGATAATGTTGGTCATGATTCCGACAATGTTGTACGTGTTTCGGGCGAGGACGACGGTCTTGGTTCGGAGACGGGTGGAGGACAACTCGGCGACGAGAGAGTAGCAGACGGGTCCGACGGTCGAATCGTAGGTGAAGGTGTAGATGAGGAGAAGAGATCCGATGGTCCATTGAGCAGCGACGTTGTCACGGCCAGCAAAGGCGACACAGCCGATGGTCAAGAGGAAGACGCACATGGCAAGCTGTCCATAGAGGTAGAGAGTTCGGCGACCGAACCAACCCATGAGGAACCAGGAGAAGACGGTACCAACAGCACCAATGGCATATTGACCAAGAGACATGGAGAAACTATTCTCAACAGCCATACCGGCTTGCTGATAAAAGTAGGTAGAGTAACCCATAAAAGTAGCACCGCAGAGAGTCTGAATCATCCAGGTAACACAGACAATCTCAGTTCGGCGAAGACTGACACCCTTGAAGAGATCAAAGTATGAAGTACCAGCCTGAGCTTCCTTTTCCATCTCGTTGGTGTGAACCATCATGGAGATGGTCTCATCGGGCTTGAAGTCGACGTTGCTGTTGCGGACAGTGAGACGCTCGAGGGATCGCTTGGCCTCTTCGATGCGGCCGCGACGAACGAGCCACCAGGGAGACTCGGGAGCGAGGTAGATTCCGATGATGAGAGGAACAGGCCACATCCACTGCAGAGCAAAGGGAATCTTGTATCCCAACTCGTCAGTGCGGGTGACCATAGCGCGGAGAACACCAGAGGCGATGAATTGTCCGAGAACCCAGCAAAGGTTGACGTAGGTGGTGAGATAGGCGCGGAGATGGGTAGGGCAGACTTCGGAGGCGTAGGTAGTAGTGAGGGTCTGGAAGACACCCCAGGGAATACCGATAAAGATCTCTCCAATGAGAAGCTGAACCAGAGTCTCGGAGAAGAAGATGATGAAGATGAAACCGATGCAGCCGATCAGAGCACCGATGAGAGTCTTGCGATAACCGAAGCGATCAGCAATGATACCGTTGATGAAGAGACCGATGATTTGACCGCAGAGAGTTCCGTTGGAGAGACCAGATTGCCAAGCAGCTGTCAATTGATAGCTACCATCAGGCTGCTCGACACCAAACTTCTTCTGGAAAGGAGGATAAGCGAAGAGGTTGTTGAGGAGGACAACATCAAAACCCTCCATGATGATGCACAGGGAGAGAAAGATGGACCAGAGACAAGCTTTCTTGTAGAGCTTGAAGGACTGCATCAAGCCCATGTTGTGCTCGGCCTCAGTAGCAGCGGCAGCTTCATGGGCGACGTTCTCGTCGACTGGCACCGCAACGGGGGCGATGCCATTGTCAACCTTGTTATCAGGAGACATGGTGAGAAGAGTGATCAATGAAGAGTCGTAGACTGTAGAAGGTGAGAGAGAGTGATGATGATCTGGATGTGAATTAGCGAGCGACACGCGACATCTTATAGTTGGAGATGGATCAAGGAGTTGAAGCTGTCGAGAAGCGAAAGTGAGTGGAAAAACAAGATCTCATTTGCAAAGTTTGGGCCAAGTGTTAGCGTAAAGGGAGTGCTTTCGCGGGGTTGACCGTGATTAGACCGGTGCTAGGCCAGAGTGGTCTAGAATCTCGAGGTAAATGAAGCCGTGTCGGGCCGGGCTTTAAGCCACATTTTAAGGTTAACTCTATGAGGGAGGAGACTCTGGAGCACGGAGGTCTACTGCTTGTGTCTTCTCCCCCATGGGGAGAAAATCATGTAAATCTGGGGTTCGCTCATCGGACCGAGCATTGACGCTTGAGACACAAACGTGGCGGAGATCAGCAGATGCTCGTGAACCATTGAGAGATGAAGACGGGGAAATTAGACTCTGGAGTTCTCGTCGGTCCGGTCAAGAGCCAATCAAGATTCAGCCATTTCGTCGGTCCGAGGTTGCACCAATGGTGTTGGAGTCTGAGACACCATTGACTATGAGACAAGGATGGGTTGCATTAAAGGCGGAAATATCTCGTCGGTCCGACCGAATGGTGCGGGGGAATAGAGAATCGTGATCTGGGGAAGATGAATGCGGGTGAATTACCATCAGACGATATTTAAATCCATCTTAGATCATTGTCTCCTCAGCATCAAGCAAGTTTGTCAATTCATTTGTTTCTCATTTTATTTTCATCGTCACAATGACTGTCAGCAGACGCTCAAAGCAATGGTGGAAGCAGGCCATCATCTACCAAATCTACCCTGCATCGTTCTGCGACTCCAACGGCGATGGCATGGGTGATCTCCAAGGCATCATATCCAAGCTAGACTACATCGCCAGCCTAGGCGTTGATGTCATCTGGGTATGTCCCATGTACGACAGCCCGCAGGTCGACATGGGCTATGATATCTCCAATTACGAAGATGTCTACGCTCCGTACGGTACTCTCCAGGATATGGAAGAGTTGATCCGCAAGACACACGAGAAGGGCATGAAGATTATGCTTGATCTTGTGATTAACCATACTTCTGACAAACACGCTTGGTTTGAAGAGTCGAGACTCAGCAAAGATAGTCCTAAGCGTGATTGGTACATCTGGAGACCTGCCAAGTACTCTCCAGAAGGTCAACGACTCCCCCCGAATAACTGGCGCTCCAATTTCGGCGGCGGTAGTGTTTGGGAGTGGGATGAGACTACTGGAGAGTATTACCTGCACCTCTTTGCAAAAGAACAGCCCGATCTCAATTGGGAGAACCAAGAGACTCGTCGCGCCATTTATGCTTCGTCGATGGAGTTTTGGCTCGACAGGGGCGTCGATGGCTTCAGAGTCGACACCGTCAACATGTACTCCAAGCTCCAAGGCTTTCCCGATGCTCCCATCACCGACCCGAAAGCCAAATACCAACCTGCCGGTCTTCTCTACTGCAACGGCCCTCGCATGCACGAGTTTCTCGGCGAGATGAACGAGATCCTTGAGCGATACGGAGCTATTACTGTCGGAGAACTGCCTCATACACCGGATCTGGAAAAAGTCCTTCGATACGTCAGCGCGAAAGAGAAACAGCTCAACATGGTATTCCAGTTCGACGTCGTAGATATCGGTTTTGGAAAGACGCATAAATACGAGACGACACCGAAGAACTATACACTTCCTCAGCTGAAAGACGCTGTTGGTAGAACACAGAGTCTGATTCAGGGAACGGATGCTTGGACGACTGTGTTTATGGAGAACCATGATCAAGCACGCTCTGTATCACGATTCACAAACGATAGTCCACAGTACCGAGTCGCAGGAGCCAAGCTTCTTGCTTTGCTGCAAGCTTGTTTGAGCGGCACACAGTATGTCTACCAAGGACAAGAAATTGGGTCTGTCAATGCACCAAAGGAGAGTTACCCATTGGAGAACTACGTCGATATCGAGAGTTACCAGTTTCTCGATTTGGTCAAGGAGCGATCGGGTGAGGATGAACAAGAGATTGACAAGGCTTTCAACGCTCTCCAGCACTTGGCTCGAGATCACGCCCGTATACCTATTTGCTGGAGTGACAACAAGCACGGCGGTTTCTCCGAAGCAGCCGAGAAGGCAGGCCAACCCGTCAAAGAGCCTTGGATGCAAGCCCATCCTCTATCACGAGAGATCAACGTCGCATCTCAGCTGAAGGATTCAAACAGCGTGCTATCATTCTGGAAGAAAGCACTGCACTTCCGAAAGGAGTTCTCTGATCTGACAGTGTATGGAGACTATAAACTTCTTCGAAGGGAGGACCCTGAGGTTTATGCTTTTGTTAAAGAGTCCCAGGTTGATGGTTCCAAGGTTGCTGTTGTTTTGAACTTTACTACTGAGGAAAAGACTTTGAGTGCGCTGACGGGTGAAGAGCTTGGAGTTACTGGTGGGAAGGAGGTTAAGCTTGTGCCTATCATGTCAACGCATTCTGGAAAAGAGCAGACTGGTGTTTTGTCGCCGTTTGAAGGACGGGTTTACTTGGTAACTTAGTCATGACATAGAAATAAAGAATAAAGAGCATGTTTCCAAGTTACTATTAGTGTTATCTGCAATCATTGCCTGTCAATTGTCATTAAACGCAATGCAAGCCTTTAGATAGCCACGATCTAGGCTGCATTTATAATACTCCCGTTGCAGGACCCATATCCACTTGCAAACTAAGGTTATCCCCTAAGTTTTGTGTGGTGATTATTAACTTGCGCCAAGACATCCCCAAACCAAATTCAAAGGCTTGCGCCACCAACATCATGATCTCCTGTTCCCACCAATCTTAGCCATGAGCTATCCCTACTCGTGATCCTTCCCTCTGCGCATCTGCAAAGCTCGGTAGCTGTTCTTCAGCAGGCGGTCTAATCCACGATGAATCCCAACACAGCGGTATTCCCTCTCCGGCCTCCAAAACAACATCTTGCGATTCCTGCTGTCTATCATCGGTCGGCTTCAATACGAGCAAATCAGATGTTCCTGCCGCTTTGAATCTTTCCCCTGCAATTTCGCCCTGCACTGACCACTCTAGTCGATGTGAAACACGGATGTTGTACATTCGGAATGAGTGCGTGAACTCGGATTGCACAGATGTCCATTGTTGAGGGAATCCCGTATTCTGTAGACCGATGCGAAGGTTGATCATTTCTCCGATATCGATGGGCTGCCAATCAGTTGTAAACGGGATCCGTATTGTATCGCCGCGCTGTTTAATGGCTTGATTGAGTCCAAGGTCGATATCTGTGCTTTCTGGTATTTGCAACCCCGCATGGCAAAGAATCGTCGTGATGGTGACAACACAGATGCGTACCGATACAAGGTTGACGTCCTGTGCTACATCTCGAATTGTATCGCTCGTTTCTTCCCAGTTCGGTGATACCAAGAGTCTGAACGGTATCGGTGTTGGGTTATCCAGCTGAACGACCATCGGCACTTCCACAAACAAGTCAAACGCCAACGTAGGATCCTTCGAACCATGGAGAGATTGTTTGATCTTGTCTTTCCAAGAGACCTTCACATTTTGCATCCCAGGAATAAGCCGGTGACTCGAAACAGCACGCTGATGGCGATGTCGTTCAACTCGAAAGTCTGCAATTGGAGGATCCGGAGTGAAGCCTCTGACTTTGAAGGGAAATGTAGCTTCCAATACTTCCGTCTGACCTTGAACAGCCATTATGAGTTTCGCTTTGATGATATATTCGATGACTGCTGCCATATTCTTTGTCTTTCGGAGCGTATATGATGGTGGCATATGGTCGATGGGACCCAAAGGTGTAGAAGTATTGGCGTGTTTTGGAAGATATACAGTAAACGGCCATTTATGCTTCTGTTTCGAAGACTCGATGTGTAAAGGACCCCGGAAGATGATCTTTGGACGATAGCACAGATCGAAAAGTCCTCGGTATTCTTGGGAGCTGTTGCCGATAACTCCTATTGTCCTCCCTCGGCCAAACATGCAAATGCTCAAAGATGCATCTGGACTTATGGTATGAAATTGTCGATATACATGGCCAGTAATAATATCACCTGGGATATACGTATCTTGGTCCAGGCTAATACCCAGCAATGGGCCGGATCTGAGAGGTGTATGGATGTTGTTCATTTGAGCGATCAATCGGCATCAGAGGTTAAGTGGAATATCAGAGCTGATGAGAAGTCTTTGACGTATTCAGGGTCAACGAAAAATGCCTTCATTCATCATCAGTTGATTGACTGAGGCACAGCATGACTGCCCCGTGAGGCGCAATGCTCAAATCAAGGCTGAATTGCTCGAGGTGTCCAATCGCAAGCGTGCATGGGTCGCAAATGACACTCTTTTGGGGGCCAAAGTAATAAAAGTGACTCTTGGCTCAGGCCAAGCAATTCCCCTGGCGTTGTGAGTTTCAGGTATTATCACCTGATAAAGCCAAAGGCGCTACAGGGTGTATCAGATCAAAGCTGCTTCAAGGACAAGGCCTTCTCGAGACCTTCTTTTATAGGAGTGCATATGCTAGCTAGAGGGCTCACGAGATCGAGCTCATTAAGAGAAGAGAGTTTAATATTCTTCCGCGGTACAGATAGATCATCCCGACACGCTGTCCGAAGTCCGGGCTGACCGAAGGTTGGGTGACTTGCCCTCTAACATCACCTATTGCACCTGATCAGTGGTGGCGGAATTAATCAAGCTGCGACAGTATTAATGGCATGCCCTGAAAGCACTTATAATAATTGCAATGATTACTATTCTGGGGTTTTAAACATTTAAACAAGCATTTCCAATTTTCGTAATGTCAACACTTAAAGGCCAGTATGCATTCGCAGACTTACAGTTTGGTCATAGTCGGGAATAATTAATAATCATAATGACATCCACTTGAATTTACATAACTCTGCCGGTTGGGGTCGTACAAGTCCGGAGAAGTGGGTCAGCGTAGTCTAGGATGAAAGCTGAAGCCTTGAATGATTATTAAATAGTAACAAAATTGTTGGGATAGAGGCTTAGGTTGGACAGAGACTTGTGATGGGATAGAAACGTTCGTTGAGATAGAGACCCACGTCGAGATAGCGACATGCGTTGAGAAACGTTTGAACAACCACTTCTATCCTTGCCCAAGGCTTTCAACAGCAATCTCAGGTAAAGCAAGCAAGAGAAAATCGTAGAGCATAAAAAGACAGGTCTCTTCCACTGACCAAAGCAGCTCGTACCATCTACTAACTTCTCATTCAATACCATCGCCCAAAGACAAATTTCAACCGCACGTACCAACCGAATCAACTCTCAACATGCCTCTCTGGAACATTTATCACACGGAGGGCGCCTTCGACTCCCAGGAGACCCGCAACAAGCTTGCCCAAGACATCACCAAGATCTACTCCAACGGCGAAAACGGCCTCCCCGCTTTCTACGTCGTCGTTCAATTCATCCCGCTTCCTCCAGGCAATGTCTTTGTTGGTGGTGAAGCCAGAGACGAGAAGCCTTTTGTTCGACTAGTTGTTCAGCACATGGCTGTTCATAGTCATGAGGGTGTCCACATGGAGGACTTCCCCAAGCAGTTCAGCGATTACATCAATGCTACGATCAAGCCATACATCGCTGACAAAGGCTATGATTGGGAAATCACCGTCACTGATACTCAGCGCGACTTTTGGAGGTTCAATGGAATCGCGCCGCCGCCATGGAGAAGTGAAGCGGAGAGGACTTGGGCTCGGAATGGTCGCCCTTCGGAGTGGGAGGAGAAATAAAGAGTAGACTGGCGAGGCATGAAGCGCTGGTGCTGTTGGTCTTGTCAATCTGTTCATAGTCCTTCGCCAAGAGATCTCTGACCCTGCGATGCCCTGGATCGCAAAATGGCCTATGGAAGGATAGCACTAGGTCACTAGATAGCTATAAATACAACCCGAAAAGGTTGCCTTACAACAGCCTTCAAATTTCTAGTCGGAAGTGATTGGTCATTCATAGCCCATGGCCGGCAAGCTCTTAAAGACTACGATTAATTAGGAAAACAGCTCTTGAGAACCACATGTAATACTATGATCTCATAACTCCGCCAGAGATGTATTCCTCCGCACAGCTGCGGACTTTGAAAAGCTATAATTTGGGTAGAGAGCCCCACAGATAGAGCACTTAATACCATTCCAACAAGTTTATTACGGAGAATTCGGGGCTAATGCAAGCAAGCTAGCATTGATCTCCCCGGGGCCTCGGGTGCTATTATTCCCGGCAGCCACGTATTTATAATCACCACCACGCTTTAAAGTATCTAACGTTAACCAAGCTCCGCAAGAACGGCAATTAAATAAATTTCCTGAGCTGATAGTTATATAAGTCTATATCCTAATACTAGATGTTTCACCTTTCACACAGAATCTCCTACTTAACTACTAACCCCAGATAAAAATGTCGCTTCCCGAGACCTATCGAGCGTTTAGACGCACTACAGGCGATCTTCCGAGGACCATTGAACCGTCTACTGAAAAGCTACCGCGAGAGCTTGGACCAAATGAAGTTTTGATCAAGATTCACGCCGTCTCTCTCAACTTCCGCGATGTAGCTATGCTCAACGGTATCTATCCGGTGGAAGTGGAGGAGCGGGGTATTCCTTGCTCTGACGCTGCCGCTGAGGTCGTCGCAATTGGATCTGCGGTCAAGGATTTCTCTACGGGAGATCATGTCTCGGTTATATTTGACCTCAACAGTATCACGGGGTACGACGACGAGCCTCATTGCGCCCTTGGTGGAGACACTGCTGGTGTCCTTCGTGAGTACGCTATTTATCAGGACAAGCATCTGGTACAGCTACCCAAGCATCTACCGTGGGAAGAGGTAAGAGATAGCGATCTGGACAGTCGTAATTCCTGCTGACCTGTGATTGACTGAAGGCGGCTACCATCACCTGCGCTGGCGTCACGGCCTGGAATTCTCTTGACGGCCTGACTACGCTATCCAAGTTACGCAGCACCCTCTTACAAGGTTCGATTCTCGTGACCATTCAGGCTTTCTATCACGAGATTAACTAATTGAATAGGTACGGGAGGTGTCAGCATGTTTGCCCTGCTAATCTGTATCGCTGCGGGCGTCCAACCGATTATTACATCTTCGTCCGACGAGAAGCTTGAAGCCATCAAGAAACTCGGCTCTCAGGTTCGCGGTATCAACTACAAAACCACCCAGGACCAAGCATCGGAAGTAAAACGCCTAACAAACGGTCGGGGCGTTGATTATGTCATCAACAACACTGGCCCAGCATCTATTCCCATGGATATCAGCTTCTTGCGTCAGCGAGGCGGCACGGTATCCCTGGTTGGATTTCTAGATGGTGTTGATGGCGATTGGCGGCCCGCTGCTATCATGGCACTGATGGGGAAGTCTGCGCGAATCAAGTGAGTTGTTGCTTTCTCGAGAAATAATTAAGAATATGCACTGACAGCTGTTGTTCTAGGGGAATCGCCACTGGCTCCAAGGAAGATTATCTGAGTCTGAATAAGTTCTTAGAGGAGAAGAAGGTTTCCCTTGCTCCGCTGGTGGACCGTGTTTTCTCGTTCGAAGACTCCCCAGCAGCTTTTGACTATCTTTACTCTGGCAAACATGTAGGAAAGGTTGTCATCAAAATCTAGCCCGCATTCGCTGTTGCATCTTATAGAGGGCCAAGGAGTAGTCAATTGCAGACTGTTTCGCCGAACGTGTTGATGAGAGAATTAAGCACTGCTTGATTAGATACCGCCAGAGCCGATAACCATGCGTCCGTGATGGGCGATCTCTACTCCAGTGATAATTGCTGCCTTAACATCTCAAGTACGGATATTAGCACCAGGTCATGCCGCTCAGCCTAAGCAGACCACTTCACGTATGATTCGTCGCAAGGATCTCCCGGTTTCGCCTGTCTAGATTCTATAGTCTTCAGTCATATACACGCATATCCCGGCAGTCTCGTCTTTGACCCGAAGGAATCCAATCATGAAACAAGCGGTTAATATGCACTAATGAAACGCGAAGAAGAATTCTAGAATAAATCGCGCATAAGATCATGTAGAAGCCAGGATCTACAATCGGGACGTGCATATGCCCCAACGCGAGCAATATCCAATTCGAGTTTTTATTACCCCTTGCCAAGTGAACTGATACGAGGATATCAATGTATAATTGGTGAAAAGCGATCTTATCGCTGAGACATATAGTGATTGAGGCCTTCTCCTATTCCTTGTTTAATGAGGAAGGTTACCGCCAATGATCTGCTGATTGATGTCAGTGCCTCGGGGCGACTTACTCGTGTCTTTATCCGGATTCGTCTGACGTGTAGATCTTTGCCGGAGAGTGGTAAGCTGAAGCGCCGCGCAAGCAATGACCAGAAGGACTAGCCGAAAGTATCCTTTTTCAGCGTGCGCAGAATTTCTAGAAGGAATTAGAGTGAGCGGAATGACATAACTCGGCATAGCGGCGTAGATCTACCGCCCGTATGCCGACGAACATCCTCTACTATTACATCTTCAGTGATCATCTTGGTGATATTCACTATACCATACGCCAAGTATGACAGTTCAAATCACGTCTGGGGGAATATCCGCCTTCCCCATGGGGCTCCTGAGAATTCTGGTTCTCATCACTAATGAAAACTCAACGAATCTCACGACTCCAGACTCGGGGGACCTGATTTCGCAAAGCATTTGCATTCGCTCACATTTGTCTGGTGATTAGAGGGGATCAGGGACCTAAAATGTGGGTTATTATGGAGATTTGACTCTGGTGATGGAGTTTGCCAAGGCGAAAATGGAGATAGTTTAGTCATAGCAATGATGAGCCCATAATATGCCAAGAAATTGTCAAAGTTTGCCTCGCGTTCATGAGGGTCTCCTTCATTAATAACACGATGAATAACAAGAAAAAGAAAGAAAAAAGACAGGAAAAGAGATAGCGTCAAGACTACTGATGCATATTATATCTGGACATTGATCTCGACGTCGTGTTAACGTTGGCGGCTAAATGAGGCTGAAATTCTTAGACGCGTCAAGACACGGCACTGACGTCAACCCCGGCGATACCGAGCGACAAGAAAGCACAGACTTTACTACTTCGGTCTAATTTCCATCACTCGAAGCAGTTCCTCTAAGCCAAGGACCCCAAGTCCTGTCCAGCAGAAGAGCAGTGCACTCTCTGGTCAGCATCTGACTGGACCGGACAACTTCCTCTGTGGACATCACATCAACGTCTCACTTAGTGACCGAGTCTGGCCGAACGAGTGAATTCCTCTATAGACCGATGTGGAAACGTTTCATAAACCCCCATGGGGCTCTGTGCCTGGGGCGATATCCACCGAGGAATGGAGTAATGCAGCCTTGATTTCAGCGGCGATACTTCGTGCGGACCCTTTACCCCAATCAAGAAACCTCTGCCATGACGTCTCAGCGTCCTTTGCCCAGCCCCTATCCTGTCGGACCATCGCTGCGCTATTTTATACAAGATTCGTGAGGCGAGCGGTATAAAGCTAGGGCGAATTCCACCTGTATTTGCTTCTTCATCATTCAGCTACATCTATATCATAACTTGTCAATTGTCCAGGTGACAGTCTTCGTTCTATTTACAACAACACATTAGCAACATGGAGAAGGATAACGTCGCTAAAACTGCTGGACAGTTTCATGATCCTAGCTCTGATAGCGATGGCCTTAAGCATGAGATTAGCTCTCATGAAGGTCACAGCCATGACTTCCAGACCGTCCAAGAGTCTGCTGACAACACCAACATTTACTCCCAAGGCGGCAAGAACTTTCGAACTCTGAAGCGATGGGATACCATCTTTATTCTGTTTGCCAATCAGATCGGCCTTGGTATCTTGTCTCTTCCGTCGACCCTCAAGACCCTCGGCCTCGTTCCCGGTATCATTGCGCTTATCGGCATCGGTGTCATATCATGGTATACAGCCTATGAACTATTGCAATACTACAGACTGCACCCTCAGGTATTGAACATCGTCGACATGACCCGCTTCGTCGGTGGAAGAACCCTGGAGAGCATCACAGGTGTCATGATGATGATCCAAGTCATCTTCGTCGCGGCTTCAGCTATGGTCACCCTCTCAATTGCCCTCAACACAATCAGCAGCCATGCAGCCTGCACGGTTGTATTCATCTTCATCTCTTGCGCAGCCTGCTACATCTTTTGCATTCCCCGCACTACCAAGTTTGTGTCGCATCTTGGAATTCCCAATGCTCTGAGTGTTTTGGCTGCATGCCTTCTCGTCATGGTTGTTCTTGGTATTCAGGGCCCCAAGGGCGTTGATAACATGTCTGAGTGGAAGAGGGAGATTGTCATTGTTGGAAATCCTAGTTTCCGAGATGGTCTCAATGCTTGCTTGAAGATCGTCTTTGCGTATGCTGCCAATCTGAGCTTTGTTGTAAGTACGACCGAGTTGTCAACGCGATCTATACTAACAGATAACAGGGCTACCTCGATGAGATGACCAACCCCCTCGAAGACTTCAAGTTCTGTCTGACTGTCCTTGAATGCGGTTCCATGACCATGTATGTCATCTTCGCCGTCATCTTCTACTGTCTTGGTGCCGAATATACAACCTCTCCCATTCTTGGATCGACCTCGACCACCTTTGCAAAGGCTGCTTTCGGCATCGCCCTTCCTGCCATCTTCGCTACCGGCCTCGCTTATGGTCACATCGGATCCAAATACATCTTTGTCAATGTCATGAGATGGACTGGTAACCTCAACGAAGTCACTTCCAACTCTGTCAAATCTTGGTCAACCTGGATCGCTTCCGTCACTGGCTTCTGGATCGTTGTCTTCATTCTATCCAACGCTATTCCTGTCTTTGACTCGATTCTTTCTATTACATCTGCGACAACAATCTCTTGGTTCACTTATGGTTTCAGTGCCGTCTTTTGGTTCCACATGAATAAGGGACAATACTTCCGCGACTGGAAGAAGACCTGCTTGACAATCGTCAACGCCCTCCTTATTATCATGTCACTATTCATGAACGCAGCTGGTCTGTGGGCATCTATCACTGAACTTCTCGACATCTTTAACTCTGATGGTGGCGTTCGTGGTGTTTTCTCTTGCGGAGACAACTCTTGATGTTATCTACCTCTTCTTGTACTATAGAATTATTCCAAGTAGCGTTTTCTCAATTACATGGCAAATTTCGACGTTCAATCATTCTATCTACCAGCCATCAAGGTCTAAATTGATTGCGATACATTGGAAGTATTGTTTGTGATAGTGGTATTTATGCTTAGACTGACTTTTGTACCCTTCTGTGTTGGCGATGCGATGCGATGCTTAGGCCCATAGTTTGGGTGATGAATTAAGCCTAGATACAGTTGTGATTCCGCTAACTTCCAGCACCTTCCAGGCCCTCGGGAATACGGCAATAACGCTGTTGTGTTCCGGGCCAGATAAAGTACGGAAAGGTGCGTCTTGGCGCCAGCGGAATTAGGTACAGGGCAGAGTTTACCGTGCGCCCTTAATTGACATTCAACGTCGATAGCTAAAAATGCGCCTTCTGGATGACATTTTGTGATACCATACCCACCGATGAGAAACAAGATGAGAAGAAGGCTTCAGGTATAAAAAATAGAATTCCGTCAGAAAACTAAAATGTAGCAATACCATCATCTGCATCTTTATCTTCATCTAAAATGACTCGCAATCCATCTTCCCCGCCTTTCACCATTCGCAGCCACCAACCAGGCGACATGGGCTACATAACGTATCGACACGGAGCAGTCTACGCGCAGGAATACAGCTTCAATTATCGCTTCGAATCTTTGATTGCAAGAATCACCGCTGATTTTCTCGACAACTTCAAACCCGACCTGGAAGGCTGCTGGATTGCTGAAAAGGATGGATCATTTCTCGGCTGCATCATGTTGGTGCAAGACAAAAAGCCAAAAACTGCAAAGCTACGATTGCTATTGGTTGATGAGAGTGCAAGAGGTCTTGGTGTTGGAACGGCCTTGATCCAGCAATGCATCAACTTCGCGAGAGAAGCGGGATACGAGCACATTGATCTTTGGACGCAGAGCATTTTGGAGGGTGCTCGACGATTATATAAAAAGGCGGGTTTTGAAATGGTTGAGACACTGAATCACAATGACTGGGGTGTGGAATTGACAGGGGAGTTCTGGACACTGTCGCTGTGAGGGTCAGAGACTCTGACTTGAATATTTGACGTCAAGTTTGCTCGTTGAGGATTTTTGTTGCTGGTGCTTGTCACCTTGTCTTGGTGTCGAACTGGCTTGGCCTCTGTGAATGCTCTTTCACTTTCGGGCTCCAATTAGGGTCGAAACAACACGGTGCATACCGAAATTCCGATTAGTCCAGTATGTCATAGCGTGGAGTTAGCGTAGAGTAGGGGCCCAGTTCTTTGATCGAAGAGGAAATCTACAGTAATGAGTCGTCTTGTGTCATTATGGACCTGGTAAAGATAGTGGGTGAGACTCGATTAATAGTAGCTATTCTAAGTATGAGGACAAGTGTTTACGTCAGTAAGGACTGGCGGATGTGTGGGAGACATACATGGGATGCCGAGTCCCAAGTGGGATACATCGAGTGGGACATACCGAGCGGGGTAATTCAAGATCCAGGTTAAGCAGAATCAGAACTAACTGCGAAATAGTAACTAATAAAATTCTTATGCATAGTAATTATACTTTATAGCTTTAAGCATCTAGTGCTATATAATTATCAGACCTAGAGGTAAGTATAAAGGTAAGTACTTAAGAAGATAAACTGCAATCTATTTAAGCTAAAGCTGTTTTTCTTTGCAATATGATTTAAGTTCTACAGATACAAGAAAGTAGGAATAAATAGGGTATAATAGGTGTGCCATTAAAGAAAGAGTTATTTTCCATTCTATAAACCCTCCGCGGAGTTTGTCAGCCCCATACAGAAGTTGAGCAGGCTGGTCTGGCTTGATCCACCCTGGCCCTTAAGTTTAGATACTAGTATTGTCAGAGAACTGTGCATCGCAGTTTAACATTGGCAAATCTGTTATATATAGAACCGACTTGTCTCCCATGTTAGCCTACTACCTGTGTTAACAAACCTGGATTAATCAAGCACCTCATCCCATCGACTACTATGGATCTCTTGAAGCTCACCAAAAAGACCCTCCACGTCTCCCGCGGATTCACTTACACCTACTACACCTCCCGTGCTCAGGCTTCTAAGCCAACTCTCATCCTATTTCACGGCTGGCCTGACACGGCATTGCTCTGGGCCGGTTTCATCAACGATTACCTCGTCTCAAACGGCTATGGCATTGTAGCCCTAGACTGCCTAGGCTACGGCGAGAGCTCCAAACCAACCGATCCCAACTGTTATGCGCGGCAGCATATGACGGCCGATGCGGTCGAAATTCTCGACGCCGAAAGCCTAAACAGTATCATATCCCTCGACCATGACTGGGGTAGCATTATGTGCCAGCGACTTTATAACTTTTACCCCTCGCGCGTTTGCGGTGTTGTTATGGTGAATAACGCCTATAGCCCCCCAGCCGGGCAGTTCGACCTTGATGCTTGGAACAAGATGACCAAAGAAACCTTTGGGTACGGCTTCTTCGAACACTGGCACTTCTTTACCGCAGATGATGGCGTGAACATCATGAACCAGAATCTCGAATCTGTGTATAGTGCGGCCTTTGGCGATCCCCAAAGCTACCTCGAGAACTATAGTACCCCTGACCGCATGCGAAAATTTGTCACCGAGGGCAAGACGCAGCCGACACTACAATACACTACGTCTGAGCACAAGGCAAACTTCATGGCCCGGCTCGGTAGGGATGGTGGCTTTAACGCCCCAAGTTGTTGGTATAAGGCCTGGACCCTGGGTCTGCAAAACGAGGCAGATAGCCTGGTGGCCGAGGATGCAAAGACCATTAATGTGCCAGCCTTTTTCTGGGGCGCAGAGAATGACGCTGTATGCAAGCCACCTTACTGCAGCCGAGCGTTGGTGCAGGGCTGCTGCCAAATGTCAAGAGTGTTACAAGGGAGGGAGGTTATTGGGCACTCCTCGAGATGCCCGTTGAGTTTGGTCAGGATGTGGTAGGTTGGTTACAAGCTACTTTTGGATAGATAGTATCTGTATTCTCGGGTTGATAAGAGTCTCTAGCAGGCTATTGTTACTAGAAGGTGAAACTCAGTTGATGATAGCTATTCTAAGTATTCAATCTATGCAAAAGGCCCAGGCTAATATCACCTCTACGAAACCAATATTAACAGCCAGAACCTGCAGCATCTTCCTTAACCTATTATAGCATCTAATTCTTTGGAACCCCTGCGTGGCGAGAAGACTGGTCACAGTAAGTGATATTCTCAAGGCCTCAGAGGACTCTGAGAGACGTTGGTGGAGGACCGGGTTGAACTCCAGCTGAGGTTGCTTCTTGTTACGTGCATTCTGTGTCAACCATCGGCTTCGTTTTAATAGAAGACTAATTTTGTATTTTCCTCCGTTGTACCGTCTTGATTCAATTCGCTGTCAATTCAAAAAGTGACCTGATACGGCGCGGAGGCGCACCTTCCTGATATCCTGCTATAGATACGCCATATGGCGATTAAGGTTAAATATCAATGGCCAATGGAATATAGGAGACTACCTAAAGAGGAAATATATGCTGATACAGAGCAAGCCTGTGTGTTGGGAGACATTGGCGATGTGCCAAAAAGGAAGCGAAAGGACTTTACCCCTCTAATTACTGTGCCGGTTGAATGGCTGGGTACGTGAGAGGTAACGTAACAACTGACGCTGAACATAGAGAGCACTGTCTAATTGATATACTTCTGCTTGCTGAAGACTAGGGCTCGTTTCTAGCTCACGAGTAATACTGCTCACACTTTTGACTCATGACTTCAACTGGAGCCGTAGTTCTTTGTTGGGCAAGACAACTAAGCATATCAACAACGGTTGGAACTTTGGTCAAGATAATGGATGAAGCATCAATTGGCAAAGGCTATTCTGAATGTTAATCTATGCGAAAGGCCCATCGCCGATATCATCTCCAAGGAACCAATATTGACAGCCAGCGTCTGCAACCTGATTAGCGTCAATTTGCGTGTCTAAAGAAATAGACTCTCCAAGTTGTTAATATCTGGCGTTTATCTCCCTCTTTTCCCATAAATCAATAAAACCAAGAACCTCAACCTTCCTCCACGAGTTGCCCGATAAGATCAAAGATGACCAACTCATACAGTACAGCATGTGCATCATCTCCTAGGCCGAATGACAGCCAATTCTCGCCCGCCAAACACTCAGATACCACATCTCTTCCTTGACCTCTCCAAAAGTCTCGTGCCATCGACACGGCCAGCCCAACCCCACTATCCAAATATGGCGAGGGACAACTTTCAGCCTCCGGGAAGATCACATTGTACATACGCTCCCAGCGCCGTCTATTCGATAGTTGGGGATTGTCTTTCTGGGAAAGTCTGCTTCTTTGGTAGAAATTTACTCCGTCTGGTATTTTCAGAGACTTCGTTCTGCATCTCTTCTCCAGGATATGCCTGTCGCATTTCGACACAGTCTCAAAAGTCTTTGAGCACCTTGGACAGTAAGGCGGCCTAGCGTGATGCCGTTTGACATGCTTTATCACACTCTCAATCGAGTGAAGTTCGTGTTGAATCATGCAGCTCTGGTATCTCCGTGGGTCCAAAGCATAGAAGGGGCATCGGTAGTGGAAGTATCTCCCAAATGTTGGTATAATGACAAAAGAGTCGTCGCTTGTGCAATATTGATTGTTGCCCTCTGTCATCGGGTCCCTTGAAAGAGGCCATATTGATCCATTTCCGCATTCTTGTTGTACTCGCGGCGGCTCGGTGTATGTCGCTTCAGAGAAGAAACTTTCAAGCTGTACACGAGCCACTGGCAGTAAATTCTGCCTGGTAAGTTGGATACTGGGGTGATTGAGCGATGTGCTATCTATCCATTGCTTAGACTCGACATCGCAACATGATTCGTCGCCTGAGCTCTCACTAGAGCTTTCGTAATTGGTTTCTCGATACCTAATGTCGCGTTCCCGAAAAAGACGTTGATTATGCGGCAATCGAGAGGTCCGTGATTCATGTCTGCCGTGGGCTGAAGGCTGCGAAGGCCTTAGTGGAAGGGTTTGCGTTTGCGTTGGTGTCGCTCGTCGGGAGCGAAAATGAAGAATACCCATGGTGATAGTGAATGCCGACTAAATTGGAATAAGTAGTCTTAGAGGTGGCGACTTAAGATGCAATTTGATTCCTGATTGGAGGATAAAGTCCATGGCGAGTGTTGAGGCCGATTGTGATTAAATGGCTGTCTTATACTTGTCACGGCGAAAATTGGCTTCAGAAGCCCACGCAGAGCCTCAACAATCTCAAATCACAGGTGTGTAGGTGGTAGAGCCGCAGGATTTTAGCGGTGACGAATGAGAGCGGTAACCCAATCTGCTATCCCGGCACAAGCTGAGCCTCAATTTTACTGGGGACGCCAAATGAGACATCAGACACATGTGTGACAAATACAAATCAGCCACCAACTTGCTGGTCTTTGCACTAACAGAGCCTCATTATCGCATGCTTATCTTGAGATGCTGATGCGTTTTAGTTATCCTGGTGTCACTTTTCTGGGTCACCTGGCAGAACGAATTAGTGAAATAGCCTCTGCATTTCACATTCAGCTGACGCATAATTGTCTTGGGCAGCATTAGGCGCCTTCTGTCGCAACCTTCCCCAACGAGGTTGTAATTTGGGTCGCATTATCCTCAAATTCGATTCTTGGATGCGCTTTGATAGATGTGCTCTCTTGAGACTTCATAGTGATAAGACTCAAAATTGCCATTTTGACTTGCTTTATCGCCGTTACGTAGTGCATAGGGAATATCATGCTATCTCGAGATTGAATTACATGTGTAGAATAATCAACGTTCAGGCATTCAGTTATGCGAACGTGATATTAAAATGATGCATAAAACAGTGACAGCCTGCATAAGCAATATTATTCATTCTAGAGTAGGCCCGCTGTTGCCAAGCCCTTCAAAATACTGTCCGCCACCTAGACAGTTAATCCACTGATCAAAATATTCATCCTCACCAAAGAATACAGGATCGAAGATCGAAGATTCTTCCGAGGGCTGGGGCCAAAGTAGTTCATCCGGTATGTCCTGTGACGCAAAAGGTCTAGTTTCCATTGTTGATACGTCTGGTTGAGCATAAATATCGTCAGTGTTGGGCCTAAAAGACTCCCCGGGATTGGGCGAAGGCTCTGGATCATGGCTGGGTGGTATATCATGGACCTCCGGTAATTGTCCCAGTGTCGAAGGTGCTAACCCAGCCTGAGGTTCTCCGTGTACAATGGAACTGGAAGTAGGAAGTGGATTCCGTATCAGCCTCAGTATAGCGTTGGTAGTAGCTGAGGTACTATCACCATCCGGCCTAACCATCGCATTGCGGAGGAATGACTGTAAAAGACTCGGCAGTTCTCTCTCCAGAGTGCTGTACTGCACTTCCAGCATAGACTCCAGAGTTTCAATGAACGGTGAATAGGGAGCTGGGTGTTCTCCAAAGAGCTTTTTCCATGCTTTATACCACTTTTCTTCATGAGAACCATGTAGGCCGGTGAGATCGTTATACTCCTCTTCAAGGAGCAGTCCAGTTTCCAAGAGGGTTTTCTTCTCACAAGCATCTTGGAGAATATGTGCATTTTTTTCAGCCTCAGCGAACTCGCCCTCAAATTCTTTTCGGCAGTTGGGGCAATGCTCTCCTTGGATAAGATGTATTCGCTTGAGGTGTTGCAAAACATGATCCCACTTGATGAGGTTGTATCCAGCGCAGCATTGATATTTTTGAGGATCCAGCTTGAAGAATAGACAAGCAAGCTTCTTGATAAAAGGCTGTTGGGGGCCAAAGCCTCTTTTCTTTTTGCCTGGGCCTTGTCCATTTCCCTTGTTGCCTTTGCCATCATTCCGGTCATTATTTTCCCTGTTAGATCGCTGTTTCTTTTCACCAGATTGATTTCCAGAGCCTGGCGAACCAACCCGCTTATATCCGAAGCTCGGCGGTTCAGACCCATACGATTCCAGTGTGAGACAGTGGAGAAACCACCAGTGGCGGTGTCTGCGGTTCCCTGGGAATTGAACCACCGCATTGGGGTCGCCATTGGCTCCATTGTTATAGTGTCGGGTAGCCGCACTAATTTGGCCTTCTGAGGGCAAGGGTGAAGCTTCGTCTTGAACCTTGGTAGCCACCTCTTGGTTTTTATTCTGGTTTCGTCCCTCTGGCTTACAAGAATCGGCAAAAAGGCTCAGGATACAGAGCTGCTGGATCAAGATCTGCAAGTTTGTTGGCAGCTTTCTCTGCTTCGGTGCAATTGAGTAGTAATTGGATTCGTGAAGCACCAGACCAACACCAAATTCTTGGTGGATCTGGAGCCCACTTGGTAAAAGAGTGATGATGCTCATTGCGAAAAACAAGGCTGTAGGCAAATCAATGAGAAAACAAGGGTACTCAAACAACGAATTGTTTTCGTTGTGAAACTCTGTTTGATAATAAGTTTAAGAAGTTGAGGCTATCACAAGTGAAAAAGAATTCTTTGTCAAACAATGCAAGCCAACTGTCTTAGTTGAGATCTAATGAGTCCGCCACCAATTCATCCTCACACCGTTGTGTTGGTAAGGCGGCCAAGGCAACCAGAGCAAAATCTGAGACGGCAATAATTATTCTTCAGTTTCAGCAGTCTTTCACCTTTGTCGATGCACAGCAACGTGTCTGCTGTTATGGAGGGGGAGGGGTGCATATTGTACTAGATTATAATTGGCCATGTCCGAGAAAGCTGCAGAAGCGGCTTCAACACAGATGTGTGAAGGAGGGTCGGAACAACACATTTGTCTCCATATTAAAGCCACGGGCCATGCGATTGGTCAATCTACCTTGTCGGGCTAGAGGCTTTCACAAGTCGAGAAGGTCGACAGTGGACTGGAGCGCACGAGGTTGTTATGAAACTGTCATTTTTTAAGAGGCACTGTAAAACAAGCCTCAGCTATAGCTATGCATTATTTGCCATTCTATCCGGTGATTATCTTGAACACAATGGTGTCAAGTTCTTGCAGTCAATACGTATATTTGCAGCAACCCCTGGACTACGAAGAATTATTACGTAGGTCGGGCCCTGTTACCCGAATTGGGACTAATCAATTCAGTCATGTCCCAAACACAGGCACAGAAAGCCAGAAAGGCTAATATAAAGCGGCAAAGGCAGCAAAGAGTCCAAATATGGTTATTAAATAGAGGCCTCAGTATTCAATCACGATTGATTGGCAAGGGGAGGAAAGAAAGCCTAGGAACTCTATTCTAGGTTATAAAAATATCTAGGTAAACCTAGGATCATTTATTATAAATTTTATTGAGTCTTGAAGTGCCTGCACATTCACATTATAGTGGCTCGTAGATCTGCTAACGCTAGAGCCACTCCCTCCAGCGCTGAAACCCCTGTCCATTGGTGCTAACCTCCAGTAAATGTGCCACAGACAACGAAGGACGTCACTCATGTTTATCCAGTTTTTCATCATGCATCCCATGCTTGGTTCAGCATCAACCTGATCGACGTTCTCGTTCGTAATATTCTGGAAGAGCCTCATGGAGTCAAAGGCTATGTGAGAATGCGTGACCAGACTGCTATGAAGGCATCCGCATCAATACACCAGTTGTCTTTCACTGCGGTCCTGTTCGCAGGAATAATCGTTGCCTCGACAGTGCTAGAGTTCATGGCAGGCCAGAACTCCTGCCCATGGCTCCAGCTAACTCAGCCACTGGAGGGAGGCGAGGGGTCAGATAATGATATGTCTTTTGCAACCTCGGCAGTGAGCCCAGAACATTTCACAGCACAACAGTCTATGAGCTCTTTATTCGACTTCGAATTTGAAACAGCTTTCTCAACGCCCATACCACCTTTTCCAACGCACGACGCAAGTTCACAGACACTTAGCTTCGCAGAAGCCCTCCATCGTACCCAGATAGTGGATCATGGAACAGAAGCAACCAACTTCAACGCTGAAACGCAGCCCCAGTACTGTTCTCTTGACATGCTTTCGAATAAATCGCTTCCATTGAGACAAAGACCTGTTGATGAAGCCGAGGGTTTCGCGTTCTTCGATGCATCAGAAACCTGCAGCTATTATGAACGGGGTCAAATGGACAGTTTGCCAAGCAGAAAAATTGCCGGACCTTGTTCCACTTTGCTGTTGACGTATGGCAGAGGTGAGATGACTAGGCCTCAAATATCTCTCTATCCACTGACTATGAAGCAGGCGACCATTCCGAACCATTACAGTCAATTGAAGAAGATCTACCGTCTTCGAGAGAACAATCAATACCTCTGAGCCCAACTGAGACGTGCGTTGGCGACGAAGAGGGGAGTCCTTGCTCCTCAGTGATTGAAAGTGACGATTCCAGTATAGAGGACATTGAAGAAAGGAAAGCCTTTGCTTGCCCGTATCTCCGGCTCGATCCAGTGCGCCATATCGAATGCTTGAGTCGTAAGCTTTATCGTGTTCAAGATGTGAAGCAGCATCTTTCTCGCCGCCATTATATCAAGCGAGATAGGACAATAAGCACTTCTGACAATACAAGAGGAGTAAACATAAGGACTCAGAGAGTTCTTAAACTCCGCTTAGATAGAAGACTATCACCAGAAAAGCAGTGGCACGAGATCTGGAAAACTCTGTTCAATCGGACATCACCAAGAGAAGGGCCTTATCTCGGTGACTCTAAGGAAGAAATCGTTGGAAGTATGATTGCGATATGTAAGAAGGGAAGCAGCCGAGTCGTTCCAGGGATATTAAGAAGCATAGGGCTACCAAATGATCAAGGAAAGGCTGTTCAACAGTTGATGGAACAATTGTTCAACGGGTTTCAAGCATTATCGAATGAAGAATCGAATGATATGGAGACAGAGAAGGTTTCGACATGCGGTGGCGTTGATTCGATACCAATGACACCAAAGGACATGGAGTTTGACTTCACTTTACCACTACGTCAATCGCCCACAACAACCGTTCAAGGATACTTCGCAGCTAAGGTCAGAGAAGACACACTAGACTGCAGTCCGGGTCCTGAAATACAAGCCTGGTCCCCAGACCATGCTAGCTTTGAAGGAAACAAGGAGAAAGCCATTACACAAGATGGGCCTTTGGAGCATTCGATGGCAGACCAATATTGGGCTGTTGGTAGGAAGACATCACATTGCACGGAGACGGTCCATGTCCCTACCGACAAGGATAGATGGAAGTCATTGGGAAATTGGATTCCCGAGCTTGATGATGAGCAGGACTCAAAGTTATGGGAGTATGCCCGGGGATGGAAATGCCACGAGTGCGGGTTTGAATACATATTCAGGCCTACCGGAGTCAGCAGTGACAAAGTGTGCATCAACTACCCATGTCAACACCAATTTCGTAGTGACTGCTGTTTGGTTTACAATGTATTAGTTAGAACAGGGGTTTGAAGACTTTGTGTTGATGTCACAGCATACTTTACTGAGAGCGTAATTCCACCTGTATTAAGAAAGCACTAAGTAAATGAGAGGAAGCTCTTGTCGTAATCCCGATGACTCTGTCAATTTCCAGTAACCTATATATCAGACTCCTTCCCGGCGCCAGACTTGGCTGTGTTCAGACCAAGGGGAATTGGCGATGCCCTCAAGATAGGGAATCCAGTAATCGCAGTGGTCGAGCCACCATTGCTAACGGTCGAGTTGTTCTTGGGCGACGTCAACACGGTTCTCGTGTTTGAGTCTGGACTCTAGTGTCGCATAGGCGTATGGGAATTCATTGAGGAACCTGATTCGACCATATAAATTGCTTTTAACAGTAATACTAAGCGAATGGAAGAAAGGATTGAACTCACCGTCGCGATACCCGGGCGCCATCTTCGCAGAAGATTCTCATTTGCTTGAGCGCGGGCAGAGATAGACCTTGAGAACACTTGGCATTGGACGGCCAAGGATCTAGATTCACCTGCAGTTTGTAGAATTGTTTCCGTATTCTTTTCAGTAAGCTTGAGTAGTTACTGTCCAATTTGTATGTACGATAGGCGGTGACTGCATCTATTGTTGGGCCATCGTCGCTGATATCAGGCTCTGTGCCGTATGTCTCAATGCGGCGATTGGAGTACTCCTAGGTACTCAAATGACAAGGCTCAAATGCCATGGCCTGATCGGACATATTGTTTAATTGTTGTATAGTAATATGTATGGAGTCAAAAAGAAAAGGCCGTGTCTTGCTATTCTGATGATAGTGGTAATGGTGACGGCCGTGATGATTATGCTTAAGGAGAGTTAATCATGGGAAGAAGGAATGTTTTTGACTCGACGTGTCTCCCAACAGTACTGGGGAGGTACAAGTGATATTCATTCATTCTTCCCAAAGCATGTTGGGAAATGATACTTGCCTACATGGGAAGGTACCGGTTGGAATCCCAGAATGATTCTGCCCATTTCCATTGGTCAGGCGTGATTTCAAAAACATACTCGCAATGTACCCATGGATTCCAGCTATGCTTCTCTACTGTTCCAATTTTGTAGAGCTCAATACCATGAACCATGAGAATATTGGGATATGGGCTGTCCAGGATGCTCTCAAATGACCATAGTACAAACCGTACTTGATCGTGAAGAGCCATACTCTGAAGCTGGAGGAGCGTACCAAGCCCTTGCGATGTGAGGTAGTGTACGTACTTGTTCACCTCGATCTGTTTGCAGTTTTGCAGTCGTGATTTTCGTCGGTCTTGATTCCTGCCACAAACGAGGCATGATTAGCTTACTCTTAGAGAGCTCATTACATTCTTCATCATGGTGCAATGTTGATCGTAAATGTAGTAAGCAATGGAGTAGAAAGTCTCCGTGGGATCATTCTCATCTTCCTCACTACAAAGACTCGGAGAGAAGAGAAGGTAACGAATTTCCATGCCCCTCGCAAATAAGGGCTCCCCATTGTGGAACAAGGCTTGAACGTAGCTCTCGAATCGACAAGCGGTGTTGATGAACCTTTGATGCTCTCTGGAGGAAACTTTGGGCAGGTCTTTTGAACGTGGTAGATTCCTGAGTAGCTGTGCCCGTGCCTGGGAAATATAGCTCGTTGTTAGCCACCCAACATCGATGGAGAGGGTTGAGAGTGCGCAGATGGTCGCTAGTGAGGCTCGATGTGACAAAGGGCGTTGAGACAAACGGTGTTGAGATAAAGGGTGTTGAGTATGATACCAGTTGATATAGGACCGCAGAATCGGACTAAGGATTTGTTCACGATGATGTGGCCTATGATCGTTGAATCCAGGGTCCTGTTTTGCATGGCGGAGTCGACCTGCTAACAAATACGCAGTTGGGGCATGGCCCCCACAGGCTTCTAGAAGATTATCGACACGCGGCTTCATTACTTGTTTTCTATTGTTGAGAAAACATTGTAGGAGCCAAGGGTCGGCGTGAATCATGGCAGAAAGATCTTGTGGCGCGTCGACATATTTCATGATCGCCACTATGAGCTCGACCGGCAGATTCTGGAATACGGCCATGGCGAATGATGGTGAGCAAAGAACGGTAGAGGAGGGAAATGGGGAGAAGAATTGGGATATTTATATGTGTAAATAATAGACTTTTTAGAACTTGCCACGCTGTGAAGTATATATAAACTTTCTCTGAGCTTTATCATGAGCTACTCGAGTGACCCCAGCAAGCAAGAAAGCTTCTGATGCTAAGCTGAGGTGCCTAGTCTAAGGTCCACTAAATCTATACTAAGTTGTATCAAATTTACCTAAGCCTTTTTGTTACTTAGGATAGATGTCATAAGCCTTTTCTCCTTGCCTTGACCAATTGCTGGCCACGAGGTTAAAGTTTTGAAATTCTTTACGAGTGACTTTTGTAAATAAAGTAGATAACAAAGTAGATTAAGTTTTATGTGGTGATTGCAAGCTCTCAGCCACAGATATCAGCGGCAAATAATAAACATTTGGCTCACGAACCCTATTGTCAATGAATCTACCATTCCCTTAGACTTTCGCGTCTCTCGCACTCAATAAGCCCTGTGCACTTATGACAGCTCAGTCTCAGGGCTCAAGCTGGAGATGACATGTTCGCGCCAATAATCAATACCCGCAATCATGGCCCCAGGCCCAGCCAGTCCCAAAGCACCAAGCGAAGCCAAGCCTCCCAGCACAGCCTGCTTTGTTCTCACGAAGCCAAGTGAGCGTAGTTCCCAGACGGCGTACAGAGAGTATGCCAGGCCCGAGGCTGCGCTTATGATATATGTGTTTGGACCGAATGGTGCTACTTGTGATATGGCCGACAGCGTCCAGTCGGGGGATGATATGGCTCTCGTGATGACGGGAACAGCCAAAGCAAGAGCAAGTGCAAAGCCATGGGAGAACTTGAGGGGCGCTACGTCCTCGTTCTTATACAGTTGAAGTTCGGATGGGGGGGCATAATTGATTGGTCTGTCTTCAACCTTGGTGTCGGATTCCGGTTGTTCGCTGTTGTTCGTCTTGATGCGGATAGCAGCAAGTCCTCCAGTGAATACTGTACAAAGTAGTGGGTATGCCTGCCAAAGTTTCCCGACATAGTGCCTCAGTTTGGCGTCTCTGATCGGCAACAGCGCCGCCACCGTCGGTGCCACATAGCCTAGGAGAACGCCTGGAACGATGGACTTGGCGATCTTGGGGTCGACAGGTCTGTTGATGGTGGACTTGGTGGAGAAGAGGACAGACGACAGACAGAAGAATGGTAGCACTGAGCTCGGACCGATGAGTGAGTATATGAGCGAGTAGACCGTTGTCCTGTTCTACGTTAGTCACTGTGCCGAGTTATCATAGTGACAGAATTGTTTCGTACCATGACAAGGGGTTTAGTGAGTTTCCACGCCGAGAACCTTCGATAAGCCACGTAGAGAGAACGGGGATCAAATTAGCTAGGCCTGCCGCCGAGCTCTCGCCAACTACCTTTGCCAAGAGGCCTCCAGCACCCCATTGTTGAAGAGTGCTATAGAACACTCCCGTTCCAGCTCCAAGGTTCTTGTTTTTGAGCGCAGCAAAGAGCGACAACCCAAGAGTGCCGGTGGCGAGAACCCACGGGACTCGTCTGACAAGCCCGCCCTTGATGGGCTTTGCAGGTAATTCGTCCTCAAACGGGACAAAGTGAGGTCGTTTTGGAACAGGAATACCTTGGATCCTTGTGGCTTCGCAGCAGATCGGGGTGACAATGTCGATGAAAGCGTCTTGACCAAAGAGTGAAACAAGATGCTTGAAGATGAAGCGAGCGAACGGGAACCGCTGGCTGATCATCATTTGAAGTGAATGTGCTTGCTCAACTAGACGCTTGGCACGCTCGTAGCGGAGTTTGTGGACCTCTGACAGCGCAGAGTCTATCTGAGAGTCCGAGAGGCCTTGAGGGCTGAGTCTTAGTTGACAGACCAGAGCATTGACGAGCAGTGCTGCAGACTCCATGGCTCCGTTCCCACCTTGGCCAGATGCCGGATCAATCTATAAGACAATTTAGCCCTGCAAGAAGACGTTTTATGTGATCTTACTTACCTTGTGAGCCGAATCTCCTATCGTGATGATGCGTTTGTAATGCCAACGATCAAAGACATACTCCTCGAGCGGAACCAGCGTCGACATAATCTTTCGGTCATACAGCTCACCAAAAGTGACGTCTCGGGTAATATGATCGTCGCGGTGCCCCTTTACGAGTCCTTCTTCGTCGGCCTTGGTGTATTTCGAAATATCCTTCCCGAACTTTGTCTCTGAAAGACCATCGAAGAGGAACCAATACGTTCGGTCTCCTGGAGCTGCTATAATGAGATATGCATGGCCCTCGCCGATCACCATCTGCTGGCTTCGGCTACCTAGCTCAGAGGGCCGTTTCGAAATTCCAAAGATACACCTAGTCGAGACTGGAACTCCTACAGATCATGTGAGCGACGAAGACGACAGTGTGTAGTTATACGTACGAGAGTTTTCGTCCTCGGGGAAGTATCCCGGACTCTGCTCCTTTCCGAGGCGCCACATTTCGTCTCTTACTGCGCTGTGGATGCCGTCTGCTCCCACGACAATGTCGCCCTCGTACACGGACCCGTCTTGGGTATAAGCCTGGACTCCACCGTCGACCAATTCAACCCGAGAAACCCGCTTCTTGGTCAACACTCGATCTTTGTGTTTCAGGCTTCTGTACAGGACCTGCAACAACATCTGTCGATCGATGAAAATGGAGGGATAGCCGACCCTTGTCCCAGAGTTAGTAAAGCGAGGCTCCTAGATCAACATGTCAAAGTTGTTCCTACCGTTTCTCAAAGTGAACTGAGAGGCTCGTTGGTGAAGTAGCGACAAGTGGAAGACCATCAGGCCCATGCATGCCGCCAATGGTGTAGCGACAATCCCCAGCAATGTCGAGGATGGGCTCAAAACATCCAAGTTGATCGAGGATGCGGAAGCCGTTGGGTAGGATACCGATGCTGGCACCGACTTGGGGGGCTATCTGCGGATAGGCTTCGAGAAGAACATAGTCTATGTCGAACTGCTCCAGCATATTGGCGACGGATAGGCCAGCGACGCTGCCGCCCACGATGATGACTTTAAATCCCATAGTTTTAGGATGTTGAGGTGCTTAGTTGTTGATGGTTTGACTGTTGACTTTGAAACGGTATCAGATCAACATATATACACAGTGAACGAGGCGCAGAGCCTTCGTCAATGTGTTTTCGGGTTGGGCTTATAACCCGAAAAGGATCGACATATCGGACATAAACAACAGCTGGGGTCTCAACTTGTCCCACCGGCTAACGGAAATTGCGCAACCATGTTTCCACTCTACCTTACTAAGCGCGATATCAAGATACGCGTTAAATTACGAGTACTCGCATTGTCCCAAACTTGTTGAGCCATAGCAGGGCTAAAAGAATACATTTACTCCGCCTCGTCAGGAGTTTGCTATGTCTACCTCTTTGATAGTGTCCGAGCGCTACGATATGAACACCTCATTCGTCATGTTCTGGCTTCGAGTGCCTCTGGTCAAAGTCACTAAACCTGGCCTTAGCTGTACAAACAGCCGTTTACCGGCACTTCTGTCAGACTAGCTCCGTTCTGGAATAGGCCACTTGGGTACCACCGGGAATTTGGGTTTTCTCTCGTTGTTACCGATTTGTGCACGTATTGTCCCGGGCTATGCAGGAGGGTTCACATTGGGTTTATGGCTTTTGCTACGTATCACCAATCAAAAGGACTAACAAGCATTGTGGTTCATAACGAATATGAAGGGAGGTGTTTCTATTATTGGTTGCCTTCTTACTGTACGGTGTTTCATTTACAACCAAGAATACAGCCAAGGATTGAATCTATGCGGCCCCCCACATCGTCGACGCCTGCACTCCATCTGCCGGGATCTACAAGGGAAGCTGAACAGCTCCAATCTGAACAAGGATCCCAAATAGATCAGGCAAAGCCTGCTCTTTAACAATCTTCCCCTCCGAAAACGTAAAGAGGTTCATCCCAACTATTTCGAACGTTTTTCCGGATGGAGGAAATCCCATGAAAGGACCGGTTTGGGTGCCGCGGGTTTTAGAGCGTAGAACCACTTTGTCTCCTTCAGAAATTATCTGCTCTACACTCCATTGAATGTCGGGAAAGGCGCCACGCATGTTGCCTAGCATCTCTAAGTATCCGCTGGCACCCTTCAAGGACTTATTGTCAAAAGGGACGTGAAACTCGGCTGACTCGTGGATGACTTCGTTGCCAATAGCGGCATCCGCCGAGTTGATGAACTCGACGAATCGACGAATAGCTTGCGAGTAAGACATAGCTGTGTTTAGTCGCAGGGTTTAGCTGGATGACGGGGTGTAGAGAATAATGTTAGAGAGGATTCTTCGTTGTGACAGGTTTGATCAAATGAAGCGTTTTGTAATTACATATCTATCTGCGCACTGATCTTATATACTAGTCTAGAACTTTATTTGAAAGTGCAAAACTATCATACATCCTAAGCTGGTGACTAAGCGGGCGTTGGTCTGCATGGTCGAAATGATGCTGCATTGGTCAAGCGGCGTTAACAAAACCCCGATCGTCCGATGCCTAGCCTGCCACTGTCGAGGCTAACTCGATATGTTCTGAACGCGTTTCCGCCACTGGATTCGTATTTGTTTCACCTGGTAATTCTCTTGGAGATTAATTAGGGAACCTGCAAGTCGGCTGCCACTGAACTTTATGCCTTAGATAGAGTGCTTTAGCTGGAAAAGGACTCTGCAAGCTGTTAGGGGGATAAAACCCGAAAGGCCGCTTATATAACTAATCGTTCTATAACAAAGATCTATAAATATGCCCCAGACTACCAGGGATATAATGCTTAATTCTAAGCATAGTCAGACATATTCTAATTTTATTTCAGTCCCTGGTATACTTATTCATACACTCTTGTTACTACTTAAACCAATTATCTATTATTGGGGACAATGGCAGGCGACGGCATTGCCTTCTTCATCTTCCGACTCTTCATATTGAACCAGATCCTAGGAAGGGTCCCCCGTCCAACAGCTTCATTTGAGGGCAAGACAATCATAATCACTGGAGCCAACACGGGATTGGGCTTTGAAGCGGCACGGCACATAATCAAGCTCGGGGCTGCTAGGCTGATCATAGCGGTGCGCTCAACTGAAAAGGGAGAAGCCGCCAAAAGCGTCCTTGCAGAATCGACAGGGTGTGACCTCGCAATCTTGGAAGTATGGCCTGTGGACCTGGCGAGCTATGCCAGCGTCAAGGAATTTGCCGCGCGAGCAATCGCCGAGTTGCCCCGGATCGATGCGCTGATCGAGAATGCGGGGATCGCTTCTGAGAAGTGGTCATGGGCTGAGGATAACGAGAGCATGGTAACGGTCAATGTTGTCTCGACCTTTTTGTTGGCTCTGCTGCTCCTACCAAAGCTCAGAGAGACTGCTGCCCGTTACAACACGAGACCTAACTTGACTGTTGTCTCGAGTGACATGCACTACACGGTCGACTTCAACGAGAAGGATGCTCCCGAGGGCATCTTCAACAGCCTGAATAACGAGAAAGGGGCGGACATGGTCAGCCGCTATCCAATCACCAAGCTCCTCGAGGTATTCATTGTGCGCGAGATGGCGGCTCGGAGGCCCGTAGAGCTATGTCCGGTCACTATCAACACCACAAATCCCGGGCTCTGCAGCAGTGGACTGGGAGGCGGCGAGGAGGGTCTACTGTTCAAAGTCGGGTCCTTCCTGTTTGCGCGTTCGGCTGAGGTCGGCTCTCGGAACTTAGTTTACAGTGCTAGCGCAGGTGCTGAGACTCACGGCCAATACCTCGACAGGTGTAAGATACAACAGCCTGCTACTATTGTCACGGGTCCTGGGGGTAAGACCACGCAAGAAAGAGTATGGGATGAGCTTATCGCCAAGTTGGACAAGGTCCAGCCGGGAATCACGGGCAATCTATAGGATGCATCTCGTCTGTTGTTTGTAATACAATAATGGACGTGCTATTTAGTCTCGAGCCAGGCTAAATTTTATTCAGTATCATTTTCTTAAGCTTGTAGAGCTTAGGCTTCGAAGTACCAAGAGATATCTTTCAGTGCCCAGGTCCCTTCATCGCCACTCTTTCTGCTCCTCATCAGATCCTTTCGTACCCCGATACATGATCGCTCAGTCGCCTTGATCAGGGCATCGGGTCCTGCGCTATAGACCCACCCGTCTCCACGAGCATTAGCAGCCATGACGTTGTCCACTCTAAAGGCTTCCCTAAGTATCAACGCAGTATCTAAACGCCCGTTTTCAGAGCTTATATGTGACCTGATTTCGAGGCTGCTATTGTTAGTCGCTATGTCCGTGAGATCTGTCCACTCCTTCAACTCGAGTGACTCTCGGGTACGCAAAGTCCAAATCAAGGTGAACTGACCATTTACAGACCCGGCGTCCAGCCACCAACGTGCTAGACTTAGAGCTCCGGTAACACCTGTCCCGCCGACAACGCACAATATGTGAGATGCATTGATGTAGCCGGTATCGTTGATGCGATACGGTCCCTCGAGTCGGATTTCCAGATCTCGGCTGTCTTGGACATTGGGTACCAAAGTCCCTAACTTCCAAGTCCATTCTTTGTCAAGTCTCTTTTGAGACTTGCCGCTCACTCGTTGAAGTAAGAATCTCGGTCCATGACTAGCAGAAGCCGAAACGGCAGCCGTGAAAGCATGACTTTGGAACCTGCTGACGGCTGGAGCATTGAGGTAGTAATACAGTAAAGGCTCGCAGGTCGGTACGGGTTTCTCCGTCATCTGTTGTCCAGAACTATTCACAGGGAGCGAGATTCTGATCCAGCTCCCGCCTATATTCTCGAGCGTGGCGACAGTCTTCGTACTCAAGCCATTGGTTTCTCCGAAGAAGACTCTCCTCGACCAATCCCCTATCCACAGCAGCAAGCCAGGGAGAAGAAGATAGAAGTCGGTACTGGCATGGATACAGGAAGCAACAAAAATAACGATGCCACAGATGACATGAGTATAGTAAAACAAGTTGTAGTGTTGACGACGAATGTATGGGAGTGAAGTGATGAGGACTGCTAAGATCGGCAGGAAGGCGGCGATTCCAGTGTATGTGGTCTGCACAAACCATGAGCTTCGCTGTTTGCTCTCTGACAAAGTCATTGTTGGATTTCCTGTTGCCAAAGCCTCTTCTTTGGCTTCGTCACCTTCGCTGCTGCCATCTGTAGCATAAACCTGGATTGGATCAGTGATTGCAAAAGAAGATGAATGTCATGTTGAAGGCTTACAATATACGTGATGCCATGCGCAGCGACGGCGATCGAGAAAAGATAGGAAATGAGTCGATGAGCCAAAAGTAATGTGCCGTGGTGCACAGAGAATGCCTGTCCAACAAGACTATTTCTCGACACCGGTATGATCAGAAGGCCAAGAAGGACGTCCGCATAATGTCCGGTTACACCCGTAATGGTGAGCTGAATCTTGGCAGATAGCCAGCTCAGATGGTCGGTGCGAAGTCCCCAGAAATCCCAGTGGGTTGGAAACCAGTATATGGTCGGACCAAAAGTCATGATCAGTATCCATAAGGTCATGAAAGCCTCTCCAAGAGTAAACCGATTGCCTGCGAGAGGAAGCTCAGCTAGCGGCTGCATATTGGTAAACGACCGGATAGCAGGACTGTAGGAACGAATGGCAAGGAGACAAAGAGTAAGTGACAGAAAGCCATAATAAATAATGACATGGAGACGTGTCTCATACGAGAAATAATCCTCGGGGCATACAGTGGCATAACAAGAAAAGTGCATCATGACTAGACTGACTGCCGCAGAGGCAAGTGTCGTGACAATCAATGTCGTGGTTTGGAGAAACTTTCTCATGTTGAAGTTTGGGGTTTTGTAGTATGATTTGATATGGAGTAGGTAAAAAATATGATATGTAGAGAGACTGAGCCCAAGAAGTCAAGGCATAGCTTCTGCCACGAGAGTTATATACATCCCAGTGTCCCATTTCTTCTAAACCTGGAGTGCCGCTGGTTGCATAAAATGAGGCAGTGAACAGTGAAGAGCAACGCAAGATGGCCCGCGCCTCAATCTGACGAGGCAAAAGGATAAGACGCTTTCCTTTTTTGGTATAGTGAAATTAAATATTTAAGCTTATTGCAGCCTTTATTTGTAGCCTCACGCGATCTGACAGTATTGGAATCGGGATCGGGCTTTAAGCAAAATCCCCGTTCTTAAAACTAACAAGCATTAGCATTAAGGACTCTTCCAACCTTAAATCTCCGATTCCGATTCTTGATCCTCCCTCACTTTTGCCTAGCTCATCAAACATCATTCCGGACTTTTATTCCATTCGCCGTCCGATCCCTACAGGCGAGGATCCATCTCGCATGACTTCGCGAGAGAAATGCAGGATCCGCTAACGCATCGGCGAGAACCCCAAGAGTGCGCCTTTGAACTGGGCAAATGACTGTTCGCTGTGTGCGTATTCTAAAGTCAAATTCCTACTGGCGGATCTTACGGCATGACACATTGGTGATAGATGCGTCGTTCAGGTGTTTCTTTTTGGCAGTCATGTCTAAGACAGTCGTTCCCTCACAGGTGCCATGCCGTAAATAAAGACTGTGCTGACAAGGTGCAAGGAGCGGGAAAAAGAGAGCTGATAAGTCTTCGTGCGTTATTCCGTGTTCATAATGGCTCGTTTTCATCTGCTAATCCCGGGCCTACTTTGTATGATCCGTAGACTCACTCGGAGTTTCACTTTCTACCCTCGCATTCGAACGCTTTGGCACCGGCGTGCTATCTGACAACCTTTTTTCCTTTTTCTGAATCTTCTATGATTCTAGTTCGAATTCCAAATATTAAATTTTCCCTTTTTGAAGTTGTTTCCGACTCTTGTGCGATCTAGCTCGCCACCGCCTATTACGTCGCATATACCCAACAGATTTTGAACCTGATCTCAAACTCCAACCCACGACACAATGGTCCGAACAACCCGGTTTCAATCAATTCTGGCTAATACCCTTCCCACTATAAAGAGCTATATTCCTGAGCCGCGGGAGCTATTGCGGGTGTTTTCCTCAATGACCCGCCCACCTTGAGGTTTCTGATAGAGTCTGGGAATACATTATCTGTATACTGAAGCGGTGATGCTGATGTTAGCGTAGTGTTTCATAGGGTGCTGCAAGGGAAAAAGTCAGGCCGCAGGTTACTGCATGTTGAAAGATGGGGTGGCAGAAGAATACGTGCAAAGTCAACACATCACCCTGCGAACCAAAGAACAGGTTTACAAAGCCAAATCGACGTCAACACGTAGCCTCTATCTACAACCCTTGTAAAGCGCGCAAGAGGTAAATAATAGCGTACCAAGGAAAGCGTTATTCTAATTTAGAACCATGACTGATACATCATCTGTACAACAACCCTATTAAACCCCCTAGATACACGCCTAGTTCGAACACCTGTAAAGTCCTTTGAGAAATCCTACACTTGACTAAGAAGAAATTCTCCCGTTCAGAACGCTTCTGCCTCGATATCGTACGTCCAGTCCTTTTGACCGAGCCCCATGCGGTCCAGGCCAACAAGCTTGTAAAGCCATAACCCCCCTGAGATGGCCAGCTCATTAGCACGCACACGCCACGGCGATGTTTGCTTGCGCACCGAGCCGTTTGCCTCGGCTCTTTTGAGCATTGTCTCGGTCCTTGCTTTCCGCTTGGCCACATAGGCAGCAAGAGCATCTTCGGGAGGTAGGCCGCAGGTCTCTAGCATCTTGGAGAACAGGAAGACGTCCTCCAAGGCCATCGACACGCCTTGGCTGGCGTGAGGCGGCATAGCATGCGCGGCATCTCCGATAATCAGGCAACGGCCCCTGAACCATGGTCTTCCGGTTGGCAGCTTATAGATAGGATAAAACTTGACAACCTTGGTCTTTTCGACCAGGTCGTGCAGAAAGTCCATCCATTCAGATGGTTGATCCCCCAAGAGGTGAAGCAGATTTGACTTAAAGGCCCCTGTCTCGGCCTTGCCGCGAGCTTCCCATCCGTCACGGCCATCATCGGATTGTGGAAGAGGTATCTCTCGCGAGAAGAACCAGTAGAGAATGTCGCCTGTCGGTGTAGCTGGGGTGACGGCAAACAATCCGTCAGAGGTCAAAGTCGCGTTGAGATCCTTGAGAGGACCAGAAGGTGTATAAACCTCGTGCAGTTGGACCATAGAAAACATGTTAGATATGCCAGTATATTCAGGTTTCTGGTCCGGGTCGACATATAGCTTGCGGACAGCAGAGTGAATGCCATCGCATCCAAGTAGAAAGTCTGCTATATCAGTCTCGCCGTCCGCAAAAGTGGCGATTACCTGGTCGTTCATTTCCTCGATATGGGTAAGGGTTTTGCCGTACTTGACAGAGATGCTCTCGCGCTCAACTGCCTTGAGAAGAATATCCATCATGTCTGTTCTTCGGATTCTCAAATATCCAAACCCCGTCTGTTCCTTGCTCCAGGATGACATGTCTATCTCGCCCATGGTGCAGCCATTGAGAGAATGCAGGACCAGCCTCGAGGTCAGTGAACCTTTGTCTACTGCTTCATCGTAGAGACCGAGTTGGTGGAGCAGCCGAAGCCCGTTCGCTGGGATCCCTATAGCGCCGCCAAGGGTAGTTGGATTCTGACGGATCTCGTACACGGTAGGAGTCACACCATTCTTGCGCCGAAGGCGAAGCGCGGCAAGTAGCGCAGCTGGTCCCCCTCCGATGATAATGACCTGTCTATCTTTAATTTAACGCATTCTTGACCATTAACAAGAGCTTGCTTGACTGACCTTTTGTATGTCTTGGAGTGGTTTTGCCATGGTAGTCGCTTGGGTATGAGGTTTATCTATTAAGTTTTAGTATATTGCTCTAGGAGAATCTTCGATTGATAGTCCTTATTTATCCTTTCGAGATAACGACGCCAGCACCGGGTATCTGATCAGGCGCCGCAGTATATTCGTAAGTAAAGAGATCGGAATGATTGAATCTGCTAACCACCGTCGGCGTTTATGGTTACCCTCGAATCTAGCTACGTTTCACGTCATGAGTCGGGAAACTCGGCATATATAAGAAGCCCGACTAATTCTCTTGTCTAAGTGGGCCATGAAGCATCTCTGCAAGGATGTAAGAGTAGGTAGCCTCGTGACTTATTGGACATTGTTTCCGACCGCGAATCCAGCCATAACTCGAAAGATGGGCCATCGGGACTTGGAAGTGAACGCATTCTCCGATTTGAACCGATTTGGAAATTCAGAGTTACGTTCGGAATTGGTATAAAACAACGAAGGATTCTACGTTGATACGAGCTATAAAAGATGGACCGTCGGACTTACAAGAATCGCCATGTCCGACGGACACGGCCTTTAAAGGAAATCCAAGTAATAGAAGCTTTTGCTGAATATTAGACAATCAGTTACGGAAAGCAGCTAGAACTCCGCATAAGCATATGACTCGTATATTCACTATCTCACAGCCTCTCGATAAGGACCCGAGTGGCCCTGCCGCGATAGATGAGAATTTGCAAGTCAATGAGTATGAGCTAGCTGGCCTCCAACTATCTTGAACAAAGGCTGGAGAGACGCGGCAGGTGGTGATAGTAAAGCAATTTACGAAGACCCTTAGCTGAGCTTGGAACAGAGGCTGGGGCGTTGGGTATGTTGGTTCATGAAATATTGGAATGCTTCCTTCTTGCCATGTCTTTGTTCGACACAGTTCAACAAAGATGCAAGTGCCGAAACTGTGAACAAACAAGAGCCTTCGGAACTGGTTCTTGGGGCTACTTCGGAGAATAGCACTTGACAATCTTTTGCTTCTCGTTACTCATGGTATAGCAGAAGCTTTCGGCTCAACAGACTTTTCAGTACGTCAGATTCAAGGTATATGCGAGAGGCAATACGCCAGGGTCTAGTGACATTATCCTGTATTCAACCATTCAATAGGGCAAATAGTTTCCTCTAGTGGCTCTGGTCTACCTTGGAGGAAACCCAAAGCTGTCAGATTGTGCGGTTAGCAGCTGAACATCGAAGAAGACACTACATCAGTTGTCGCATATCAACGATGACCGACCCCCTCGTAGTCGCCACTGACGACCCGATACAATTCAGATCACAAGGCCTTTAGACACTACCCTGAAGCTCAGCGTAACTCTGGCCCCGTCTTTGGAGAGTCTGGTATAGCTGAGCACTGTCGCTTGAGCTGTACATGCAATGAGCTTGGACGGATTGAAGTTCAGCCATAACATCGTTTGCAGGGCCCATTCCACTTCGGATCTCGCCAATTACTCAAAGTGGATTATCCAGAAAGCAACCATAAAGCGAAATGAGGGTGGAGTGCGCAAAGCATCGGGAGCTCCCGCCGAGAACGCGGCAGGCGGATAATTGCTGTAGACCACTTTGAAAAAGCAAAAATGGTTCGGCAATTGGTTAAGCTGAACGGATATCCGCCGGCCATAGTCAGGGGACGCATTAAACCTCAAAACGGCCAGTCTAATAGACGGAAATACTTAGGTAACCTGGTCTAAGCCCATACTATGTTATAGTAAGCTTGGGAGAATCTTGATTGGTTTTTTTAGTCTCTTAGGAAGAGATCCGAAGCCATTTGGCTGCTGCGACGAAGTTCCTGGCATTAGCTCCAAGTCCCCATATATCCACTACCCCATGGACAACTAATCTTATTCATGATCCTTGTATCTCATTGGCTGGTTTGCCTACCAAGACTTCTTCTCTCTTTTCCCTTTCCTGGTAATGTTGTTCTGACCGGCAAGAACTCCGGTCGCTCTCCAGGTAACCAGTCATATTAACAGCCAGGCCAATGCAACTATGAGATCTACAATACGAGCTCAGCTAGCTATCACCCTTGTCAACTCCTGTGACAATCCTGACGATCCAAGGCTGGATCAGAAAGAATGCGTGGTCTTGGCAAGAAAATCTAGGTATCAGACCACGATGCATAATCATGATTCATGTACCAATCTCAACACCGTCACGAGACCTTGACAAACTGGAAGGTGGCTGACAAAAAAACAAGATTCTGCATCTCTGAGGTTGGTGAGCTGGTCTGAGGCTTGAAAAAAAGGCCTAACACCTCGGAAAGAACTACTGCTGCATCACCGTGTCATCACACCGATCCACAGTCTTCCTTGGTGTTGGCCACTCCGTTGCACAAGCCCAGAGCCTCAAGGTCGTGGCGATCGACGATCACTTCGCTCAATACGACCTTGTGCTATGGCAAAGATTTATATCGGTTTCTGTACGCCGGTGAAAGCCATATTGCATGTTGCAGATCTTGGAGGAGCTGAAACATATAGCGATAATCTAGGTAGTGATCTTCGGAAAATTAGATAGTTCGACAAGTGGCTGAACAAGTGCTATTACCCTATTGGATCCCTTTGTTGGCCAACGAGTAGTAGGGATATCTATTGCAGACTATCAGACCGAGTCAGGCCTGACTGACAAATTGTGAGGCTGGAGGACATTTGAATTGTAATACAAACTCCGTAAAAACACGGAACTTCTTATCAGAGTATGTAAAATGCAGATCACTCTTGTCTTCACCTCCCTCCGCCATTGACCCTTCGTAAACCAAGCCTTTTATGAACATACGCCTTTGAGACATTCCAACGGGTCCTTGACTTCCCATGGCAGGGATAAAGAACGCATGTCAGTATTGCCACACCAAGCAGTGAACGTTTTGCCAGAAATGTCTTGGGATTTTTGGGGCTAAACTGAGGGACTGTTGCGGCACATTCATACAATCCACTTTCTCTTCTGAGCCAACAGAGCCTGTTTGGGGTTCTCTCCCTGTAAGCGTTACGAGAGGGCTTTACCACGTTGAGGAGAGATCTTCAACAGGAAAAAGCAAACGCAGAAAATAGTTCAGTGTGCGGTGCCAAAGTCAGACGCCAGATGTAACGCTCTCTGCCCTCGTTCTGGCCCTTGCGTTCTTCTCTGCATAATACTCATCAGCTAATTCTGCCCTTTTGGTATTTTCGTCCCATGAATAGCATTGATCATCGGCGTCAAGCCACCGGGCTGAGACTTCCGGCAGTTGGGTCCAATTAAAACCTTAGTCTCAGCCCTTCCTACCGGGCTATCGGCAATAAGACATTTTGGTGGGCGAGACTCTTGAGGCTAGACTTGCCCTTTTGCCGATCGCTGCATGGTCCAATAATGGCAGCTAAGACAATTGAGCCAGGAACGCGTGGTTGTCGTGGCGTCTCGGTCTAGGGCAACGGACCATGGAAAAAGCAATTTATTCCAAGTTCACAGCGGGCTAAACCCCATTGTGGCTGCATATTGGACCACGGCCCCGTTTTGGCTTTCAGCCAAGGACCAGGAGGGGAGAGCAAATGAGGGCGCTTGATGCTGGTGCTTCAAGTTGTCGTTGACGACGTGGCTACCGCGAGACCCTTGTGCTTCACACGAACAATCCACTACACTCAAAGTTTTATGCTGTGCATGTCCATGCTTTTCGGCTTTTGAAGAGTGTCATTTTTCTCATGCAGAGTATTGCTTTTGGACGTCGCGGATCACTGCAGTTAGCCGCGGACACGGAACCGCGCCTGACCCATGACGATGCTACGTCTTGGTCACGGAGCGAAGGTCCGGACAGCCAAGGCAGTGTCACGATCTAATTTTGTTGTTTTCTCTTTAATGAATTCTACTGAGCTTATTCTGCTGTTCATTCAATAACTGCTCAGTACTATTCTTAGCTGAAATTGGACTTGATGCCCTGAATCCCCATAGTGCGGGCGCTAATCAAGATACCGGGGCCATCCGTGGCCTGAAAATTTACGAGCGGACTCTCGCCCTACAATTCTAAAATACTAGCGGCATCGGCAGTTAGAATCGTACTGTTACGCAAAAAGTATATTGAAACAATGCAACCATCCCTGTAAGAAATTGGACATGACAAACAACCAACAGTATGATCTGAGCAGGGAAACATGGGTCTCTCCCTTATCCCGGCCAGGTACCGAGTGGATGTTGACGATCACAGACCAAGGGAGAAAGAGTTGAGCCCCACTAACAGAACAGTGCAGTGATCGCCCCGAGTTCCGCTACTCAAAGTCTATGGACTGGACTCAGCTGAGATGTGTGATGCGGAATATCGTCGCGTAGTATTATGGCTTGGGAGTAATCTCGTACAGTCAGGTAGACAGGCCCTTGATCAGGGAACTCAACGCTTTTGGTGTGAGCTGTCAAGTATAAAGAGGCCATCATCCTCCCTCTTGGACTCAAAATCCTCATCAACACTCATCAGCATCTCCAACAGCATCCTCAACACCTTCAAACACTTCACTCACTCCCAAAACCAACTCTTTCAACTCAACTCCATTCAAAATGCAGTTCACCAAGATCGCCTCTGTCCTCGCCATGGCCGCCGCTGCCATCGCTGCTCCCGCTCCCGGCAACTACGAGGTCGAGCCTCGCACTGGCGGTGGCAACAACCAGCCCGCCTGCTCTGCTCAGAGCCAGCAGGTTTGCTGCACCGGTCTCAGCTGTGTCGTCCAGGTTCTCGGCGGTTGCTCGACCAGCTCTTTCTGCTGCAAGACTGATGCCCCTGATGTGAGTAATCCAGGAGAAAAGGCAGAATAAGATTTGATACTGACTGTTTCAGGGCGCTCTCGTCAACGTCGCTCTCCTCAACTGTGTCAACCTTCTCTAAGTGACACGCCTCGGCGACTTGACTTATTCCATGGAGTAAGCAGTTGGATATTGGGGCACACATGGTATGAAGGATCTGACGGAGAAAGCCTATGCCAGCTACTCCGTATGTCAATAGGCAGTGTTGATGTTTGTATTTACTTCGATGACCTTAATTCTGAGGTTGAATATACATACAGGGGTTATATACTTGACTTGACTTGACTTGACTTGGCTCTTGACTGTGAATCGTGACAAGGTATTAACAAGCTCAGCAAGATCACATAAATGAACTCAACTAGATCACATGAAATACCTTCAGACAAGGTTTGTAGCTGATTAAATTAACACAAAAGTCAGCTTCCAGGTAAGCTTCAACTCTGCTCATCATACTCTCGTAAACTTGGGACTCAATGCCGTTACCGGATGCTGCGGAGTTCAAAACTCAATCACAGAATGTAACCAGGGATCCCTGACAATCGAGCCATCCATAACGGTTGAAGAAACAACTTAAGTTAGTTTAACTACAACTCTGACCTATAACAGCAAGTGCACGTTTTGAAAACTGTTAAGGTCGTATCCATGCTCGAATAGATCGTTCCAGGCTGTGTCGATGCTTGGCGTAGGATACTCCTGACGAGGCGGTGGATTCTGACTTTTGACTCCAAACCATGACATGAACTCTGTGTCAATCTCGCCCTCGGCATGTGACGTGTTGTCGAAAATCGCCAACGTTGCATTACCCAATCTCCGTATGATCTGAGTGCTCCTCTCTCCGACCTTCTTGCCGTGTGATATTTTGGAGAGGAGTCTCACGCATGTCTCAATGTTGGCCTCGACGACTTCCCTCGTGAGTTCGAGCCGGACTACGGAACTTGCTCTGATGGAGTACAGCATCGTAACAGCAGCCATGAATAACGAGTCCAGCGCCACAAAGGTGTAGATTATCTTGTTCTTCGCGTATAGTGCATTGTAGCAGCTAATGAGGCTTATGGATGAATCGGCGCATAACCGAATGGCGTCTGCGCTGCTCACCGGCGATGCATGAGATGGTCGGTGGAGGTTGATGACGGCTTGGTGATAGGCGATTTGGAACCATTCTGGCGTTTGGTACATCGACAGTGGCGCAAGGTATCTCGGGGCTGAGAGAAGCCATGCATTGAGACGGGTGTAGTGCTGTTGGCGTATGGCGTCGAGGTTTCGGCCTTCGAGGTTCATGCCGCCTGCTGAGTGGAGGGCTGAGTAGATTCCTGCGTTGATTTGACGGAGTTCGACGATGTGACGGAACGCAGACATGTCTCTGACGTCGGGGAGGATATTTGCTATGGCTCGATCTGCGGGTCCGGCAATTTGCTCATCGGTGAGGACCAGGGGGAGGGGTATCGTGATGTCAGCGTCTTGGATACCCAATGGTCGGCCGAGAGAGATCGAGACACTTCGATCCATGGTGTACAAGCTCCAGAATAACCGTTTTCGCATCTCGGCGTCCAATAAGGTCTTGTTGGCAAGGCTCTCCTCCCGATGCATGTCGATACCTACTGCAAGCCTCAACGCCATGCCAACGGTGTACCACAAATTGACCGACTGCGGCTCGTTGCTGCCGAACAAGCAGAGCAGGGAAAGACAGCGTATGCAGTCGAGGTCATCAGCTGAAAGCACTGCGTCAAGATCACGCGCAGCTGCCTCAAAAAAGAACTCGTGAGAAACGGGTGCATCCGAACTAATTCTTGCTTTTTCTGATGCTCCAATCGCGAGAACCATGTGTACTTCGAACGCTGACAGTCTGCTCCTGACTTGGCCGTTGCAGTATGGTATGTAATGGTGTTCCATGAACGTTGGGCGATGAAGGACTGGATATTGCGGCCATCGACGATCAAAGAATACTTCAATCAGGCTGAGGCCGTCTCGGTGAAGCGAAAATGTGTTTGACGTGGCGGTCGGAGGCGTCTCACTCGCTGACAACCCATGCCACAATTGCCAAGGCCCCGTCATGAAACCCGTCTCGGAAGCGCCATTGGGTCCCAATCCTCGAAAAGTTGGCAGAAGCATGCGTCCAACATATCCCCTCTCCAAGCTCGCAACCGAGCCATCGGGTTCTTGGCGATCGGTGACAGATCTTATCTGCAGATGACTCTCCTGAGACCGAGCTTCCGATGGGAGTCTCGATTGCATAGCGAGTTGTGTTTGCAGCTCATTCACCCGGTCCTTCAAGCGCTCTACCTGGCCTCTCAGATGGTCGCATTCGCATTCCCTGTCGACCTTGACAACGAGACGATCTGAGGGGACACAAGGCACATTTGCAGCAGCACAGGCCCCGCATACGGGATGTCTGCCGTCACACTTTGGTCACAAAAGTCAGTCCATTATGTCGTCGGCGACCCGAGAAAATGTGGTAGCACGTACTTTTTGTTTTCTTCGGCGACATCTCTGGCACGCTGCCGATATCCTCTTGAGACCACGACGCGGCGATCTTATCCGATCAGTGTCCCTGTCTGAGTGTGTGTCGTAGGCTGAGGCCGACTCGAACACGGCGGGAAGTTCTCCGTCATCGGTTGCAGACATTTTTCGGGTTGGGTTTTCGGAGGCGATGGTTTATTAATGAGGGATGAAATGTTAATGCGGAAGAGTCAGAAGTGACCCACTATATCGATAAGGACGATCAATCTCCGGTTCAATGCCGGCAAAAGATGGATCTCCCTAAGATTCGGCCGCATTCGGCCCTTATGCCCGGCCTTATCTCGCATGTCGTGATTGAAGGTGATAATGGTCTTGTTTTATACTGGGAACAACCGATATTTAGAGTTTTCTTGATGTTTAGATAAGACTCTCTTAACATAGTGGTTGAACCATGTCAAGTCGGTCAGAATCAAGGCTCCGATGTTGACGTCATTGGTGAGGTATCGGAATCCAGTGATACACTAATCTGATGTTGGTATAAAGAATACTTACTATCTAAAAAGGTTCTGACTTACAGAATGCTGTGAACGGTCTTTGAGAAGAGAAGTAGCCGTGTTAACCTTTTCTCAATTTATTATCTTGCCATTGTTTCAAATCAGAATAATGTTAGTAACCATAAACACCCTTACTCAAGATCTTCAACTACTTAGATCTACTTCTATTTGGGTCTGAGGACAAGCTTAGTGATGTAAGTGTAAGTTATCTGTTGCTTTCAATGCAGTATGACTATTTTACAGTCCCAATTTGATCTGTTACGAGGTAGTGAATAACGAAAGTTCAGCGTATGAGACTCTAGGGTATATGAAGCCCGGCAATGATGTCATTTCTTCAAAATAGGCCCAGTTAAACGAACCCTCGAGCGCAAAACCGGAGCCAGCACGTGGAACAGACTCACTATTGCTTAATACCGATAAGGCTGAAAGGGACAAATAAGCTACTGGCGCAGTGAATCCAGCAAGAGACTGAAGGGCCCTCTCCAAGTCATGGGCTCCACCCAATCGGGCTTGTCGGTATCTCAGTCAGCTACAATCCCCCCCCAACCAGTGAAAACCCGGCACTTCTACCCCGCAAACAGCACTATCCGTAGCCTAAACCGAGTCTTCGGGGGGGAAGCTTATCACCTACGGAACCCCATCGGAAGCCGGTGGGACGCCCTCTCATCGCCCTTATCTCTACGGAATGCCCCCGTCCCGGTCACAGACATCCCCAAACACCACAAATCACAATGCCTCGCCCAATAGTCCCAGCGCACCAACGACAAAGAGCAGCAGAAGCCTGCAACTTATGTCGCGAGACGAAAAAGAGATGCAGTGGCTCAGCTCCCTGTACGCAATGCGTCCGCCGCGGTCTTGAGTCACAGTGCTTCATCACCTACGCTCCGAGGGGCTCGAGAACAAGAGCTCGTGCTGAGGCTGCAAAGGCTGCGGCGGCGGGATCGACGACGACGGAGCAGATGAGTGCGAGTTCGCATCAGAGCAGTCAGCCGATGGAGACGGATGAGGGGTATAGACCGTTGTCGCCGTCGCATTCGCAGCAGGATGATGAGAAGGACAGTCAGACTGAAGCATCGAATCCACCGCGAATGCTGCTGAACTCGAGAGGCGAGAGAGGTATGCACGCCTGTCACAATTGCCGATGAAATACTCATTTGTTAGTTTATATTGGAGGCGCAGCGTCAATCTCGTTTCTGCAAATTGTGCGAAATTTGGTATCCCAACAAATTGGACCATCGGCATTTTCTCACAATGAGAAGAGCGACACCATGCTTGAGATTGAATCGCCGACAGCTACAACACATGACGAGACGAGCGCAATGAGACTAAGTCCGGATCAGAAACAGCAATATTTGAGATCGTATTATGTGGTGGTATGTCTGCATCAAACGGTCTTGAATGCATACTGATGACAGCAGACCGAAGCATTAATCCACGTCTTTGACGCGTCGGATCTCGAGACTCTCCTCAATATAGACGACGACACAGGATATTCTCCCTCTCCCAATCTCTCACCACTAAAACAAGCCTCAATCGACTTGGTAATCGCAATCGGAGCTCAATGCGAGTCCCTCTCCAGCGCGCGAACAATAGGCCAAGCATATTTCCGCCGAGCTCGCAGCCAAGCATTCGTCGGGTTCCTCGAAGATCCAGACCTAGACATGGTCCGCACATTCCTCCTCATGGCATTCTTCATGCTTGGCGAGTGCAGAAGAAACGCAGCGTTTATGTATCTCGGTGTCGCTGCAAAAGCTGCCCTTGCTTTGGGTCTGCATAGTCGAGAGTCTTATGCTGCTAAACCAGGACCGGAGGATCAGTTAAAGTAAGTTTGGACCTTTATAGTGATTCGGATATGGCTAATGGGTTAGATTGCGGGTATGGATGAGTGTGTGTATCCTTGATAAGCTTGTCAATTCGCTTCTCGGCCGACCATCCGCTTCTGCCCAGATCCGATCGAATAGCAGCAGCAAATTGGATGACGTCGCGCAAAAGGGAGATAGCATTACCGAGCATTTGATGGCGTCCAACAGAGTTTCCACCATCATCAACGATATTACAGACACATTATATGATCAGAAGAAGGTCACGACTGCAATTGTCGAGCAGTTCCTCCAAGATATTGAACGCTGGAAGCGAGAACTTCCTGCTTCCGTCAAGATACCCTCAGCGGATCCCAGCCCGGGAACAGTGACGCAACAACACGGAGCTATCGCCAAAGTTTATGTGTCGTGTCTTTATTATCTTGCTGTCATGCTGGTTTCAAGACCGTTTTTG